CATTATTCATTAAAATGAGAGAATAATCTAAAAAATATGCTCTCTGATTAAAGTTTTCAACCAATGTATGTCCAATATATGCAGTAGTGTATTTATTTATTTTATTTATGTTATTAAATGTGACTGAAAGCAATAGTAGACCTGCTCATGGGTTTATGCAAATTAGATGACTAACGAAATGTTGGAATGGACGTATGTTGTAAATCAGGTGTGTATTATTATTTTTAAAATGTAGTTTCTGAAAGTGGTCATTAGTTATGGCTCAACCGCTTGATCTGAGAAGAATGTGAAAGGATGAGTAATTGATAGACTCGAGGCAAAGACAAATACAAATATAGACTGATCATGATCTGAATGTCCCTCAAAGTATCATATCAAGAACTTGGAATCGCTTTTTAAGCAGTGAATCATTTAGTAGATAGACAGCTCAGTTAAAGGCGACCAAGAGCAGCAGTTTCATCGTTTCATCTGAAGACCGTTCTTTGCCAATATGGGCTCAAAGAAGCCGTAAGCTAAAGGAGTTAATTTTAAACATCCAGGCTGCCACAGAAATTTTATGAGAGATTAAAAGTACTGTAAGAAGGCTTTACGAGGTTAGACTTTAAGCGAAAATCCAATTCTTAGTGTCCCATTCTCTTCATCCATATAAGGACCTATATATTACATAGGTCCATATAAGGACCTATGTAAGGTGATGTTGTCGTCGTGTTCAGTGGAGCCAAGAAAAATGGGACCATGTTCTGTTTACTGAGGAGTATAGATGTATCCTGACTGCAATTCTAGCCATGTTTTGATCTAAAAGGAGCTAGGAACACTCAATTTGCTTTCCTTTGTTCACAAAAGATTCCGTTTCCATCCACAGAAGTGGTTTCATACTTTGTACTGAAATGATCAAAAATACTGGCACCGATTCTTCGGCTTTGCATTATTACTGCCTATGTATAAATTGTTACACAAGTGAAAAGTTTGAGCCAACTTCGCGTTGTCATTTGTGTAATTGTGTAATCTTTGGCTACTAGACTTAGCTTAACTTTTAAAATTGGCTGTTACTTTCAGTTATCTCGCCAAAAGTGCTGGTTGAACTTGTAAAGCACGAATAGAGCGTTTTATATTCAAGTTCTGATTTAACAGAAAGGTTTGTTAAACGTTTTTGAGATTCTGTAGTTTCTTACAGACGAAGCGATAATTCGCTGCAAGTGTTTTAGGAGTTTTGAACTTAGTTTATGCTACCAAAGAATACCAACTGTATAAATTTATAGATTATTATAGTAAATGGTAGATTAATTAGATTGCTACGTAAAGATACAACAAATAATGTTAGATTAATTAGATTAAGATTGCGAGATTAATTAGATTAAGATTGAGAGATTAATTAGATTAAGATTGAGAGATTAATTAGATTAAGATTGCGAGATTAATTAGTTAGAACATAAAATATAAAAACAACAGTAGAGTTGTGTAAAGAACATTTCATTTTGGAGTACTCTAGTGTCGCAATGGACTGCATGCGCATGCCCTAAGTTCGAAACAGATTGGCCATGTTAAAGAGGTAATGTGGCTTAGTTGAGTTCATCTTTGGTTTAGCTTTTCATTAATTAAATAGTATGAATAATTATAGCACATAAAAGCATTTTAGTACACTTTTAATAAACAGATAACTATTATTCTTCAAATAAAGACATCAGCTAATTGCCTAAGGAGAAAGTTGAATTCTAACTTTTTGCTAATTGTTTCGTATGGGAATAAAAATCAATAAAGGTTTCGAAAACAGTTACTTTCCTGCTCCCCTAACGGTTCTGTCACTTATACTGTGCATCGTAATTGAAATATTAAATGCGTAATAACCTTCACACACTAATGGTAAAACTATTTTTATAGCCCTACTTCCTTGTAGAATACTTAACTTTGCTTTTGCAGTCGCCATCTTTTCAAAGCAGTTTAAAAGCCACCGACTGCTTGATGGATTAACCATACGCTCCCTCCTTCTCCACTACTTTACTATTCTTTTTAATTGTTGTTCTCGGAAAACCTGATCCTATCCAGGTTAACAAACAGTCGCTGTGACCGCAGACGCATTTTCAAGATGACGAGATGACGACTGCCATTCCCTGCTAACAAATATTAATATGTTCTTGGAAATACCTGTTGTAGCTTTTTCTCTTCGCTTTTTACAATTCTCACAAAGGTTTTGCAATCTGAATGAGTTCACCTGTTCTTACCTGAATGAAGTATATGAGCTTCAAGAGCACACCAAGATTCATAGGAGAGATATTGCAATGGCAGCTGCAGGTTGTCTGCCGACTGTCAGATAAGAATTTGCCTAAAACGGTGGCTTTCGTTTTGGTTCATGTCCTTTTTGCTAGAGTAAAAACCAGGTGTATCAAATACATTGAATAAGCAGTAGTAAATATATACGTCTAGACGCGTATGAATTTTAAATTCCATGAATCAGTATAATTTTCTGCCTTTTAAAATAATTATTGTAAAATGTTTTAATTTTACTAGAATTTTAAAGGAATAAATATGAAAATGGTAAAGAAATTTTGTGTATTAGAACTGAGCAGGTATTTATTATTATTTTGTTTGGCTTATGCGAAAATGAAATATCTTCTAATTATTCAAAAAAATCGATTAAGACAGTCTGGAACCTTATTTCATGGACCTCTAATTCTCTGTATCTTCCTTTTCATAAGAAACTACAAAATGGTTTTGATCTGTCTTAAGGCACTGGACCTTAGATAGGGCTTTATGGACTCAATTTAATATATAGCCAAAATTTCTGACATGAAGTTCCACACTTTTTTTACGGGATTTTTTTCAGCTTTCATTGGCAAAGGATAGTCTGTTATTCCTCCTGATGATTATTGCTTCGTTGTATGAACCTTCTAAAAATGCTTGCTTATCTTGCATCTAAACTAAAAACAGTAGTTATTATAAAATAATATCAAAATTTAATAATATAATTTTGCCAAGTGCACGAATCTGTGGAGATTCATATATACTTGACAATTTTTGACAATTTTTAGCATATTATATAATAAAAATATGAATCAAAATATGTAGGCTATATTAAGCACAGCAGAGTACCAATTAATGTTAAATTATTGCTTGTTTTTTCTTTAAAAACGGGAAAATGTAGTCTGTTTATCCGAATTAAAATGAAGAGACATTTCGGATAAAACCAGCTTTCTCCCCCCCCTTTTGAGAGCTCATGGCAATATTTATGCGAGCCAGAGGTAGAAATAAATAAGGATTACTTTATAAAAAAAGATGCATATAGACAACGCATGTATGTAGAGCTTTGTTTGAAATAATAAACGATCTTCGTTTTAGATTGTATTACAGTTCTTAGAATCAGCTCCATTAAGCCGTCACTTAATGAGCAATTTATCTAGTGGCACATAATTATCGCTTTATTCAATGAAAGCTAAGGTACTTGAATTAACAAAATTGATTCTTTGCTTTGCTGTGGATTAACGATACTGTATTAAAATATTTTCTATTTTTAGTCTATTAATCTTATATATTTAAATTTCTATTTGATGACTATAATGCGTGTACGTTTTATTAAACCAGATTTTGGTTAAAGAAAGTTAGTTACGCGAAGTTATACCGTAGTCTTTGCAAGGTGTTCTACGTTAGAAAGATTACACTATAACCGAAAGAATGCACTACATGTATAATTCTTAATAGAAAGGCTTTGTTCTTATTCTTTAAAGAAAAAGAGAGCTATCAAATTAAGTAGAAGAGTTTCAATATGAGCATTCTTTTTCGCCCAAATTTCGTTATATTTCATGCATTTTCTAGCCGTGAAGTTTATCACAAGTGTTTGATTGCTACAGATTTATCATGTTTTATGACCAGTTTTTTCAGTTACGGATAGTTTTTCAAAAATATATAAAATATAAATAGTTAGCTTCTCAATGCGTGTAAAAGGCTAAAATCATAGTAAAAAAATTGAATTAAAACAAACGTTTAAATACCATACGTTTATTCATACGTCATTTTTTTCCTGTGCTAACATGCAGCTCGATTGCAATGCAGCTTTTCAGGAAGCTTACTCGAACTTAATATTAAATCTTACAGAATTGTACGAAAATTGCTGTAGATTTGTTCACTTTGGTAAAAGTGTTATTATATAATCCTTAAGTATTTACGCAGTTGGAAGCTGATAATTTACGCAAGTAATCTGCATTTACAACTGAGAGTGAGAACTAGAATTCCACCTTTGCAACAAAAGATGTTTTTTTTTTATCTGGTAGCTTTTAGTGCTTACTCTAGTTTCCGAAATGCTTTTATTGTATCTTTTAGTGAAAAACTTTTATTTGATTTATTTTTCTTTTTTTTTAGAAAAAATGAAATTTAATTGAAGTTCAATAAATGGCATCTAAAGTTATAAGCTACTTAACAGTAGCAATTACTGCTGTAATACTTAATACAGGCAAAATTGCATTGTTAAATATAATACAAAGACTCTGAAAGCTAAATATTCGGGATTATTTTGAAGAAAAATGTGAATCAAAGTTTTGAAACAAAACGTAAGGATTTAGGCTGACGTTTTCAAGCCTTTGAAAGTACTTAAATATCAACACATAATGTTCACTTCGCTAATTTTGCTCGCATAGAAATTTTCGTCATCTGAATCTTGTCCGTTATTATGATTTAAACCCGTTATTATGAAGGATATTTTTTATTGAGTATGTGTTATTTATGCCAATATTTGATGAAAAATGTATCGTCCCTTTGCCTCTTCTTTTTTTTTTTTTTTTTTTTTTTTTTTTTTTTTTTTTTTGCTAAATTATCGAATTTTTGTATCAGGTTTGTTGAAAGTTCAGTTACTTTTTTAACCTTTTTAAGTTGTAAATTTGTTTCTTTATTAAATTCTCGAATTTATAGCAGATTCATTAAAGTTTCAGTTATTTTTTTTGTTGAAACTAGAGAATTTTCTCATGCTTCTGCATTTAATGTAATTTCTCTAATAATTTCTATTACTTTTTCAGGTCCGTGAGGAGAAAGATAACCGACTCAACGGTTACGACAACGAAGGCTACCATCTTGATCAGCAAGCAGAAGAGGAAGAAGAATCTGGGAACGATGATGATCGCCTTCGAGTCGTGGTCACCGAAAACAGCCACAGACCGAGGGATGACTCGCCTTTACCTAACGGCCACGCTCATGAAGAGACCAACGGGCACATGAATGTAAACGGCACAGCAGTGATTGTTTTAGACGAAGAGGAAAACGACGTTAAGAAATCAAACATGGAAGAACGGGAACATCGACTCAAAACGGACTCTATTCAAAAACCACTCGACACGCGGTTGCATCATTACGTTCCCGTAGATGACATCGATAGGAAAGTAGTAAATGGCTCCGATGGTACTCATATCACTATCCCTGAGGATGCTGTCATTAGTTTCACTACTGGTAGAGTGCGCGTAAAAAAAAGTGCCTCCAATAGTCCGCAGTCAGTGGGGGATCGAGAGAGTATTCCTCTGGCAACTATGCCACCGTCTTATACTGAAGAAAAAACAGGACTTGGTGAAAAAGCTGAATTAGAAGCAGAACTAGCCAATCACAAAAATGGCGTATGGTCTGAAGGACATAATTATGGGTCTGCAGAAGGACCCTTTAGCAATAGCGAAAAACTCAACGGTACTTCAAAGTCCAGCGACGAGGTGAGCCTGCCTGTCAATAATCACCGGAAGTGCCTGAGGTAGGTTGAAGGTAGGAACATGTTCGTGCTCGAATATGCTTACCGAAATGCATATACGATTCTGTGATTCTATCAGTTATTAATTTTACAATCTCATTAATTAAATGAATTGTGGTATATTTGACAGTGTAACACAAACATTTGCTTAAAATGTTAAACTTTGAATAATAACCGAATATTAACTATTAACCCTCTGGCTGATCATCCCGTGATTTCCACGGGCAACTCAAATGTAGGAAAATTTGCTCATCCCGCGATTTCCGTGGGCCCATGTTTTTCTTCCTTTATTGAGGAGCACATCCCGTTTTTTCCCCGTTTAACCATTGAAACAAATTATATACAGTATTAGGTGTTTAGTTTACGTTTTGGCCAACAGATATCGTTAAGTTGTCTACTAAATTGCGGCATTTGAAGGCACGTGGTATTAGCGCTCAAACTTCACTTTTTGCCGCTTTTTTCTTACAGAAATGGCTGCTAGAAAACGTTCAGCGATTAACCCTGATTATTTAATTAAATTATTGAATTATTGATTAGATTAATAATTAAACTGATTATTAATTAGTTTTATTGAATCTGGTGCAAAGACTGTGAAGTTTGAACTCTATCATGTTAAAACTGCATTTTTAAGGTATTTTTCCCTCAGCGCTTTATATTCTTAAATTTTAATTTTTGATATTATGCAATAAATAGAAATTAACTATAATTTGACTGAAATTTATTTTTAAAAAAGTTTTTTTTTAATAACATCTGAAATTGGTTTTTCTGGCAACTTAGTTTCTCATGATAAAAATCTATATAAAAAATATTTTCTAGAAAGAAAGGAAGCGATTTCGGTCCACAGATTGAGCAGCCAGAGGGTTAATGAACGAACGACGGTTGTATTCGCTGACAAAGAGATGATATTCTGCAATTACTCAGCCAGAAAAGTTCTGCTATCATGGTGGAGTAGTCTGCTTTATTCCTGTTGTTTATGATTTCAGCTTTTGAATGTATAGCAAACTCAAGTTCAGTTACGAGACAGAGATAGCTTAAGAAGTTATACTTTTGTGAAATTAGCGCACTAACACGGGTTAAAGCTTCTTATTTTAAATTCATTTCAAGCATTTATTTATTTATTTATTTTTTCATTTGAAGATGATAGTAAAAATTTACCTTATTTTTCAATCTGTGAAGTCAGACATTTGTTTTCTTTAGGTAATTGATTAGGTGAAATTGATAATTCGCGAAGAAGCTCTTTAATTAATTAATTAATTTTACCTGCCTTTTTGTTCGCAGCATACTTCTTTAACATTTTTCGTATAATGCTCGTTAAAATCCATTCTGTTAGGAAAACATTTGCCAGAAGGAAACAGTTTTCCATATCCGTTTCCCTTTACATACTAGAGTAATTCCAGTTTTGATACGAGACCGCTGCAAAATTGATTGTATACTCTAAGATTAATTATTTAACAAATATGATCGCATCTCTTAAATTTCTTTTCCACGAGATTACCATATTGTAGAACTCAATAATTTCCAACAATATAGGTCAGGAAATCCACAACACAGTTTCCGTTATGTAGCTTAAGAAAAATTTACATTATTCAAGATTTTTGCTTTATAAATTTAGTGCTTCAACTGAGTTTTCTTAAATATAAAATATCAAGATTCGGAATTTTCATTTTATACATTTTAGAATTTAATAAAAATATAGAATTCGGATTCTCTTATGCTAGCACTGCACTTCTGTTGCAAACTGATAATCAGCTTATTAATTTCTTGACCCTTTTATTAAACTAAGTCATTAACAATTGATCTCTTTGTTAAATTAATGAGAGATTGTTTCATATTGCTTATTAATATGCTACTAAGTTATGTGCATCATATCGCTTTCAGAAGTGTAAATTTCTACGATATTTCAAATACGCTTGCATTGCAACCTACACCTATTACTTTCGGTTTTGAACTAGTTTATAAAAACTAGAAATAAATTGCAGTACGTCCCATCATGCAATTTTTTCCGACCTCATTCTTGCAAAAGGCGTTCGACGTTTAGTTAATCACGAAAATGTTATACAGAGATAACGCCTTTTACTTCTTGAAACCTTACGGGAAAATTTTTGGAAGAGCGTGCTGATCATTTTAAGACTGCGTAAACTAATTTATGATTGCTTCAAAATAGAAATGTATTCATAGCTATACTTAAAGTAGATTTATAAGCCAAAAATAATTTTATTCATTTTAAACCGAAAATTATTTTATTTATTTCTAATGAATTTATAGCAGCAGTAATTTTATATTATTACAATAAATTTACGAATAAAAAGTGTAGTGGAACTTCGGTAAGCCGAAGTTGGAGTATGAAAAAGATAACTTTGAATTAAATGGCAGAAAATTCGAACTCGTGCGCAAGGTAATCAATTAGTACTTAAAATTATTTTTAAAGCTTGTTAAAAATTGAAACGACTTTCAATTCATACATTATTTTATATTATTAATGCATTGAGAAGTCATTTAAATGTTAAATCTTCTTGAAATTATAGCCATCCTTTGCAATACAAGCATGTGAAAAAGTTTAAATATGTAACAGAACTTAGAGCTCAAAATATATACACATACTATACATCCACACAAATAATCATGTCACTGAATGTTTTCCCAAAGTGGTAAATATTATCATATTTTACATTTCCCTTTGTGGGATTTATAAACCTTCAAGGAAATATATTTTATGAAATGTCAGATGTTAAGAAATGTAACACTATTTAAAGAAATAAATCTAATATGGTTTACATTTTTTTGCAATTTTAATTTGAAATATTACGGAATTTAATTTGAAATATCGTGTAAATTTATATTTTAATTATTAAATGATAACCATAATTTCGTAATTTGTGCAGTTTTTCTGGTGTTTGACTGAGGACATTCAATTTACCTTTTCTAATTTTTGATTAATTTTGAATTTTAAAATATGGTAATCATTCCAACGTTCGTTGTTTTATTTGTTAATTGCTCATTTTCATTAACTATACTTTAAAACTCCTGTGACATTTTGTTTAAAATATCTACATCGAGGAGCTTTGAATTAGAAAAGTGTTAAATGCTTGTCCTTGGCAAAATGTATTTCCTGTACTAATATTCACTTATTCTTGCTGTTTCTGACTCTCTATATAGTTTAAATATACATTTTAAATACATTTGCTAATATTTTATACGCAAATCCTCGTTAATGCACTCAGAACATCTTCTACTGCTTGGCATACTAACACACAAGTCTCGAAACATTCACAGATATACAATGTGTAACGACCATGTTTAAATAATACATTTCTAAATATTTCTCAAAATCAGAATGTAAGATTTTTAGCAAGTTTTAAGTTTTCAATTTGAAGTTAAACCTGTAGTTTTATGTAACAGTATCTTCTGAATGGTGACTCGAATAGCACTAGAATTTTATTTAATCAAAACTATGACAGAATGATGCAGAATCATCAGTAACAGCAATTCTGATTAGCATATTATACCTGAGGCTCTAAAAAAAATCTTTGTTGCCGAAAAGAAACTAACAATATTTATTCTGTTAAAAATTGTTTGTAAAAAGGATGTAAAATTCTCGCAGAAAATGTTCTCACCCTTAGAATACTAGCGATAATTCTCTATGACATCTCCATGTAGACGTCTGGCTGCATCAAGTAACTATTTAATCATGTCAAGTTAAAGCGGTCTCTACTTTATTTTGGCATCTTGGGGAAAATTATGAGAAAGACATGATTATATGAGCCTTTCAAAACCAGAGAGAGATGGTACCTCATAAATTTTCATTGTCATGATTTCTTTCTGAAACTTTAAACAAGATACGAGTAAAAAAAAAAAACAATTAATTAACAACGGCATTCAGTTATGTCAATTCTTATTGCTACTACTGGGAGTATTTAGTAGTTAGAGACATCTACTAGTACAAATGGGCTATAACGAAGCAGAAATTTCAATACGCATGAAATTTTATGTGCTGCAGTTTAAAACATTGTAAACATTGTACACATATTTAATTATTTGCAGAATTTAAATAATACTGTCCATACTTTCATACTGTGAATGTACCAAACATTACATGATCTAGAAATCAGTTTCCAGAAAACAGAGAAACCTTTCCATTTTGGTCCTAAAAGGCTAAAAATCGGGAGGAATCTTTGTTTTATCTAAGTTGCTGCACCAGAAATTTAATAGAACACAAGTCTTACAAGTTTTTAATTGAATTTAGCAGTAATATTGATACCATCACATCATCGCAACAATAATTATAACTTGTACCTAGATATCTTTAATATACCATTACATCATCATCATCGCAACAATAATTATAACTTGTACCTAGATATCTTTAATATACCATCACATCATCGCAACAATAATTATAACTTGTACCAAGATATCTTTAATATACCATCACATCATCGCAACAATAATTATAACTTGTACCTAGATATCTTTAATATAGCATCACATCATCGCAACAATAATTATAACTTGTACCAAGATATCTTTAATATACCATCACATCATTGCAACAATAATTATAACTTGTACCTAGATATCTTTAATATACCATCATATCATCGCAACAATAATTATAACTTGTACCTAGATATCTTTAAGATATTTATTCTACGTACTCAACATACTAATGTCAAACATCCTTGATTTTTTTAATGAGAATTCTCTTTCATGAGTATAGAAAATACCAGAGAGCGCGGCACTATTCTGTCATTGGTCTCATAAAAGTACTTGTGACTTTTTTCCAGCTAGTTATCTCTTTTCATTTGAATTCCGTTTGCAGTTTAGAGTCTTTGTTTAGCTTCATGGATTCTCTATTTAGCTTTCATGGATTTTAGTTGTTTGACAGGTCTTTCTGCCGCACTGAGCAAAAATCATGGGAACCACGTATCCGAAGTTTTGATTAATTCATAAACTAGTTTTATATTTTTACTCGTGTGGTCATCTTGAAATAGCATTTATATTCTTATACAAGAATATTTCTGTGGTGCGAATATGCATGCCACATCTATGTAACTCAGATACTTTTAGATGAGTCATTTACATTGGATTGGCGCAGATAACCTTGTAAAGGCTTACACCAGAAATCGCAATACAAACAAACTAGTTGAGTCATTGCAATTTTCGAAAGTGTATAAGCATCTTCGAGAGCTATGCAAAATTTACGAATCGCAGAACTAATAATGCACAGTTTTTACGATGTTTAACATCTCCTTCCTAGTGAATAATAGTTTGATCAGATTCTGGGCTCCCCAGCAGCCGAGCGGTTGCCATAATCCAAATAATTCAATCGATAAAATTTTGAAAATTCTTGCAGAAATTCGTAATGATGCATTATTCATTGTTTATTTCTTGTAATAACATCTGCTCCTGTTCATCATTACTGGTATTGGTACTGGTACTGAAAATGAAGCCGTGTTCAAGTTGATAAAAGCCAAAACTGGGGCAGAGTTGCAGTCAATATAAATACTTATGACAGATCTAACTACAATATCCGCAAAGATTAAGGAATTTACCGTTGTCTCTTTATCCTTAATATATTAGTCTCAAACAACTTTGATCTTCTCAGGATGCTTACATACGTGTAAAGGGAATTACAATCAAATGGTAGTTTGAGTGAAAGAAATTGACTACCCCTTCAGTCACTCTTTTTGCAGTTCTCATGGTATTCTTGGAAAACGCCATCTCACTATTATAACACTAATTAAATGTACGAAACATGTTTCTTTAGACTATCCTCATACAACTGCTTTCATGAAGCATTAAAATGTGTCTTAGTATATTGCATGGTCCAAGTGATCTCAGCTTGAGCTATCACAATTCAAATAAGACGCATCAACAGTTTAGACTGTGTACATGCACACAGCTCTTTTTCTCATATCGTAAACGTACTTGGAGTTTGTGATAATCGTTTAGCAATTCAATTCCTTAGTTTAGTCTTTTGGAAACGGGAGCAGGTTTATAGTTTTGGAATCTACCTTCTTCTGCATTTGAAATACCACACACATATTGGTAGTAATGTTTTACTACAGTGCCATGGTCAGCTTAAATTTGTTAATAAATGGGTTCCAAAAATTTGCTTTTACTATTATTTCGAGCTGAGCCTTGAAAACTTAAAGATAGTTTTTCCATCGTACAGTTTAATAGCAGAACATTTACGGCATAAATTACATTCGGCGCAGCAGCAAGATCTCTTAGTAGTTCTGGAATTTTCTGACCCAGTCCTTTTAGCTTTGTTTCCGTTGATGTTTTGATGTCTGTAATTTCTCCATTGGAATCAGTCTGTTTGATGTCCGTAACGAATAATTTATCCGGAGCTGTGATTTTCTATATTTTGGTGTTATCAGTAGAAGCTATTCATTAATCTAGGGATAATTTCAGAATTATCTGTCTCTGTTGTTGATTACCAGCCACCAAATTAATAATGTTTTCAGCAGGGCATGCTCTTTCTAGCAAACTTCTATTCAAAAGAGATTGTATTCAGGATGACAAACATTATTATTGTTGTCACTACATGCTGTATTTTATTCATCACAATAAAATTTTTAATTGATATTCTTAAGTAGGTGAATACCTTTTACCTTGGAGATGGATTTGCAGTGAGGATTTAGAGTGACATTTACATGTAATTTTCTCTTCTAATATATGATTTCATTTCTGGTTATTTTTCCCTTGCGTAAATCTTCAAAAAACTGACAATATGGACGCTTATCTTCTAAATAATGTTCTTTCACTTCAAACCCATTACTAGTTGCTTGAAACTTTTCAGATGTAGTATTTAATAAGTGGTAATACCTGATCCGTAATTACCATCATTTTTAAGTGCTTTGGATTGGATACTGTTCTGCTTAGCATCACTGAACTACAGTATCCCTTCTTCAAGCTTTTTCACTAGAAAGCTGATGTAAATTGTTCTACACCATCAAATGTTTGAAAAGTGAAAATTTAAAAAAAATTCAACGTCATATTATAAGTGTCTGTTTTCTAAAATTAAGATGTCAGTATGTGTTATAAAATAAAACAATTTTCAGCTGTACAAAAACATAGGAAACATATTTAATCGAGAGAGATAAATTTGTCATCCTCATATGCATCGGGAAAGGACTGGTCTTCGAAGAACGTGACTACTGACTTTTTTGTAATGTCACTTTGACAGGAAAAATTTCTCTGAAGTACTTTTATTTAACCGTTGGAATCTTTGAGGCTGTGATCAACAACATGTATTCTATGAAGCAAAAGGTCTTGCCAGTCTAGAAATTTCTGGATTCTTTATTTCTGTCTGATGATTTCAGTTTATTTCTTCATTACATGTGTTTACCTGCAAAAAGGAAATAAACTGCAGTTTGTGGTTTAGAACCTAATCTGTCATACTACAATTTATTTCAAAATCTCATTTCACAAAACTTAGTTCAAATACAGCAGTTTAAAGTTTAAAAATATAAAATCACGTAAGTATATTTCCTGAAAATATAGGTAATGCAGTTTGCATTCTTTAATTATACTTTATTTTTTAAGCTCAAAAATCTTTAAAAACCACATGTTGGGGGAAAAGTTCGGCATATGAAAATGATCTGTTTAGAAATTTTAAATAATAGCTAATTTTGTTAGCTTAAATTGAAATACATCCATGCATCATTCAGAGAAGTCAGAGACATAATTTATTCCGTTTATACAAATATGATACTAAATTATTCCCTTTGTTCTTGATTTCAGCCGCGAAGCGTCCGATAGTAGTTGTTCAGAGCAGAAGTCCACGTAAGTTAGCATGAAAAATGCATGAAATGTGATGTTTTGTCATCTTTCCTTCCCAACACATTTCCCATCCTATTTTGGTCAAACAAATACTATTATCTGTGATCCTCACGTTATCTATTCTTGATCCTGAACCTTAATTCGGTAGACACCTATATATCCTGCATATATGTTTGTTTCGTGTTTCATGTTTTTTAAATTTTATTTTAAATTTATGATGTGATTTTTTATCGATAAATGAGTGATACTATTTATTCTTATAACTTTTATCTGTTGTTGTTTTTATATTATTTTAAGAATATTCTTTGTGTATGTGTACATTTCAATATTGTTCAGTTGTAAGTTATTTTTCCTTCAGTAAAAAGTGCATAGAAATTTATGAATTCAGAGAGCTATTGAGGTTTAGAAGAAATGGTTTGTTTTTCGAATAAACAGCTATTTTAAAACAGTGGGGGAAAAAAGACTTTTTTTAGAGATGCCTTTTTTATTATCATTGATGAATTTAATAGATGTAAAAACTGATAATAAAGTTCCCTTACTGTTTAATGTTAGAATTAGTTTGATAACATAAGGGTGTATCTGATTTTTTAATATAATTTCATGCATCTAAATTAAATTATACTTTAGAAAGACAATATTTTCATTCAAGTTTATTGATATCATTTTATCTTTTTTCATCTGTGAACTTTTGAATACTAGTGATTCAAAGGGTCTTGAACAATTTATGAAGATAAGTCAGGAGTTCAAATATAATCCACTTTCGCGCAGGCACATGAAACTGGAAACGCCACTTGATTGTACTGAGAGGGTCCCATTTGCCAGAAACTGCGATGGACAGCGTGAGGTTCATTGTCATTCAAATCACTAAGCCTGAAGGAGTGGGATTCATAGAAACGGTAATAATGAAGTGGTCAATGTTCACTTTTCTTTTGGGTAAATGGTTGCAACTGTATTGTGACTCGCGTTCCTTCGTCAAGCCGCTTGCGCATTCGTATCACAGATTGTGAGAAACTGGATCTGCAGACATTAACAGCTGTTGTAGTCATGATCGAATGACCGCGTGCCTATTACGGTCATAGATCGAATTCAAAGCAATCTATGTACAAGTGCATGAATCTGTCACATACCATCACTCCAATCCAACATGTGACGAATATCTCATGAGAAGGACTTAGATTTTCTTTGTATGCAATGGGCCTGACCATTAAAGGTAGAAAATTATGTTCAGCACTATAGTCTTTGCTGCAGCGTGTCGCACAATCAGAAATTAGAGCCTCTATTCACTTCACCGATGAAGCTTAATGTTCATAACGTGCATGTGTGGGCAGCATATGAAGAACGATGAGCATCAAGCTCCCACACTGCACAAAAATGTCTGACTGCATGTTGATTATTTAAGATCGTTTACTCGTTATTTGAGCAATACCTTCTTCTGCATAATGTACCTTCATCTATGCGCCGACGCATATAGTTTCAGCCCCATATCATATAGGGTTATCACCCATTTCAACCTGGAATTTATAAGTATTTCTACAGCCCCTTTCCTGCTGCATATATTTATCACTGTGGACTAGTCGCTTGGCCACTACGATCGCCTGCCATGTGCGCATTTTTTTCCCTGTGGTTACCTCAAAAGCTTTGTGTGCGTAGCCTCTACAGAACATCGTTGGCTTACAAAATCTGCAGATGTTGTATTAACTTGCAGAAAACTGTATTCGTTCTTAAGCTACAATATGACCAAAAGTATTTATTTCCATACGCTTTTCCGTAAGTATTTTTATTATAAATGGTATTACATGAAGTTGGCCATTCCTTGGTTCTAGAAAGATTACATTCTTTCGATAACTTTCTACTAGATTTCTATTGGAGTGTTCCACATGTTAGCTCCCATGCTACGATTTTAAAAGAAAAGGCATAATGCAAATTTTTGACAAAATGAGACGACAAGTGCAAACATGTTTGACGTAAAAATAGCAGCTACCGGCTACGTTCAACTTCTAATAGTGAAAAACCAATCACCTAAAATCAACTAGGGAAACAATACAAATGTATACCATTCTTTTTCTTTCCGAGTTTCAGCAAGCAAATTTTTATACTGCGGTGAGTGATATAATTAGAGAACCAGACATACGATATACATGTCTAATAAATGCTCTGTACTCTTATTTCCTTTATTTTTTTATTCTCTTTGTAACTCTATCATATGTAGATGGTGTTTCTGATTGCACGTTTATGAATAAAATTGGTTTGTTTTTATAATCCTGACCTATCTTTTAAATTTACGTAAAACCTTTTGAATCATTCTGTATAATACAATTTTCCTGTTTGTTTCTTGTTAAGGTACGTTTCCTGTACGACTTCTGCAAATACTGAAGTTTAAATAGCATTGCAGTCGCTTTTAAAAGTTTAGATAACTCTAGATATATTAATGATGCTTAAAATTGAAGCATTAATTTATCTTTGAGTTGTTCATATAATATTCATTTAACTTAGGGGTAACAGACTAATAAATATGAATGTAATTTGTCCCCCTTCCCCAATTTTTTCATTTGCTTCTGAAACATTAGAGTTTCAATAATTCATATTTAAATCCAGTGATTATATAGATTGTTGTAATTAAAAGGACTATACTTAAAACCCTCTAGCATAGATTTTTCTATTTAGCATAAATCGATGAAGCTTGCTATTTACATAGTAGGTAAGATATATCATGCAAAACATTAATTGAAATTTTGTCACTGGGAAAAGTATGGTACTTTAAAAACAACCACCGTAAGCGAAGAAAAGCAAATTTTTTATCAGATAATAGCCATCTGTGCCGATTATACATAAAATGGAAGCATAATATAATGCAGTCGATAATCACAGAAAGTAACTTCAGCAAACTATCAGTGACGATCCAACATGTGACGCTAAACTATTTTTCTTTTGATATAGACAGTATGTTTCCGTGATAAGCAAAATCTTTTATGAATTCCACGAGCCAAAGGTTAGGCTTTCGAATCCTTAAAATGGAAAACCAAGCACCTGTGAAACTTCGAGAGATGACGCGGTCATCACCGAATTCGTCACGAAATTGTTCTTTGGCTTGTAGATCAGTATGAGCTGTTGTTCCAACACTGAGCGTCATTTTTCTGGCAACATAACAACCAGATGAGATGCAAGATGCCCACTGTAGCTTGCATTCTTAACGGTACAACTTGTTGGGCCTTGAGATGTCAACCTTGTAAAGAAAAATGGACCTAGAATAAAATTAGCCGTGAATCCACACCAAGCAGTCACGCAATTGGAATATATTGGTTGTTTTCGTACCACATGGGGATACAAGACACCATATATATGAGACAATTCTGGGTATTCACCTCTCTTCCTAAATTAAAATACGCTTCGTCTTTCGACAGGATATTTCAAGGTCGGCAAATCTCTTCAATAAAACTCGAAGGCCAAATTGCTGAGCTGATACGAAATCATTGGTTTTGAACTGTTGCATCGTATAGATATTAGAGTGAAATAGACTGCAACACTTTATTCAGCGCCAGCTAAATTTGATAAAATTATTATTTTTGGTTTACATTGTTCTACTAAATATAGTTTGTTAATAAATGAAATCTGTATGTAATTTAAACATCTAAGACGAAGATTGTTAACTATGTGATTAATTCATATATATTTCAAATCATCACATCAGATTTAATTGTGTTATTCTGATAACTAATAACTAACAAGTATAGGCGTCTAGATTAACCTTGCATCCTTTTCTGCATGAAATAAATATTACTAATGATGATAGTGAGCAAAAAGATTTGATCGAGTAGCCTTTCTTAAATTAAGATCAAACTGGTTACAAATTAAATAACTTTTAAATTTTATCTCATATGATACATAAAAATCGTCATATAGAGAAACTGTAAAATGTTATTGTCTTTAAATAAAACTGAAACTTTACTTCATGCCTACAGTAAACTAACATTTCAGAATAAAAGAGAAAATATCGCTATTTTTAGTTAATCACTGTGTAACAGATTTAAGCAAAGGTACAGTACAGTACAGAAGTATCCATACAAGGCGCATATAATAGTGTTTATTAAATTGTAGTAAAAGGTGAGTGTTGAAAGAAACCGCAAAATTTAAATATTTTGGCAAAATGAGTCCTGTGCGAGGAACCTTGCACATAAACTGGAACTTGTTCTCATATATCAAGAACATCAAGATGGAATGGCATAAAGCTCTTTATTCGAGTCCATAGTTTATTTACATTAATGGTATCCCATTTTGTAGCCACAAAGGAGAGATTTTGCGAAATCACGAAAAGCGAATAAGGCCTTCTCCTTGATACAAACGCATATCCGAGAATTGTGTGAGCATGGGAAAGGAAAAATAAATGTTGTCAAATGCTTTTCCATGTTTTTCGAAAACACAGTGAGCTTAGGCAAGCTAATATGAATGTGCTGTGGGCAAAATCTAAATCACATGACTTCTGGAAAATATTTAGTTGTTGTCCTAAGCAGGAAATTTGGCGTTAATTAAAAACATGTTTCGAACAAAGAAAATGCTGCATTAATTAGCTAAATTTCCCTTATTAGTTGGAACTCTGTACTTTTAATTGAATCTAATAATCTTATTTATAAGCAAATGAATCAGACATATCATGAGCAGTGTCTACGTAGTTAGTTTAAGCCGGTCTGCAGAAAAGACTTCAGTCTTTCCAAAATAAATGCCTTTGAATTAGAGCTAATAGTCATGATTCTTGCTATCCTTCGTGTTAGAAAGGGATCTGAACGCGAAAGCTAATAATTCCCTTATCTTTTCCGCTCCACGAGTGGCAGTTCAGCGCAGGTTCAAACCCAGTACAATGGGCTGGCTACATGGTTAGTTTTGATTATTTTCTCCATATGTAATGTAAATACCATCCATTTTCCATCAGAAAGACCTTCACGAAAGCAACCCTCCCCTTATACAAATTGCCCTCGTGATTATAATTATATTATTAATTATTTATTCATATAATTGAACCTAACCTAACATTTCTCCTTCCCACTGTTCGCAATTAATTCGAGAAAACTGAATTTTGACTGTGGAAAGATTCAGGAAATACACGATTGCAATAAATTTTAATAACAGCCATTCGAAAGACAGTATTTCCTTATAAAAACTAGTTAGTTTTTGCTAATAGGATGTACAGGCATCAGTCGCCAACTCGCTATCATCATTTGCCTGATGGATTTCACTGTCGACGGTTCACATTGAGCACGAAAACGTCCATACAGGCGGTCATTGGCCGAGATTTGAATCCAAGTCGAACTACCAGTTTTTAGCGAATTTAACAAGAGGCGGGTTGTGGACCAATTTTTCATTTAGCGTTTAAGTTCGATGTCGAACAATTCCCTTCTAAGGTAGTGAGATTTACCCCATTTCACAGTATTCTTCGCCGCTGAGAACCCTTACGTTATTATATCTAAACATTGATAACATTTTGATCGAAATTTTATTTTTAAAATTATCATGCGTTATTAATAAAAATACTACTTTGAAGCAAGAAAGGTTGAAATCCATTTAACTCCTCACTGCAGAGTAAAATTACTGCTATTCCCCTTCTGTAGGTTTATCTCGAGTCGAAAGAAATTTTAAAAATAGAACTTTTCTCCGGTAAGGAAGAAATATAATATTTTTCATATGTTTCAGCTTTTTAAATTTTTTAATAACCGGAATGTAATCGTAAAAGGATTGAATAAATTAACAATAATGAACTTAATTTATTACGTTATGAATGGAAAATATTCTGTTTCATTTTTTCAGAAAATTATACTAATCCTTAAATGCATATTCCATGAATATTTAATAAATTTGATCTGTTCGCTTAGGATTGCTTTGTTTAAAGTTATCCATTACTAATATCTGTAAAAAATCTAATGTTATTATTATCCGTAGAAGTTTTATTACATAGAGTCCTGTTTCGCGAATTAATATCACGCATGCCCATAAACTGTGAACAGAGAAATTAAGGAAACTTGATTGCACTTTGCGCGTTTGAAACTTAAATAAAATTTTAAGAGGAAAATAATTTGGTGTATTATATATCACAAAATTATTTGAAGATATCAAAATTATATTTAAAGTAATTGAATATAAACATTTAAATAGTCTAAACTTATTCGATAAATCAAATTCATTTCGAATTCTGAAAATTAATAATCAATAAATTGTGGGTTTTTTTTCTACTCCTCTCAGCACATTCTTCCAATATGTCTTCTAAAAGGTAATTTTCCTTACTGGGAATGACACCCAGTCTTTCCCTGTACTAAGTTTTTTAAAACATGTGATGCCATGCACTTTCGTTTAGATATTTTTCGCAAAAAATAAGAACAAAAAATCTGAAAGCTTTCAGATTTTATATTACGCCAAAAGGGGTGTTTTTTAACGTTTTGCGTGTTACTTTTATTTATTAAACATCATGTCCTTCCCACTTAAACCATAAAATTCAGTTCAACAGCAGTATCACAAAATAATTTTAAAATAGCATAACTTTAGAATTTCTGATACACAGTCTCGCGCGCTGGAGTTAAAAATGTTTTATTCGGTACAGATTTGCCATTGCTCGCTTTGAAATTGTTGACTTTGCTAACCAAAAATTCGGTAAAGTGTTACAAAATATGAAATCGATAATAAAACAAATTCCAGTTTCCAAATTTATGCTTCCAGATGCCCATATTCGAGTGGAGGACTACGTTATACATAATTTGATGTCTGTAGGTACCTTTTTTTCACAGTGCGAGAAACATATACACATTCATGAAGATTCTTCATTATTTAATAATTCTTTAAGTATAATGCAGGGCTCTAATATTTGGTGGCAACAATTTCAAAAATGAAACGCTGTTTATAACGCAAAATGCCAAAACGAAACTGGCAACCTTTCTGGGCAAATTGGCCCTTTCGGCTAATTATTTATTCAGGAAATTTATTTAGGAATTCCTGCATGTAAGTTCTGGAGGTGACATACATTTTAAAAAACTGTTCATTGCCATTTTAAAAAATCGCACAATGTCAGATTTGGGGAATGAAGGCAAATTATCTTGATCTATTGATTAATACTACCAGTCTTTATAATCAGCATGCAATTAATAAAATCATTTGCGTGTTTTTAAAATGATAGAATGATAAAATGTCATTTCACTTCTACATCCATAAGCAAACTATAAAATATGATTTTGTAGACATTGAATAGCCGGAAATGATTAATGCAATAAATAATAAGCAAAAGCTTTATTAAATTTTAATTTTTATAATCAACAATATTGTCGCGAAACTCCAAATTACATTTTGCGGAATTCTAATGTCACCGAATTCACAATTTTAGTTTATTAAAATATGTACTTTTAAATTTTACTAAGCTAATTAAACTAAGAAAATTACTCTGTATGATTTTTTAGGGGCGAAAAACTCTACTTCACAGAAGACAATAGGAAATTATGTCCTGGCTGGCGACGAATCCTCATTTGCGGATTGATTTTGATCATAATAGCTGTCGCACTCTTGTTAGGTGTTCTAGCTGCAAGTAAGTATTCAATTTTAACTGAAAGAATATTTTTTTTACCAACGTTTTTGTAATTCTGATGATACGTTAATTTTAGATTTCTAGTACGTTTTGCTAAAACATGGTGCACATTCTTCTATTTAGTTCCTCTCAATACTAAAATTCGAGCGATAAGTTTTCAAGAGCATTGAAAGGTCTTTCCTCAGAGTCCTTTCTTTTGCAAGAAAACTGAGGAAACTCTTATGTGTAGTAGACCCTTTTCCTCTATTTTGTTTTAATCGTGCAACGCATAAAATGAACTCAACTAAAAATGTTGAGCTAAGGGAATAAGAATTTGGTCAAATTATCTTCAGATAATATTATGTATTTTATTATATACGGTATTAAATTTGTGCTGAGTTTAAAGTTCTATATTTCTGAGATTGCGTCGTATAATGTCGTCAATCATTTTGTTTTGCATATTCTGTATATTATTCTGCTATAGCTATTTTATGCTCATCTAGTAAATAAAAAATGGAACTTTCTTAAGTTAAATAATCAGTAGTAGTTGTTATGAAAATTTACTACAAAATCGAAAGATTTTGTAGTAAATTTTATTAAATTCGAAATAGTTAATTCCTAACACATATAATTCCTATCAGTAAAATAAAAAATTATAATTACATTTATTTTATTATATGATGCAAATTAAAATAGGTAAATAAATTTAGACATTTATTTTATTATATGATGCAAATTCAAAGAGATCAATCAATTTAGAAGACTCCTACATAATTTGGGATATTTACTTAACAAAGAGTAAGTCCTTGTCGAGTCTTCCATGTTGAACCCCAATTTAAATCAAGGATAAGGCCTGATTGCCATTTAAACCCAAAGTACATGTGTTTAGTACCGTAGATATTGAGGTGAACAATTCAAAATAATCCTATTTTTTTCTTCTTAAAAACAAGGAAACTGTACATTCGTGTCTGCTGAAAAAATGCTGTGAAAGCTACAAACTGTTTTAATCAAGTCTGTAGATAAGTTCAAGAACTGTCAATGTTACAAATACAGTCATACAAATTCTTTGATATAGATTATAGTTAGGACTATAACAGTTTCGTGACTAGTTCTTCTATCTGACATAGTCTAGATTATATCTGCAAATTTCATCGTGGCAGAAGAGGTTGCGCCTGTCATTGGCAAAGGCTGTTGGCATCGTATTGGGTGAAGTCTAGATTATGTCTGCAAATTTCATCGCGGCAAAAGAGGTTGCGCCTGTCATGGCAAAGGCTGTGGGCATCTCATTGGGTGACAATACAAGTTTTCAGAAATATGTTCCATTTTTTATGGAAAACATCCCAGGGGATGGATCCAAGAGTCTCCTATTCCCTTAACCACTACTGCGAACCTCTCTACAGCATTTTAAGTTCCACAATGACGTTAAGATATTGCGCATCTACAAACATTTATGCCTTCTCCGAGATTCGAACCCACACTAAACGCTATGACCCCAGTATATATCATAAGCAGTTTCCATATATTTTTCATCGCTGTCAGCGAGTCTTTTACACGATAATAAATATTGGATTTTATGCGTTTGTGTTTATTTGAATACGGCAAAGTCATGAAGATAGATTGCCTTCGTGGAGGACTTTCTGATGGAAACTGGCCAGTATTCACGTTATAGATGGGGGAAAATCAACCATGCAGCCAGCCCATTTGCACCGGATCGAATCTAAACCAGGTCGCACAATCTCAGTATTCAGCAGTCTTACCCATTCGCTCACTGGTGGAGCCTGTGTTTGGAGATCCTTACTTTGCCTTAAGATGGTAGAAACTCTCTCAAATTCAAAGGACAGTTTGAATGATAAAAGTCTTGTATTATTCTTATATATCAGAAAAGTGAACAGAAAAAAAAAAAAAAAAAATATGCGTGGTATTTAACGCAGTCAAAAGGGTTGCTGTAATACCGTAACATCGGAGGTTAGTAAAATAAGCCTCGTTTCGCCCTATTGGTGGTTTTTAATTAAAGAAGTACTTGATTCTAGAATTACGTTCAATAACAGTGAAACTATTTTCTGTTAAGTATTTTTTTCCCCTTATTGAATACCATTTTTCCCTAGATGGCTATCTCCAAATTAGAGTATGAGAAGCAATTACTGAAATGCTCAGAACTGTGTTAGTTTTAGTCCAAGATTTAAATCATAAATACACTAGTGGGGAAAAGCATATGCTTTTCTCTGATTTTATTCTACAAGAAAACAAATGCGAGAGAAGAAATTCATACCACAGAACCACAGTAGTAGATGGGATGGAATGTGGCGGGATATGTGCAGATGAGTGCACGAGCCATGTATGGTAAAACAGAAAAAGAAAAGAACAGCAATTTTTTTAGTCAAGTGCATCATGGACTCAGTCCAATTGCATCATGGACTTACTGCAACATTCCCACAGAAGAGCATTTGTATCAACATCTAAGCCATAAGTTTAAAATGCTTTGAACATTACCATTAAGATAATTAATTTAATAAAATCAAGACCGTTAAAATCGAACTTATTTGAAAAGCTTTACGAAAAGATGGCGAGTAACCATAAATCCCTTCTTCTACATATCGAACTACGTTGGCTACCAATAGGGAAATCCTAACACGATTTGTGGAACTCCATGAGGAAGTCGCAATGATTTTCGTTGATAGATACAAATTATAAAAATCGTTGCGCGATCTAAAATTTGCTTTTAAGCTCACGTATTTAGCAGACATATTCACCGAATTTATTCAATTGAATTTATACTTACAAAGCATATTTGCAGTGCATGACAGAATTCGAAGATTCATCCAAAAATTACTTTTTTATAAAAAGATCATTGGAGACCACTGATACAAGAATTTTATATGATTTCATGCGTTTATAATCTAAAATAATGGCATATTGTTGAAATAAGCTGAGGAAGAACTAGTAGGCCTATCAAAAGTGCATTATTAAAACTGAAATTTAAATCGAAGTAAACTGACACTTATAGTACTATTCTGATTATCTGCCCAACAACCTTATCCAGTTCTTTCTACTGAAGGTTTGAAGATATTGCTCCTTTTTACATCTTCCTACCTTAGTGAAACTGGATTTTCGGCAATGGTAGGAATTAAAACGAAGTATTGAAACAAGCTGCAATTGCCAAATTCCTTCTGAATGCTTCTGAAAATAACTCAAATTGACCTGGACTTGATTGCCATCATCAACAACAATCGAAAATAAGCGCATCCTTATTGGAAATATTTTTGTAAGATAATAAGTATTTATTTATTTAATAATAAATATTTTTTTTCCTGCACAAAATTTCTTTTTTGACCCATAAAAACCTTTTTCTGAAATAAAGTGTGCTGTTCCTTTCTGAAAAAATGTTATGCCCCGAGGATAAAGTGGGTTGTTATAGATTCGGTTTTCTAAAAAGAGGATCCCAATGTTTAATAGCTTGGGAACCCCTGTTTTATGGTATTCTAATATCATTTCGTATCCTGGTTTTGGAGTTTTCACAAGCAAGAAAAGCTCTCTCTACTCGGTTGCTATTGGATTGGCCTTAAAAAATAGCAGATTTATTTAATTCTAAACCAAGAATCAAAGGCTGTGCCTCAAGTGCAAATGCTGAATTTCAGTATTGCGCTTCCATAAAAAAAATGGAACATTCTTTCTTTCTTTTCTCCCTCCTCACTTTAGAAAGTTTTATGCCAGTGTCAAGATAAAGTTGTTTCAGAAAATCAGACATCACAGTTATTCATTTAGATTTCCAAAAGGCGAAATTTTTTTGACATCGAATGAATGCATTTTTATCCCATGTCATTTTTGGTTTCTAGATCAAATGCGCGTCAACTTGTCAAAAGTTTATCTTTGATGATCATTAAGACGGAAACAGAGAGCCCTGTCTGTCAGTTTCTTCCCCCCCCTCCAATACTTACATTTTAAAGTCAGAGCTGAATGACAGATGCATTTTCTTGCCTTCGTACAAATTTTGCCCTGAATCACCAGGAGGGGGAAAAAAAAGCTTGTTTATTTTTTTGCTTTATTGCAAATAGCAAACATTCTGCAAAAATGATGCCATCAAAAATATATCAGGCAAATAGGCTGTAACATTTTGTCAAATTGATTCGTCTACATATATCTAATTTAGTGCTTTATTAGCTTCAGTGCCCAGATCACCTTTCATTTATGCATTTCTCTACAGTTACTTCATTCTCCTTATTTAATTTTCAATCCTTGCAATTAAATATGAGTCCGTTTCGATATCTGTTATACATTACGATTTATGCATACACTACATACACTGTATATATAGTGCACTGGCATCTATGTTACATAACTAGCATTCTAGGCTAGTTATGGTAATTATGCAGTTCAGAAAATTAAAAGGCCAATCATAACTGAGCTGTAAATAAATCTCCTAGTTTATACTTTTAACTTTTTAATAGAAGAAAGTACCTCGAGCATATTTTTGCATTAAAATAAGTTCGCTATTTGATGCGAAGATTCGGATACTTTTTCGTTTAGGGTTCTCGGAAAATATCTGGCAGGAGACCAATACAGGCAGATACTGTAATTGAAGGCTTTTGTCAAATGGAGCGTTGAGGTGTTACACAACGCTGTTGATCTGAAGATAAAAGCGCTCAACTGGTATAAATTGTCATTCCCCTTATGGATTTCGGGCAGTATGCATTGCTACATCGAAAGACGCCGACATGAATTTTATTTATGGGATATGGGTAAAACGAAGCAGCTAGGGAAAAGAGGTACAGTGAATGATTTCCATGTATTTCTTTTAAGCAACTGCTTGTTTGGCCATCTGCAACCGTACAGATAAAATGCATATTTGCGTACTAAGGTTTCGGGTAACGATATATACTACTGGAAATCTGCACAAGGGAAGACAATTCAGGCTAGCAGGACGCTTTTACGACGTAGAGAACTTTGTGAAGCTACTGGCTAGGATCTGTACCTAGGCAATCTCGGCCAAGGGGGTATACAATTTATGAACTTGGTGGTTCTGAAGGCCCTGGGAAAGGTCACTTATTGGCCAGCCACGGGGTCTGGCACGTCCTAACGTGGCTTGGTTCTAGTAGCCCGGTAGCGTCTCCGGGTTTGCTGGGTAATGTCCCGCCGCGACGGGCATCCCGAACGACTAGCAGGTAGCAAATCAAACGACCAGTGCTGCATGGCAAGAAGCCAGGTGGTGCGCCCTCTCCTGGAGGGGCAATAGCGGAGGTTGAAACCTTTGCGACTTGCTCTAAAGGGAGTGGTGACCTGTAATGTTGTTAAGTCGAACGAGGCAGGGAAGCCCCAAATCGCTAGTTATATCCCACTCAATAGTGCCGTGTACCACCGAAACATGCCATTTGGGCATACACATTTCATTACAAAATCGTTTATTTCGGCTCCTTCTAACTGCCTTTACGTTTTTGTCGGATATTTTCCGATCATCGTGTATAACGACGCACGAAAAACAATTGGGGATCTTTAGAAAAACTGCTTGACGGCTTAGAATGGAAAATGAGAAATTCTGTTGTCTCATCGTCTGAAATTCTGTTGTCAAGTACGTGAATGAGAAATTCTGTTGTCAAGTGCATGCTCTTTCGTTTGTATGTGTGTATATTTGTTTTAGTTTTGTAGTGTTATGTCATGTCATGACATGTTAAATTTTATGATTTATAATATTACGAAATATCGCATGTAATATTATGAAATAGCTGTTGCGGGGACTGTCTTTCTTCTCTAATTTAAAAACAAGATTTAAATTATAAAAAGTGGCATCAGAAAACTGTTCCGAAATTTAAAACTGAATTAAATTAGGAACATCATATATCAGTTATTTTGTTTAGAATAACTATTCAAAATAGTTATGGTTAACTGGATCAAGCAAATTAATATATATATTATACAATTTTTTTTCCCCCCTGTAATGAACAGGAGGGAAGTATAGAAAGAGACTAATTTCATTCTGTGATTTACATTTCTTATTTACTATTTGTGAATGTGGAAAGCTCATAATACATAGCAGCTAGATCCAAGGGATGTCTCTACCAACTTTCTCTCACTCGTCTAATGGGAGGAAGAATGTGAGACAGAGCCTCGATAGTTCATCTTTCGCAGCCACAGGTGAACCATCAAACTCACCTCGCTCGGTCGCGCAATACTGGCTCATTTTCCAGCGAACTAGCATGGATGTTACTAACTTGGGTGTGTGTAATTATGGCAAAGCCTCGAGAGCTATCTGCCTAAGAGGAGGGAGGCCTTCGTGGAGGACTTTCTAAGGGAAACTGGCTCCTATACACGTTACACATGGGGAAAACCACGAAAACGCCCATGCAGCCAGCCCGTTCGCGGGATTCGAACCTCGGACCGAACTACCAGTGTTCAGCGACTTTACCGCTCGGCCGCTGGTGGGCGTTACTAACTTGGATTACTCTTTGATTACGTTGAAACACTCATGTCTGGTATTCACTTTTTGCTAACTATACATATGTGCTGAATTAATATATTTTCTATTAAACTATCGGATGTAAAAACAGGTATGTCATTTAATTTTTGCATTAGCACGATGACCCTACAGTCTCTCTATTATGAAGAAATGCTCATATGTACAAAACAAAATAGAAGATGAGTTGCATATAAATAGTGTTAAAAATGTCAAACTATTTTTAAAAAATTAACTGATATTTCATTTCTTGATGCATTTAATGATCCTGAAACTTATGATCTATGTTAGCGAATCATTTGCAATGCATAGTTTTAAAGGTATCAAAAGCAATGAAAAAATTATCTTATTGATGCAGTAGTTAGTATAGTTAGTCACTGATAGAACTAATATCAAGGAAATTACGTAAGATATTGCGTTTATTTTTTAATTGTATTGTTATACAAAGCCTTACCTTAACCCCCCCCCAAAAAATTTAATTTTTAGGCTTCATTCCTTTTTATTAATGTCATTTTTAAATTTCTATGATTATTGCTAACTAGAATATATACTAGTAGAATCTTAAGAAATACTATAAATCTGTGTTAAAAATAAAACAACAAAATTTGCCAGAATGATATTCTGCCATTTTAGTCAAAGCTTAAATTCAAGTGGACCCTGCCGGGCCCAGTCTCTGGCGAATCTCAGTTTTGGACGAAATTATAACTCCAGTACTTACAGTAAGGAAATGTAAGTAAGTAAAAGCAAATGGTTGTAATTCCAGAACCTAAAGAAGATGATTTTGGAGTATTTTAATATAGTATTTAAGAGAAAGATTTCAGAAAAATATAGATTCCAGTAGAGCAATAGTTGCCAATAGATGGCACTGATGATGCATTTGATTCTGTTCAAAGTTTCGTAGTAGGCGAAAGATGAACGACGTAAGCGAAACATTAGGATTCTGCATTACTGAATACTATTTAGAAAACGCTTTCTGCTATAAGCGAACGTTTTGGTGAATGAATTACATTATGGTAATTATTTAAATGTTACTTTATCTCTAGATGCGAAAATCATATATAGCTTATTTAAAATGTTCGCTGAAGTAAGGAAAATAGCTGTCGGCGAAGAGTGGTGGCGCCCTCTATTTTGCAATCTTGATTTTAATTGAAAAGCATTAAAAAAGTGAAAAGGATATCTGGCAACTATTTATTATTAAAATATAATAAGGTTTTTTTAATAAAAAATTTGGGAGCGGGATTTTGAGGATGTATTCTGTTAACAACGGTCATTTATTGCGCTTCACTGCATTTTTTAATATTTCAAAATTTGCCCAAATCTGGCAGACATTTATTAACAAACCGCCTTAACTGTTTAACTTAATTTCCTGATTATCTCATTATAGTTTATTTAATTTTAGTCATAAATTTATTAATTATTTTATTTATTTATTTTTGATTACCTGTGCTAATCAATATGGTTCCTGCACTTTTAATTTTACAGATTTAACCCTGGTTTTTGTGCATATATTTCTCGAAGTTTGCAATGAAAACAGGATTAGGAAAAAATAATATAGATTCAGTTATTATGTTTTAAAAGATGTTGAAGTGCCCGTTTTGAAATCTATGAAAAGTTAAAACTATTATAAAAACAGTTTGAAAATTTCAGAGATACAGTTATGGGGGGGGGGGGTAATGATAATAATAAAATTGCAAAAATCGGTAAATTGCTTTAAAGTTTTTGTAATCGACTGCATTTTAGAGTTTTTTTTTTTTTTTTTTTTTGTTGTTGTTATTGTTGTTGTTGTTGTTATTGCAACTGCTGTTGAGAACAGAAAAGTTCAAGAATTTTTTTAAATCCCTGAATGAAGGGAGTGTATGGGCAAAAATTCTGGGAGAAGTGGGGGGGGGGGGGAGTTTCAACATTCCATTTGAAAATTTAAAAAAAAGCTCTTAGTTGCACCTAGAATCCATCTGAGCGGTATGTGTGGCAGATTTTTAAATCTGGGACAGCCTGCATCCTGAGCTGTATCTGATTACCGCTTAGGCATCCGAAATCATTTATGAGTAATTTATAAAGCATGAAATCAAAGAATGCTTTATCATCCCTTTTTTTTTTTTTTAAACAATTTTAACATATTCAAAATATGCAGTTACTTATGTTGCTAGACAAATGGAATTGTTCTTGAAATTGAATGCATGTTCTTCTGCTAATTATGTATTAAACCATATTTCACATATCTTTCTTTTTTTTTTCAGCTGGTATTCTATTAGCAGAGTCAGAAAACAAAAATACTAGATATGAATCTGGTCAGTCATTACCAAGTGTTGACTCACTATCCCTTGCCGGTCACTCTTTTAGGCCTCGACCCCCACCCAAAGTGCCAGAAAAATTCTTGCCTCCTGTCACAGTGGATGCACAGATTCCTCCAAATGTGACACCTGAGGCTAATGATGAGGTGAATGACACAGTCAGTCAAACACCTGCAACAGTCAGTTCAAAAGTTCCTGCAATGAATGATACTTCACATTCGCAAACTATTGGTATGTATAAAAATTACTGCAGAGTATATTTGAATTAATGCAAGCCCTTTATGCAGAAATAAAGTAATCTAAAAGTTTCCCCTTAAAGTTAATTTAATAAAGAAAAAGTAATGTTCTTAACGTATAGTTCTTGCAAGTGCTTTTTTTATTATTAATCAATATTGATAAATTAACCTTTCTTATCAAAAATTTGATCCACTTCTTTCTGTAATAATTTTGCTGACTATTAAATTCAAAAACACAGTTGCTATTTATTTTTTATTGAGACACAACAAATTTCCTTTTCTTTATCCAGTACATTTTATTTATAAAAATTTTTTAAAAAATTTCTATCATAAAAAATCCCATCTTAGTATTTCTAAAATATATCTAAGATTTCTAATATTAAAAAAAATTAAATCTTGAAATAAATTTAATCATATGAAGACTAACATCACTTGTCATTTATGTTAATAATCAGAATTAGATCTTATCTATCTCAGCAATAAATTTCATTGAATCTATACCAATCTTTCTACGTCTTCAAGCTTTTGATTTTTTTTTAAATATTATATTAAGTGTCAGTATTTTAAAAATATATTTGTCTATCTTTTATTCTTATCTGTATAAGTAATTTACATAAATCAAATCTATGTTTCAGTGCCAAATGCCTTAATAGGAGAATTTACGATAATTAATGAAAATTTTACTGAAGATTTGAGAGATAATCGTTCTCAAGGTTACATGAACTTAGCTGGACATTTGAAAGCAGAAGTAAGTAGCTTAAGATCATGTGAATATGAGCCAATTCCCATATGAAAGGCTTTCAGATATGATCCCATATGAAAGGCCTCTCATTAAAATCATATAACAAGTGAACTTTTTGGTACGCATTTTTGTAACAATAAGCTTATCACCTCAATTATAAACAAAATAAGGCACAGTAACTGAAATTAAAATTTAATAATGTGGATTTTCCAAATCAGTATAACAATATATGAAACTTCCAAATCAATATAACAATATGCAAGTTGTAAAGAAATTATATTACCTTTCAAAACCATATTTGGGGTCAACATGACTTCTTAAGAATCACATAATAGAACTGAATTTGCAAAACATAAATCAATATTTTAGTTTATAAAAAAAAATTTTACTTAATTTAAAGTGCATGCAAATAAAAATGATACTAATAATGTAAAATAAGATTAATGTTAAAAAAGTCAGCTGTGATTTATGAAAACATGGTATATATTACTCTTCAAGAACTTTTCCCTTTGTGTAACTTGAATTTAAAATGAAATTTTAAATACATAGCAGTAAATCTGTAAAGATATTTAGTTAGTGAAAGAAGACTATTAGTGTGAACAATTATTTTAAAATAACTGTTTGGTTAATAAAATATTGTTACGAAATGTAAAGGCGCCGTGAGATGGCTTCCCCGTAAAGCAATTTTAGGGTTGCCATAAAATGGCAAAGGAGGACAAGGTTGCCACATTTGGCTCAAAATCGTCCATTTGGCGACAAAATTGGCTATATACCATGGACGGTTGGAGAACCTTCTGGAACGAATTCTTACCGGTTTAGCTCAGAATGTTTCCGAACACAAGCCAAAAGCTATATAAGCCCTGCTGGTCCGCAGTCAGTTAGTGTGCGTCTCTCATCGAGTGAGTGTGTCTCGTCTAGCGAGTCAATCCCTGAAGAAGCAATCGCATTGACAGCCGGCCTGCGAATGCCGAGTGCAGCGAAAGAGTCTCGTAGAGCATCGCGGTTAGTGCATCGTCGAGAGACCGTGTTGAGCTCCGGAAAATGACTGAACTGTGAGTCGGGAGCTGTGCTCCGTGTCTCATCAAGTGCATCGCGGGTTGTAGCATGGAGAGTCTCGAGAGTACGTAGAGTTCCGAGAATGACCAAGCAGAGTCGGCTGCTTTGCAGTGAAGCTGTCTCCACCGTTATTGCCTCACAGTGTGAAGGCTGTGTCGCTGAATGTGTCAGAGTGTTTATAACAGTTCAACGACTGTAAAAGTGATTTTGAAGCCATCTGATTAACATTGGTAAATAAAGTGTGTTTCAATACTTCATCAAATGTCGTCGTTATTCACTCCAAATCTATGAACCCCGTACGAACGTGAAGGAAGAATATAACATAACAACTGGTGTCAGAACAGAAGAATTAGAAAAAAACGTAACAATATGTAAACGGATTGAAAAGTTTTAGTCTCTCTGTTGAAAGTTTAGTCTGTACAGAATTAGAATTAGATGACTGTATGAGCTCTATATTCATTTTTTCCATCCTCTCAAATTTGCATCCTTAACATTAAATTACACTTTCTACAGTGTTTCTGTAAATGATAAAAAAATTCAACATTACTAGATTGATGGATTTGTAACATCTTTAACACTATGGGTCTGGCAGTTCATGTGAAGAAACTTCTTCTTCATGTGAAGAAAACTCCTTCTTACCTTTTCAGTGTTAAGTAATATATGTTAAGCAAGTTAATGTAAGTGTGTATATGCACTGCACATATATGCACATACATGCATACATACATACATTTCTGAATTCGGTCCTGATAACAGAAAAATACCAAAAATTGCCATTACCAGATAGCATTTATATCTTCACTATGCCAATGAACAGCTAATGCCCTTTCTGACAGTATACATGTAATGTTATATAAATGGTATAAAACCATTTTCCAAATACTTGTGTTATATTGAATTTCTTCTTCAAGTTCTTTATTAGTAGTCAGATTTTTTTTTCCCATGCTTCATATACAGTGTTTGCTTCTGCATGTGATTTGAAAGAATTGTTAGTTTTAATTCTTACCATTAAATTTTTCCAATCTCTAATATTTGAACATCAATCATTACCAGTTAGAAAAAAACGAACAAGGTTTGCCAAATACAGCATCCAGTAATTTAGAGTAACATAGTGTCATGGCACTTATGCATACCATATCACAGATGTATAATATGCTACACTAAAATGCCTATTTCTTTGTTTAGTATCTTTTGTAAAATATGTCTGTGATTGTGTGTGTGTGTGTTTTTTTTTTTTTTTTTCATTTTTTCATCTTAATTAATTAGAAATTTCATATCATCGGTAATATTTTTAGCTGCATAATTACCTTATCTGCTGATGTGTACATGTCTATATGTTTATTGTCAGCCTTACTCAGGAGTAACATAGTTTTTTGTTCAGACTTTTCAACCTTCCTGGCAGAGACACTATCTGCTGAAAAAACTCTTCCTTGGTATTATATTTTAATAACAAAATTATTTAATTTTGGGAGCTTCTTTTTTTTATTTGCCTGTCCTTTTCATTTCTGGGCCCCCACCATTTTTTTCTTATCCATTTTAACTAATAATCTATAGTACTTTGTCCATTGTTATAATTACTTTAATGTTTCTTATCTTCACATTTTGTTTTCCATCCAACAACTAATAAAGCTGTCCTTAAGAGTTTGCAGAACTAAATGTAGTTGTGTATCGAAGCTCGCTTATTTGGTTTGTGATAGTAATTGTTTGCCATGCTTTAACCTTATGCTCAAATATAAAAATTACAACAAAAACAAATACAAAATTGTCATCACAAACAAAACAGGCTAATTTTGGTTAGATTGTGCTTGCACATTTGATGACAAAATATTTTCATGTTTAACCCTGGGGAGAAGAAATAAAAACAGTCTCAAAGTTTTTCAAACAGCCATTTTTTTTTTTCCTTTCTCTGGAGGGGGGTCCACAAATCATAAACATAAACTGTTTCTCCCATCAAAAGCTAAAATGGAGATTTTTCCGAGGCAAGAGAATTTAATTGTACAAAAATTATTTTTATAATAATGTAAATGATAATAAGATTGCTTGTATGACTGAAGGGTTTAAGAAATGTTTGCAAAATTTTAAGCCAGCAGGTTGAACTTTTTTTTATTACATTTACTGTTTACAATACATTTGTATAATTAAATTCCTTTTCAGAAGTCCCATTTTTAACTTATTCATTTATTAATTATCATAGATAGTTTCATCCATTAAAAACTGTGCAGTAGATGCATTTTCAGTCATCTATTTTTATTGCTTCTGAACTGATATTTTATTTTTTGAAACTAAGTACCCAACAATAGTCCTCAGTTTGAAAAGAATGCGTGAATTCAAGAAATTGTGAAACAAATTGAAAAAAGCATCTGAAAGCCTTCAGATTTTATATTATGCCCAAAAGGTTGTTTTTTATGGGTTGCCTTTATTTATTAAATATCATGTTCTTTTCACTTAAACCATAAAATTCAATTCAACAGCAATATTGCAAAATAATATTAAAATGAACATGTCTTTAGAATTTCCAATACACAGTCTCGTGCACTGGAGATAAAAAGGGTCCTTCCCCCCAAAACAGTGTTGCCTTTGCTTGCTTTGAAATCGTTGAGTTTGTTAATCAAAACTTCATTAACGTTTTACAAAATATGAAATAGATAATAAAACCAATTCCAAATTTGGGCTTCCAGATGCCCATACTTGAGTGGAGGATTACTTTATGCAAAATTTGATGTCGCTAGGTACTGTTGTTTTTTACAATGGGAGAAACGTACATGCATTCATGCAGATTCTTCACTATTTAATTTCTTGAAATATAATCTAATATTTGCTGGCAACAATTTGAAAAGTCAAAGATCGTTTTATAGTGGACAACACAAAATGCCAAAATGAAATTGATAGCCCTTCTGGGCAAATTGCCCTTTGGGCTAAAAAAAAAAAAACTTGGATTTATTATAAGAGGATTCATAACATTCTAGAAAGAGCTTGAAATCTCTTTTTTATTGTTGTTTGTTCTCATATGTGTAAATAATTCAATGTTAATGAATAAATGTTCCTGTTTATAAAATGTGCTTGCTACTGATTTATATATTATTTGAATTTGTGTTTTTATTTAACAAGACATTTACAGAAAATGATTTTTTCCTCCTTTTCTAGCTTCGTAGGATTTTTAAGAAAAGTAATGCTGTATTCGAATCTCTAAAAATACTAAATTTCAGGTAATCTAAAAGGAAGGATGAATTATTTTAACTTTTACATTTATTTGTCTTTCTCTCCTTAAATGTTGCAATTTTATGATACACTATGATGAGTCAGTATTATGAGTTTATGATACACTATAAGTTTTCAGTACGTTTTCTTTTATAAGAATTGTGTAAAAGTGTATGTATGTAGTATTTTTTTAGTGTATGTACGTAGTTTTTTTTTTTTTTTTTTTTTTTTTTTTTTTTTTTTTTTTTTTTTTTTTTTTTTTTTTTTTTTTTTTTTTTTTTTTTTTTTTTGTGGCAGACTACACAGAGATGAGAAAATTGTATGTGCAATCCCCGCAAGTCAATGTTTTCAAGCTTTTACGATGTGTCACACGACATTGTCTGACATCTCAAATGCAATAGTTGTTTCAGTTGACCATACAAGAGACATAATTTCATGACCAGTGTCAAGAGACTTTAGCATTCTAACTGTCATTAAAGCCTCTTGATTTCAGAAGGCTGACGAACCAATGATCTCGTTTTCCACTGATATCACTCCAGACATAATGATTCAGAGGATATAAAGTACTACTGAAAAATTAAGGAGGCATGGTTAATTCAGTCTGCAGTTTGTTTCCATCAGAACATGATCCCAGAATGCTCTTGAACTCTTGAATAGAGAGACCCTCGTTAGCAGGTTCCTTGCGTCAGGAGGAGTTACTTCACTTAAATATCTGTTCTATGCTATCCATGAGTTATATATATTTGTAAAAAGCTTCTCGTAATATTTTTTGAGCGAGTTCAGAAATGCAGTAAGTAATGCACAACCTCACAAATATATTAATCATTATACAGAGTCAGAAGCTCTACCTGCCGTCTGTCTCCCACATTCTAATACATAATAGCACACTTTATTTAGAGTATAAAGTCTGGATGTCGAGTATCCAGAATGATCTAAAATTCAGACCTGATTACCACAAACCTTTTTATTTAGGAATATATTTTTATGCTTTACGCTTGCACATTTGATATTTTTTCATAATAAAACATCTGGAGAGTCCTGATTCTTAATTTCACATTGGCTCTGAAACCGACACAGTGAATCATTATTTGTTACTTTAATCACCGCATGACTATCAACACACTGTAGCTTGAGAAATAACTCACTGAGCCATGTTTTTTTAGTTTGAATACTAGTTACTGAATACCAAAGGGCATAGTAACATGAGAAGAAATTCAACAGAAATTTCTTTCAATATGCAAAATATGTACAGGTTTTTGCAAATGATACTCATAAGCCTAAAGATTACATTTAGATTACATTAGATTAAAGACATTACAAAAGATTATACAAAGACAAAAGACATATACAAAAGATTACATTCTTTGAACTGAGAATAACTGATCTGCTGTTCATTTAAACCCCGCACCAATGCCAGGTGTGGTGCAGCTAGCTGCACTGGGTAGCAGAATTTAGGGTAGGCAAAATTTTTATTATTGAGAAATACCAAACAACTTAATGAATGGATTGCAAAATATGTAGAATTTAGGGAATGCACTGAGATGCAAAATTTAGGAGTGTCAAATTTTTTAGAATTTAGGGAGGCACTTGACAGCAGAATTTGGACCTGCAGAGACTGTACTGGGACACAAAATATCTACCTCTGGCTCTGGATAAGCCTTCAGTATATGTGAGAATTTATCTATTTGAGACTAATATATAGACTGTAAATCATAAGCATGTGCAGAAAATAGTCATAAGTGTAATAAATAACTAAATTAATATAATGCAAGCTTAACTTCATCAGTAAGCAATAGAAGCAAGACAAACTTTAGAAGTTTAGAAGGAGAGTATATCATTAGTTGCCAGTTTCATGATATATCACCAATAGTATAACAGCAGATGTTAACTAAGCTTTATGGTGATAGTTACAAATTTGAAGGTTTTCAGATACTACAAACAAAATGTGAAATTTTCCAATTAATGGAATTTGTGAAGAAATGTACAGAAGTGGTAATAAATGAAGATGATATAACAGAAGTTTTTCATTGTGATAGCCGTGCCCTAACTATCAATTAACTCCAATGGATGGGGAAATTTGTAGTGTGGTTCTAAATGTAGAAAATACTGCTATCAATGCTGAAGAAAGTGACAGAGAGGTTGTTGAGAATGGAAAAATTTCATTTGAAAATTTGATAGAAATTCTTGATGTGGCACTTTTCCAGTGGAACTTTGTAATTGAACAAGAAATTTTGTATATCTATGGAATTAAAGACAGAATATTAGCATGAAAATGATGGCGCAGATTTTTAAACAAATTGCTTTTAAATAAATATTTAATAAAGTAAGCAAATAAATATTGAGCTGCTGTCTTTTTGTTTTGGTAAATTTTGATATTATTTTGTCATAAATGATTCATTATTTCATAAATTGCAATTTCATATTTTTAATTTTATAATTTCTACATGTCATCTGAATAAATTTAAACTGATGATATCTAATACCCGAAATCTGAGATTACCAAAGCAGATCTAAAATCCCCAAAGTCCTGAAGAGTCTGGATCTCAGACTTTGTAACTGTACTGTAAAAATTTTTAACTATTTATAGTTGCAATAGATTTACTACATTTCATGCAATTTAAGATTTACTCATTTTTTAAACCTCCTGAAACTATTTTAGGTCAGTAGTAAAGGAACAGAATAAGGAAATAACTTTCTGGTTGTATAAAGAAATTATTTAATTGTTAAATTTAACTGCATAGTAATTAAAAAGCATAAGTTATTTTTTATTTTAGGATTATTTAAAATTTTATGCTTTCATATTCCTTCATATTCCTTACTCTAAAAGTATTCTTATATTACCATAATTACAATGTTTATGAGTTATCTTTGAATGCTGTAAATGAATTTTTTTATTTACTTAGTTTAATGTTGTATATTATAAATCATTCATGTATGCACATTTTAATTAAATACCAGCTTCTGCAAGCAGTTATGATAATAGCTAAAAGGGCAATTATACAACTGATTTCTTTATTTCTCTCTGTAGTCCTGGAAGTCTGAAGGTAAAATTTCTGGTAATCTGGCAATCAGATTCTGGGTTTATCTTAGCTAATCAAGCATCAGAAATACTATCATCTGATTTAATAGAAAAGAATAATTCTTTTGGTGGCTTTTTTGTAGTTGACATTGGAAGCATTCATTTCACAGGTAAACATTTATGTTTTAGGTAGTATTAAATGTTTTGAATTTTAAGGTATAATTTTTAAATAATTATTTGTTTTTCATTTGTTATTTCCGTTTTTAAATCCACTGTTTAGTAAGTAAGGAAAATTAAGTACTTTTAAATAATTTTTTGGAGTGATTTCTGTAGTCATCTTAAAAATTGCATGATTTGTAATTAATTACAAATTATGTGTGATTTGCAAAATTTTTGGCCTCATTGAATGCCATACTAATTTTGTAATTTAATTAAACAAATCGTTCAATAAAATGCTACAATATTTTACGTGTATCTTACTCCATTAAGTATGGTTTTTCTATTTTTTACATATGCTGCGATTTTACACACTAGCAGTAAACTGACATCTGTCAGTTTGCAAAGAAGTTTTGAAAATCTTAGTTGTAAATGAGGCAAATATTTGTAGATGCTGTCAAATTTAATGCTGTTAATAAGTGGCTTACTATGACTATGTAATGCGGGAAAAATCATAATTCTCTCTCTAAGACAGCCACTCCCAATTGAGTGATCATTTTAAAGAGGTGAAATTCAGTACTAATGTTTATTTATGTTCAGTGAAATACTGATCACTTTCAGAAGTAGTCATCTTAGAGAGGTTATCATCACACCTGGGTTTATTTTATTTTGAATGGGAAGACTAATGAGTGCAATAATTCGTATATATTCTGATAAATTTTTGAAAATCAGATTAAGAAAGAAATCAAAATAATCATGCCATAATTAATAAATAGCTTTTTAATTTGGATGTCATAAAACTTTAATGATTGATGAAAAACATTTCTATGTCAAGAACTAGACATATGAAACTAGATTATAACTATTTTTTTTTCTTTTGAAAGTATATTAGTTAAAAAAAAAAAAAAAACATGCTTAAAGCTATCAACAGCATAAGATTGTGATATTAACAGCTGATCAGCAAGCACATTATCATAAAACAGTTTCACAGGTTGCTTGTATGTGCTCCACGTGTGATCTCTTGTATCAGAACTAGGTTTTCCTATTTCTTCCCAGTGCATTCCTTCATCAATATATTTTATTTTGAGCCTAACAAGAAAATTCCGATTTCCTACAACTTATTACTAGAAGTTATTACTGCATCTACAGTAGGGTTACAGGAATAGGTGAAAGCCAGTTACTTCTTTGTCACATAGAGCTGGTGCAGTTTCAGCTCCTCCATGTTATGCAAAAGTCTGATTGCTCTAGAATCGAATCGCTTGCTGTGTCAAAAGACATAAAATGATGTTTCTTTTAATACTTATGAATATTAGGTAAACATATGAGTGAAAGTGTTAGCGCTTTAAATGTTAAGCAACTAACCTAATCCCTCTAGTCTATTGATGGCATGCCACAGTTGTTAATCTTTAATGTTTCTTTTTATTTTTGTATACACATTTACATATTTGTAATGTGTAATAGTATAGTCAGCTTCACAAAAGTAATCAGTTGCTGTGCTATAGAAAGCAACAGTTAACACATGTTTAGTAATATTTATGCTGATATTTAATTTTATTTCTATTTAAATATTTAAAATTTTTTCAGATGTATTTGATGAATGTCGAATTCAGAAGGGGGGTTGTTCTTTCTTCTGTATATGGAACTATAATACTCTGACTAAAACCTGCACTTGTCCTGGTGGTATGGTTTTGCTCCCTGATAAACGATCTTGTGCTCAAAGGGATTTAGGTAAGTTATATTGCTTATTTTTACTCTTTACTCTTTAATATTCAGTTAGACCCATTTAACACTGTTTTGGTATTACACAGTAGTATTGCTATTTTTTAAATTGCATGTGGTATCAGTACTGCTGAGTAAGTTTATAACAATGTGGGTGCTTTTTCAGCCAATTAACAATGAACTTTGTTTCCGTGCATGTAGCTTCTTAGTTTAGCTGTTGGTGTTGAGGCAAGTTTGTTAAAGTAATAGCCATAATATCATTGTAATAGGAACACATTGTGTCAATGTTGACTTATGATCAGTCATCAACATTATTGTTTGCATAAAAATATAAACATAATATTTTATTTTATTATGATAATTTTTTATTTTTAAATGGATGACTGCAAAGGAAAAGAAAGGTATTTGACTTGAAAAAGCATTTTCCTAGAAATAAAAATAAAGCACTGTTAATTAGATGCATTGTTAAATAAAGCACTGTTAATGTTGAATCCAGTGTGCCATTAAGTCAAGCAGTTGTAATTGAAAAACCAAAAACAATTTTTAGCTATTATTCAGAATGAAAAAAGCAACACCAGTGAAAATTCAGTAGCTAGTCAAAGGGTGTTCTATCTATTTAAAAACAGGAACAATCTTCCTAACATACAGATAACTAGAGAGGCAGCAAATGGATATAAAAGTAGCTGCTGTATTTCCAGCAACATTAAGAGCAATTATTGAATGAGTGAATTATCCTCATGAGTTAGTTTTCAGTAATGATAAATGGACTCCTTTTTATGGAACAATGTATGCCTTGAGCTAAGCAAGTATGTTGGTAACAAGAGGATTCATTGTTGATGTTGATGAAATTATCAAGCTAGCTAGTGAAACAGGGTTGAACAATGTAAATTTGCAGGGTATTGAAAAATTATTGCAAATTACAGGTGGTGAATATCTTTTCAACGACAATCTTAAAGACTTAGTAGAGCAAAAAATGCATGATGAGGATGAAATTAGCATTTCTGAAGAAAAGCAGCAAAAGTAATTTTCAACTAATCTTCTAAAAAACGTTTAGCTGCAGTAACAGGAAATACAGGTCATTTTTTTATAGAAAAGGATTTAAATTTTGGTAGAAGTTCGGTGGAAAGATGAAATATCAACAACTAGTACTTGCTAAATTAAACAGGAAAAGACAAACAACATTAGATGACTTCTTCACACATACGCAAACATGCACATGCACAAAAACAAACAAAAAAAAAAAAAAAAGGTTAATTTAGGAAGGACCTTTTTCATCAAAAACATAACTTCTTTACTCATTTTTTTCTTCATGAATGTTTTATGAATAAAAATCTATATTAGCAATAAATAAAGTGATATAATGTAATAAAAGAGTATTTAACAATAAATGTTACAAAATTTTTAAAAAATACATTTTTTTATTCTTTCTTCTGTTGCACTTATCCTGATTATGTGTTAAGATGACCTCATATAACACTTTTTCGTTTAGCACTGGAACTTAGTGAAATATCTCTCCCACATTTTACATAGAGTCTTACTGTGTATTATTTTTTATTTTTAGCAATTTTTTATTGGTTGCGTGCATGTGTGACGGATTTTATATTTTTACTATAATGTTTTATGCGTTACAGTTTGAGTGCTTAATATAGTTGCATATATTTTACATCATTTGTTGATAAATATATAATGTATATATATGTTTGCATATATTTACATTATATATTTATCATTACATTATACATTACAACAACATTACATTATATGTTGTAAAATATCATATGAATTGTTGCATGTATTTTACATCAATAATTCATTTTTCAGTATTTTCCTGTGATTAAACGTATTATGCAGCATATTTTAAATCATTTAGTACTTTGATATGAATAGGAAAAATTTAGATGTTATTTAAAATTGATAAACTGGAAGTGATATTTTACTTGAAGCTCTGAACAGACTTTGGTAAAAGATATATTATCTGATAATCTACACTGGTTATCATAAATTAAAGAAAAATCACAAAAATAGTGATAACTCCCTCAAAAATAAGCCAAACTGTGTAAAATTTGAATATGTTGCCAAGTAAGAGTAGCTGAATAAAACTGCAATATTCAAATTAGTGGCGCTGCACTCAGAATACGTCATCTGCGAGGAGTCCATGTTTGAGAGCATGACCACATATTTCACTGTGATAGTGACATCAGAAATCTGAGAAAGCCAATTCGTAACAATGACCTCCAGGCATCATTTGCCTGCAGAACTACGATGGAGAGCCATTGGGAGGCAGGATAAAGTCAAACAGAAGTGACCAGATGGCTAAATGGGAATTCTTCTGTGGTTCATAGACTTTGGAGGCAATTTCAAAACACAGATTCGGCATCTAGGAGGTTCAGCCAAGGACGGCCAACTGCTACAACGAGCGCCGATGACCGATATTTGACATTATGTGCATGCAGGAATAGAACCGCTACTCCTACTCTTCTTAGATCCTCCCTTGCTTCAGCCACCAGATGGTTGGTGTCAACGTCAACTGTGTATAGAAGGCTTCAGAAAGGTGGTTTGTATGCGAGGTGACCAGCCATTTGCGTGCGCTCACGTCACGCCACAGGAGGGAGCATTTGCAGTAGGCATGACAACATGTCTACTGGACACCTGATCAGTGAAGGGCTGTTCTCTTTACTGATGAGTCTAGGTTTAGTCTAAAAAGCGATAGTAGGCATTATTTGACATGGAGAGAACCTGGAACCCGTTATCATCTGTCAAACATCCATTAAAAGAGATGCATACGGAAGATTCAGTGTCTGTGTTTGGGGTGGCATCTCTTTGGGTGGACACACAAACCTCCATGCCTTTCCAACGGAAATCGTGAATGCTCCGGTTTATAGAGATGACATCCTTGATGCTTATGTGCACCCATGTGCCGGGAAAATAGGTGATGCTTTCCTGTTACAGGACGATAACGCAAGATCATACAGGGCTCGCATCGTATATGATTAACTTCAACAGAAAACAATTATGCGCATGGAGTGGCCAGCTCAATCCCGAGACTTGAATCCTATCGAGCATGTTTGGGATGCTTTAGGGAGATGTCTAGCTCCTTTCAATCCGTTCTTCAGACCCTTGCTGCACTTGCAACTGCTTTGAAAGAGTAATGGCTCTCTCTTCCTATGCAACTGATAGACCGCATAATTGAAAGTATCACACTTCGCTGTATGTGCCGTATTGCTTCTAGAAGCGATCATATTCCATATTGAAGGTACTTTTCCTATAGCAAACTGACACCTTCGATTTGTTCATTTTATACATGTGCTAATTTCTATACTACCATAATTGTCTGGTAATTTATTTTTATGTTATTTGATACCTTACTATGTGTTGTATATTGTGGGTAAGTTTCATAAAATTCTACATGTAACTTTTTCAGTAATCGTGATTTTTGTGATTTTTCCTTAATTTATGATAACCTGTGTAAAACCTCTCAAATTTGTTATTTAAATAAAAATATGATTGAGAATAACATATTACATACATTTATAAGCATTAAATGTATTCATAGATTTGTGCTAAATAAAACAAAAATAGCTCATTGTTAAGACAAGCTCTCATTATGAAGCAGTTAAATGTATTAGCCTCAGTCCTCAATGTTGTGTTCATTTCACTTCTGTGTCAAATCTCTTTCCAAATAAAAGGATGCTGCTATGAAATATTATTGCTTTATATTATGTTTAAAGAAATAATATGGCAAATACAAATCATATAGTGAATATTAAAAAAATGTATGGCAACACTTAATACTCTATCAGGAATTCTAAAAACATGCTGCTTTTAAAAATTTTGTGCTTGTTAAGTCATTGACCTGTGAATTCGAGATACTATATGCATGCCTGGACTTAGAGACCCAGGGCCCCCAGGCACTTGACATTTGCCCCCTCCCAATTTGAAGCTATTTTGGAAATTTAGCAAATTAAATGCACTAGAACAGAACATATAATTTTTAATAGACTTTAATAACCTTAATAAACATCAGAATTCAGAATAATACAGTCTATGTTGCTATAATTACGTTATTCTATAAAATTTATAGAATCATATGGTGAACTTTCTTCTGTGCAAAAGAACGAATGATGTCATAGTCAATTGGCTGCATTACTTCTGACTCTATATACATTACAGAGAGTGAATTGAGCCTGTTCTTTACTATATTAGATCTTAAGTAATTCTTTACTCTCTTTAGCACTGAAAACGACCGTTCTGCTAAGCAGTTTGACGCTAGTGTACACAACAGCATTCGGAGCACAATTCCTATGTTTGGATAAATGTCCAAAAAGCTTTTTTCCGATAAGTATTTGTATAGCTTCAGTTATGATAACTCCATAACTTCATCATTCAACGACAAATCAGCTTGCAGGTGCAGACACTTATTTTCCAATGTCCTATCCAAACCCCCTGGATAAAAAGTTATGAGGTTTCTGGCTCCTTCATGAATGTATTTATATTCCAAACGATGTAGTTTCGTAAGAAATCAAACCTTTTTACTTAACTCCTCATAAGCAGATCTGCATCTCCGTAGTTCTGTAATTAATCTATCTATAATAACGTTGAAAATGGTAACTTGGAATCTGTCCCTGCCAGAGTTCGGTCTCGTTTGCTTTTACTTCGTCGAACTGGACTTTACGCTTGTGCTTCCTCCGCATGTCATATGCATAGCTATATTCACCAGATTTTTCAATAACTTTCGACTCATAATGATCAAAAGTACTGGGTTTCCTTAAATGTTCTATGTATGTTACGAAAGACTGATACAGTTCAACAATCGTACCCAGGTCAAGGTTAACAGATTGGAGAGATTCTGCCACCGGGGCCTTGTAGACCTAGGCAGAAATCCGACGCTGACTATATGAACAGAAGATAGACTATGATTGATGTGATATTTTCAGTGAAAAAAGAATTGATATGTACATGGGCAAATGTAGTTATCGTTGCCTATTATATGAGAGAACTGAATAATAAAATTCAGTAGTACAGTACAAAGTCAGCGATCTTTACTCATGGGACTTCAGCGATCCCAGATTTGGGATTTTTCTGGATATTAGATCATCAGTTGAAATCTAGTAAGATGGCATGTAGAATTTATAAAATTAAAAATATGAAATTGTAATTTATGAAATAATGAAGCATTTATGATCTAAAGGGTGTCAAAATTTACAAAAAAAAAAAAAAAAAAAAAAGCTTAATATGTATTTTTGTTTACTTTATTAAACATTTCTTTCAATGTAAATTATTTAAGTTGCTTATTTATTGTGCTAATACTTTCTCTTGAATTCTATAGACAGATATAATTTACTGTTCAGTTACAAAGTTCCATTGTTCAAAGTCCTGTAATTTCTGTGTCGAAAATTCCAACTAACTTGTGAATCAAAAGTTTTTCATTTTCAATAAACTCCCTGTCCTTTCTTCACTATCGGTAGTGGTATTTTCTGAATTTTACAGATTTTGATGTCTGTTAATTGATTGATGATTGGGACATTGCCATCACAATGAAAAACTTCTGTTATATCATCTTCATTTATTACCACTTCTCTACATTTCTATACAAAATCCATTAATTGGAAAATTTCACTTTTAGTTTGTGATATCCGAAAACTTCAGATTCATGGCTATCATCTTCATCAGCCTCATCATGAAATATGGTAGCTGGCCATAATGCTAAGCCTTTCTTAAGGTATCTGGAGACACATACTCCCATGATCTTGCGATGATCCACATAGCAGATTTTATGCTAAAATATTTCAAAAATTCTTGAATAGTCTTGCCATTATTCAAGAAATTTAACATGGACTTTAAAAATGCTATTTTATATTTACATTTCAGTGTGCACAGCATTCCTATAGGCTGAATGATGGACATACAATTTGGAGGGAAGCATAATATGGATACATTATCTTTCACTAAATTTTTAAGTGAAGTATGAGCCATACAGTTGTCTACACTCAACATTGCCTCATGAGGTAAACTAACCAAATTCAAGTGTTGCTGAGCCTCCTTTATGAAATGGTTTTTCAAGCCAATCATTCATTAATGCTTGTGTCATCCATGCTCTTTTATTTGTACAATATATAATGGGGAAAATCTTTACTCCTTTAAATGCTCGAGGTTGTGTATTTTTTCGATTATGAAAAGTTCACACTTGTGTGTTCCTGCAGCATGCTGAAATTTTGCATTTGTGCATGTTAAAATTGTTAGTCTCGCTTTGGAATATTTGACACCAATTGGAGCCTTTTCTGGAGAGCTTGCCATATATATTGCCAGAAAAGACCAGTTTCATCAGTGTTGTAAATTTGATCGGGAGACAACTTTTCACTTTTAATAGTTCAATAGATTCATCTGCAAACAGTTCAGCAGCTGAGATTATCAACTACCATGAGATTTGGGATGAAAGACAAGTTGTTCTGTTAAATTTTGTATGCTTCTATAGTGCACGGAGACAGTTAAGCCTGAATTGCATTATTTTAGTTATTTATTATACTTATGTCTATTTCTTGTACATGCTTAAGGCTTATCTCAACCCTGAATAAATAAATTCTCACATATCCTTTAGGCTTATTGAGGGCTGGTGCTAGATATCTTACTGTTTGATGCAGTTCCTTAGTTCTGCTACCAAATGCCTCTCTAAGTTAAATTTTTTGCCACCCTTAAATTATGGTTCCCACTGCTTTCCCTAAATTCTAAAAATTTTGTCATCTCTTAATTTTGTTGCTTAAATTCTACTTAAATTCTAAAAGTTTTGTCTTCCCTAAATTCTGCTACCCGGCACAGCCATATGAGCTCTGGCGCCAGTTTTGGGTTTATGTGAATAATAAATCATTTATTCTAAATTCAAATAGCATTAAATGTTATCTTTTGGCCTATGTATGTAGTATCTTTTTGATTATATTTAATGTTCAAAATTCTTATTTAGGAAATTGGTTTTGTGTTTTATTGTAGATATTGTTTAAATGTTGCATGTGAATTTTTTATTTATAATTTTAAAATAATTGAAAAATTATTTTATTTATAAATAATTTATAAATTATTATTAAGTTCTTTTAGATAAATTACTTCTTTTACTATTATTATTGTTTAAAACAGGGATTCCCAACTTTATCTTGCATTTGACCCCTTCTAACAGAGTACTTTACTTCATCTACCCCTTTACACTTTTCATTATACATAGTATACAACAAAATTATATTACGAATAATTGAGTGTATATAAAGATAATGGTTAGACTAAAAATGTGAACAAAAGTTTTGAAAAAAATTGTTTATTAGACTGATGTTTTGTTATTTTTTATATTCTTATTACTTTTAATTTTAAAAATGTAAAATTTTCAGAGACAAAATTGCAGATTCTTATTGCCCAAGCGTTCAGTTTTAATTAATGTGTTGGCTGCACTTAATGTATTCATGCAACTATCTGAATATTTATCATAAAGCTACTTAACTTAGTTATTAAATTACCTCATTTAGAAATACTCAATGTGTTTTGTGTTTTTCATAGTAGGTTATTTACTATATTATTTGAATAAAGGTTCATTTTGCTGGCTAAGAAGAGGGGAAAATCAAGAATATTGATCTGTTAACAATTATAATTTTGGAGTATTTCTCTTGAATGATTTTTAAATTCCAAAAGTTAGTGTACCCATTGAATAAGACTTCATGTATTTGTATGATAAAGTTTTATATCATTATGGAATTATAAATTGTATTAATCCATTTCTTTATAATCACTGGGATCTTGAATGTGCAGATCAATTGCTGGTGCATATTCAGTTATCAAAACCTTATAAAATTGCTTCGACCCTCCCCCCCCTCCCAAGGGTAGCCCATACCAATTCTATTGGGAAACCCTGGTTTAAAATTATAAGTGTACTTAATTTTTGCCTTCAAATGCATTGTGTGAAATAAAGACTTTTTAGTTTACCATTATTGAAAATTAATATTTATGAATATTTTTCTTATATACTGTTAACTGTATTTCTTGATTTTTTTTTTAGTTATTCCTGTTACAAGTACTGCAAGAACTTCGACATTTTCACCTGCAGCTATTACATCCACATTGACAAACAAAATGAGAACAGAATCTGAACCATCTAATTTAGGAATAACTGCTGTTTCATCAGTCCAGGATGTTCTTACTACTGAAGAAGTCCCTACCACAGTAAAGAATGATAATCCTTTTACAATGACTAATTTCACAGACGTACATACAGAAAAACCATTAGAATATACTACAACAGAAATATCTACTACTTCTTTAGATACTTCTGTTGAAACTACATATAATAAAATGTTTACTACTTTAGAACCTTTAAAAACCACTAATGTTAACAGAGAAACATCGCATGAAGGGGCTTTTAGTAAATTTATACCATTGACAACTCAAGCTACTTCATTTCCTTCTGTCAAAGATACTGGAATTTCTGAAGAATTAATAACTCCAATGTTCCTCACAACTGAATATACTGAAACACCTAAAGAATTAACTACACCTGGAACAACAGTAATGACGAATACAGAAATTCTGGATCAGCTAGGGAAAGAAGAAGAAAATAATAAGCAAGATGAATTTTCAACTACTGTAGTTGAAGATAGCCCGAAATTGGTAGCAGAACAAACTACAGCTGTCACCTTTCCAGAAAGTACAACTAACAAGAAAACTCCGAAGGTAACTACAGAAGAAGTTGCAACCTCAACCATGGAAAGAGTAACATCATCTGCTTCTGAAGATGAATTTGGTACCATGTCAATAGGATTTCATATCACTGGACCAACAACCGAAATTTATACCCTTAAAGAAAATACTGATTATATCACAGATTATAGTTCCAGAGGTCATCAAACTTCTAGCACTACTGTAAATAGTCAAGACTCTGCAACTGAACAAACATCTACTTTACCAACAAATAAATATATAATAAATGGGAATGAAGATAATTTTTATGTAACAACAGTGTTGTCATCAGATAGTACAGTAACTTCTGCTATTTCTACAGACAATGATGGAACTGAAAACTTTAAGCAAAATCATTCTACTTTAAATCCTTTGAAAGAATAAACTATTCTGGCATTTCTACTGAGGAAACAATTAAACCTTTAAGCCTATATTTTACTACTCCTATTCCGGATATTGTTAATACAGAAAAATCAGGTACCACAACATTTGATGCAAGTGAAAAATTTGCGACAGCAATTTCTGGTATAGAGGAGTATAGTACAGTGTCTTTTCTGGATGAAAATATTACAACAGTAGTTTCTGGTGTAGAAGATAATTTTACAACAGTAGTTTCTGAACCCATAAATAATTTTACCACAATAAAATCTGATGCTGAAGAAAATATTGTTACCACAGTTCCTTCATTTTTTAGCACTGCTGGAAGTTCTGACACAGATGAAAATATTACTACAATAAAAAGCCAAACTTTCGTACCTTCTTATTCAAACAAAACTCCTGAAGTAAGGTCTTTTGATAATTTCACATCTTTTATTGAAAATTTTACATTAACTTCAGATCATGGATATATTAATACAGATTTCACTTTATTTAACTCATCTATTGAATTAACTACACTTTCTGATAATCTTTCTATAAATTCTTCAACTTTTTTTTATTCTACTGAACCACCGGTAACTGAATCTTCAGAATCAGGAACAGCTTTTCATAAACATACATCACCCAATACAGACGCAGCAATAAATGCAACTTCTGAAACAACATCAGCAAATGCTTTTGAAGAACCAAATTCATCTGATACAACTTTGAATTTTTTTACCATTGAAAATATTTCAACTAATACAGATACTGCTATTACTGAAAATAAAGAAGTTGTTTATAATGCCATAAGTGTAAAAAGTGATGATAATTTGGCCACAAACACCCCTGCTTCTTCTATATTAGATGCTACTTCTACATTAAGTGATATCGCCAAAATGTTTGAGGAGATTAATGCTACAAGTGAATTTATTTTAGAAAATTTTACAGAAGTTGAATCGAATTTTCCTGTTACAGAATCTTTCTTTCCTGATAGTACATCTAATCAAAATAGATTTAATGGAAGTGCAAATAGCACAAAAGAGTTAGAAGTAAATCCTAAATATTTATTAACTACTAATGTATTTCCTGAAACTTCTACCACACCTACAAGTTTTACTGAGAGTGCAGATAAAACTCAAAGTGAAATGTCAGTATTTTCTGAAAATAATGTCACAACATTGGACATACCTGTCACTGAAGCTACTGAAACTGAACTTTTAGGTGAAGCTGTAACACTTGATGTGACATCTGAGGTAACTACAGTAATTTCATCTGAAAGGGCAAATTCTGATAACACACAATATTCAGTTACTACTATGATGACAGACAGGGATATATCAACAACAAATACTGACTCAATTTCTACTATTTTTGAACCTCAGACTAAAGCCACAACAGTTTTCTTTGAAATCACAAGTAAATTAGATGATTCAATTTTAAGTACTGATAATAATGCTGAATATTCTACCATTTCTTATACAGTGACCACCAATAATCCTCCAAATGACACAGAACTTATACAAGACATGAATGTGACTATAGAAACTGAAACTTCTGAGCAGGTCAATATATCTACTGTGAGTTTCAATGAAAGTTATACAACAGAACTACCAAAAAATAGTGAAGAAATTTCAACATTAAATTATACATCATTTGAAAATGATACCATTGTCACTACTGAAGAAGCATATTTTGATTCTAACTCAACTGACATAAAAAATGCAACAGATGATGATTACTTGGATGCCTTAACTGTGACACCTATTAATTTAGTATTTGCTGAAGAAAATTCAACTTTCCTTGATGATAGCAGCAACTTTACAGCAGAGACATATGAGGATGCTTTGAATGGAACCACAACAGATGCTGCTGTTGGTCTTGTTTGTAGAGAAGGTAAGGAAATTAAAATAAATATTATTAACTGTTGATTATTTTTCTCAAAAGACTATTTTATTTATTAATGATAATTTCGCATTTATTAGGTGGGGAATCTGAAATTTATTTCTGAATTAAAATTTTCTTCATAGATTAAAATCGGCTTCAGATGACATGAAATAGTCAAACTCTTGCACTCCATTTGTTGCGCTTTATAATTACTACTACTGCTAGTGCAAGTAACCACATATAAATACATACAAGCACATATAAGCACACGACGTGAATTATATGTATGACCCAACTCAGAAATCTTCTGCTTCACACCTTCTTAAAGATAATCTTATTTTTAAAAAAAAATTCCTGTGTTTCACTTCCCTTATTTCCATTTTACACTTCATACAAGACACTTTCGTGTTATTTCTCCTCATCTGAAACATTGTTTTTTGGCCTTTGCATATTTACAGGCTGTTTCATTTACCCTGCAAGTTACATGTCAAATCTTTCAGTGTCATCATACCCTAATAATACATTATTCTCTGAGGGAGTAAATAATGAGCTAATGCTAAAAGCTGACACTTATCTTCATCTATTCATGTATCTGTTATTATATAATGTTCCTAACTTCTTTGTCTTTGCTGAACGTGGAGGAACCTATTCAACTGTGTAGTGACTTATCACTGAGTTCAAATATGTAATGACAGGGTCCAGAGAAGGGTTAAAATACCCTTTTATTCACTCAAATAATAACAGTTGACCCCTTTTCAGGCTTAGAGAAAAGCCTTCACTTGGGGTTTAAAACAAGATAAGGAAATAAAAAACTAATCTATTACTAAACTAAACTGACTTAGCTGAAGGTAAACACAATTACCTAATGTAGATAGCCCTTAATAAAACTAGCTGCCAATTATCATCAGGCATGTACAATGCAGTCGAGCATAGTTGGCTTAAGTAGCTCGACAGCAAACATGTGCTTCTAAGGACTCTTAAACTGTTCTACTGAAGTGAACTGAACCTTCCTTACAAACTTCTACCTCATTTTTATGCAACAGGCTTCTAAAAACTCATTCTGGTAGAGAGTTATAAGTAAGAAACAAGAATTTAAAGGAAAGATTTCAAAATTAAAAATAGCTTTTATAAAATTAAAATAAACCTTACAATTAAAAAACCATGAATTTATTTTTCAGCACTTTTAGTCTACTTATGTCATAATATTTAATTACTCATTGTAATTTGTGAGAATTTATGATTGTTACATTGGAAATCTATTTTTCAGCCTAAAAATTTTGATTATGATTTTAGTTAGTGTTTATATAAAATTTTCTTCTATTCCTTGACTTATTAATACATTTTTTCAAATGCATGAACTTGTGAGGTATTTACAAAATAAATGAAAATATCTTTCATTAATAAGTATAAAACTTCATTTTTGCATATTTATTTTTTTAATTGCGTGATTTTTTATTTCTAAATTCATATGCTGAGCAAATTTCCAACTTTCGATGGGCTTATCATTTTCATGAAATCAAAATATAGGATATATCTTTTTCATTTTCCTCTTTATCAGTATCATTATTTATTAAGAGATATCAAATCACAATTTCATTTTTAGATATGAATGTATCAATAAGTGCATATAGCTCATGAAAAGGAATTATAGGTTACAAAATAAATGAAAATATCTTTCATTAATAAGTATAAAACTTCATTTTTGCATATTTATTTTTTTAATTGCGTGATTTTTTATTTCTAAATTCATATGCTGAGCAAATTTCCAACTTTCGATGGGCTTATCATTTTCATGAAATCAAAATATAGGATATATCTTTTTCATTTTCCTCTTTATCAGTATCATTATTTATTAAGAGATATCAAATCACAATTTCATTTTTAGATATGAATGTATCAATAAGTGCATATAGCTCATGAAAAGGAATTATAGGAACAGTGGATCTGACATGATGACTACTATATGAAACTGGCAGTGAATTTCTCATCCAGTAACTTTTACGTAATTTACATTCTTTGCATTATGTGTGATGGGTATGTTGCTGATATGTGGTCATACCAGGGATATTTTTTTTATGTGAGGGCCATTTGAAAATAAAAAACAAATGAAAGAAAATTTTCAAAACCAAATTTATTTTCAGATTCTACACACTTTTCTCTATTTTTCAAAATAGTTGCCAAGTTTGTTTAAACACTTATCATATTTTAGAACTAGATTTTATATACCCTCATCATAGAAACTTGCCTCCTGCTCCAATAACCAGGGAGTCACAGCCATTTTCATGTCTTCATCATTGTTGTAGTGGTTGCCACCAAGATGATAAATCACTCGGAGCAAGGTCTGGGCTATACAGGAGGGTGTTCCAAAACTTCCCAGCCAAAAGAGTCCAATAAAGCTTGGGCTCTGAGCTGCAGCATGAGGCCTTGCATTGTCATGAAGTAGCAAAATTCCCTCTGTCAGCATGCCATGCATTTTTTTTTTTTTTTGTGTGTGTGTGTGTGTGTGTGTGTGTGTGTGTGTGTATCACTCTGTGTAGCTTTCATAGGGTTTGGCAGTAGGCTACCGCATTTATGGTAGTTCTTCATTGCATGAAGTCAACCAGCAAAACACCTTGCTTATCCAAAAACATGGACACCATGATCTTTCACTAGGACAGAGTCTGTTTGGCATTGATCCTTACAGGTGAGTGTATGTGTCTCCACTCCATACTCTGTCATTTCCATTCAGGTGTGACATGTGAAATCCACGTTTTGTCTCCTGTTACGATCCCACTCAACATGACGTCATCTTCTTTGTTATACAGAGTCAAAAAATTCAACGAAAACTCAAATCTTTTGTTTTTGTGGTCCTTCGTTAGGAGTTTAGAAACCCAGTGGGAGCACAGTTTCTTAAATTGTAACTGAAGCACTGAAGAATCTGTAACTGAAGCACTGAAGTGTCAGAAAGACTTATGGTGAAGTGTCTGTTCTCAGGAATTTTCATTTTAACTGAAGCTACCATATCGTCTGTGATCACAGATAGGTGACCGAAGCGGGACTCATCATGGACGTTGTCGTGGCCAGCTTATAAGTCTCTGACCCACTTATGCACTTTGCCTTTGAACAGTAGCTCTGTAAACTTCAAAACTTTCTTGCTGACAAAAAACTTATCACTAACCGTACCTCACATGTGGTGGATGATTCGATAATCTTGAACATTTAAGACACAGAACAGACTGTACAGGTTACCTACACAGCTGCAAATGAATACAGATATTTCCAAGGAATGGGGGACATGGCGCAAGTACTTGTTGCGGCATGCATGCCACCTATTAGTGTGTACAACAAAACAGCCATTTAAAAAACACACTATGTAATAGAAATTTGTGTCATAGAAACAGTGATAGTATTTAATTGCATTTATTAGTTAAAGATTAATTTGACTAGAATACCGAGTAATTATTATGTTGTAATTTGAGTTAAAACTATGTTGTATTTAATTAAAATTGGAAGATTTTCTTTACTGTTCATTAAGAGCAATTTCTGTAAATTTAATCTAAATAATGTAATATTAGATAATCACAATAAAAAGGCCTATGGAGGAAAATGCTTATGCATACTCTTAATATTAGGCCGATGTTATAGAATTAAAAGCTACCTAAAATAGCATATTTCTTAAATTAAGTAATACTTCTTTTAAAACAGAGAGAAAATATTAAATATTTATGCAGCAAAAATTTTTAAATAATAAAATAAAAGTTTTAGATCTAAACCTAAATTAGATAGAAATAAATGATAAAATTTATTAAATGACTTCTACAGTGTTTAAAATTCGGTATTAGTTAGCATTCTTAATATATTTTCAAGAGTAAGCAAAGGTAAAAAGAACTATAGATTTAGAGTCAAAATTTTTTTTAGCTTAGTACTCCGTATTTATTTAGTTATTATGAATTAATTCAATATCTTGTTTTTCAGATTTTTCATAATTATATTTTTTAATACTTTTAGATCAGTTTCTGTGTGGACCTTTAAATGTTTGTATAAATAATACATTCTTGTGTGATGGTATAGAAGACTGTCCAGACGGTCAAGATGAATTTAAATGTAAGTGAATGACATTTTTTAAAAATAGTATGATATCATTTAATATTTTATAATCGAAGAATTCAAAAAACGGAAATTTTTTAATTCATGTTTTAAATTACACAATTTATTTTTTATTCGTGTTTTTCATTGTGTAGGCCAGGATTCATGCCAAAGCAATTTCAAATGTGTAAACTCCAGTATGTGCATTATGAGTGAAGCTCGTTGTGATGGCATATGGGACTGTGAAGATGGAACAGATGAAGATGATTGTAGTAAGTAAAATTCTAATATTTTTTTTCCTAATATCTTCCATTTATTCATTTTATGACTCAGAATGGCATGAAGTGGCTCTAAATGAGAACTGAAGAAGATCCAAGCTGTTATAAAATTATTGCACAAAAAAAAAAAAAAAAAAAAAAAAAAAAACAGAAATTATATAATTAAGCATCAGTTGAAAAAAATTTCACAGTTTTAGATACTTATGTTTCATTTCAACAACAAATTCTTGTTGTTGATGTTCTCTTGTCCAAAAGTTAGTGCAGAAAGGTCAAATAGGACCAAAAGTATCTAAAACAGCCCTAGCAACACCAGTGATACTCGAAAGAATATAGGAAATTGCACTCTGGGTGGACAAAATCAAGTCTCAAGAGCCTGGCCAGTATGGCAGGACAGTTAAATATGTGTGCTGGAGAAAGTTATGCACTGGGGAAGACACTGAGGGCAGCAATTATAACTTCACTGACCATAAGGGGATATTTTCATTCCTGTAAAGTGTTTTATCTCTTTGACTATGGTAGATGAAATTATTCAGTTGCAGTTTAGCTCAGGAATGGAATTTTTCTTAACTTGTTGGGAGATGAGTTTTGGGCTGGTCGAGGTAGTCGGCTTGCTCATTGGCAGAAATATTGACATACACTAGAATCCGTTGTAGGGTGCAGGCTTTTGGAACAGCTGTTATTATGTTTATGAGCACAACAATGTCCTTGGCAAGATGAGAGTTGTGCTCTGGATTGCCTAGAGCTCAGATTTAGAATCAGAGAAAATTATGATGCCACTGGAATTCTGAACTGCCCAGAAGTAAAAAATATCTAAAGCACTCTTGATAGCTACCAGTTTGGAGGTATAATTTGAAACAATTTCTCCAACAGAAATTTTAAGTCCTTTATTGAGGTCGAAGTCAAGAGAACCATCTATGTAGGCAATAGCTGTGTTATGAGCTGAGTTTGTAAACTCATTTATGGTATGGATGCCTTTCTCTTTAAGTAGTGCAGCTGATTCTTTTTTGGTGCAAGGTTGTAAAAGATTTAAATTGATAATTGCCTATGGAGAGGGACGGATGGAAAGTAGAAGTTCTTTAATTATATCAATAGCTTCATACTCTAAGCCAATTTTTCTCCTTATCTCATTATCCATTGTTAGGTGGAGGACCTTTTCAGCCTATTTTTTCCACTCCATGCTTTGAATGTTTTGTTGGAGATGAGGCGGTCCACAAAGCTTGACTTTTGTTTTGAATTTTCTTTTTGAATTTGATGGTGGCTGATTTTATTCTATTTTCTAAGGAGGTTAGGCCTCACTCAGTTTTTGCTTTAATGTTGTTTGTGGATGAAACAGCTCCAGTGATGATTTTGGAAGCCCTCTATTGAACACTGTCAATCTTCTTTACAGAAGATGAAGCTAGGGTTGATATGGGTGCTAGGGTCGATGTTCAAGAGTGGTCCTAACAAGCGAAATATATGTGATAAGAAGAGTCTTTGGTCTTGATCCCCAAGATACATCACATAATCTTTTTAGAATATTAAGCCTTTTCAAAGCTTTGTTAGAAATTTATTTAAGGTGCTGTGAAAAATCTCAATTCTGCATCTTGAGTTAGGTCTAGGTACTTGCGATGTGAAACCTGTTTGATCTCAGAGCCACATAAATTTATAATTGGATGAAAAGATTTTCTGTTTTTCCTATCAGTAGAAAAAATCCAATAATTAGGTTTTTTATGAGTTATAGTAAGCTTTAAGCTCTTTAAGCATACAGCTAGTGTGAATATTAGAGAAAGAATATACAGAATGGCTGTTAGCACTGAGGTCTCCCAGAATAATTTTGGTCTCAGATGTGGTAGTAGCGAGATTTATAGTAAGCTTTAAGCTCTTTTAACCAAATTTCCATGCTTTGCACACAGCTAATGAGAACCTTTTGCAAAAAATGAATATTAGAGAAGGAATATACAGAATGGCTGTTTATTCTCAGATGTGGTAGTAGCGAGATTTTGAAGGAGATCAATATCTGTTCATGGATTATCAGGCATTCACCAGAGTAATAGCATGCTTCTGAGAAGGGTATTTATTAGTTGAACCTCAGTGCTTAGGAGTTTGAGGTTAGGAGGACTTCAGTATTCTAGAGTTTTTATCAAGAAAGCAATTCCTCCTCCAGTACTCGTGAGTTTGTCTTTCATAATTACAGTATACCCTTTAATTTTTCAGTTTGGAGTTAAGTTTTACTTCCTACAGCCAGGCAACATGGATATTTTTTAATGCAGAATATAAAGTTGGATTTCTGCCTGTTGGTCCGCGAAAGATATTTCATTTCTTTTCTACCACCCAGTAACAACCACTGGAGGCACTCCCCTATGCATCACCTGGGGACGCATCCTGTAGGGGTTACAGACTCCCCTAAGGATTAAATTCTTGTACAATGTCTTATTTCTATTAATATTTTATTCATTTTCATTAAAATATATTCCTCATCACTAAAAATATTATAGCATATTGTTACAAAATCCATTTAGACATATTGAATATAAGAAATATGGGTATTGTTCTGTTATCAGGACCGGATTCAAAAATGTAACAATGTATGCATGTGTGTAAGTATGTGCATATATGTGTATATGTATAAACACACATACATTTGTGCTTACATATATACATGCATACATGAACACATACATCCATCCATACCGGCATACATATATACATTTCTGGATCCAGTCCTGGTAACAGAACAATAGCAAAATATGTAAGGTATTTTAATAATTTATTCAAAACTATTACCAAAAATTATAGCATTCATAGGAAATATATTGATGCAGCTTAAGAAACTACTACTAGATCTGATAATTATGTGGTGCACACATGCAGCATCACCAATATCATATTTTGCATTTCCTTAATTGTATAGTGTAGTGTTCAAAGTTCTTTGTCCGTACTAATATTTTCAAGAATAATAATAAATTTGCCAAAAAATAGGCCTTATTCTGATGAGATTTCTGAGCAGTATCTATAATACTTATATGTTAAATGAATATTGTAATATCTACTGTTCAATCAGATATTTGGGTCATTGCATATTGCTACAAAAATAATTAAAGAAATAGCCATACATAATTTCACAAATTTCACTGACCTTCAAATAACTTCAAAGTTTGGTTACTAAAGGCAACCAGTTTTTATTTGTTCCTTAAGAAGCTGTTTCCACACGGTTACACAAATGAAAAATAAAAAGTCATTTTTCTTCTTTTTCTGAACTAAGTTTTGCATTACAAAGTATTTAAATAATGATTAAAATATGCATACCTTTTTTAGATAGTTCTTACATTTCTTGTTACAAAAAGAAACTATTTTTTTAATTACAGATGTTAATCATATTTGTTTTAATTATAGCTCCAGCAGAATGTGCTAAACATGAAGTAATGTGTCTGGATGGGAGCAAATGCATTAAACCTGGCCACATTTGTGACTGGAAGTACAATTGCAAAGACAGAAGTGATGAAGTTGGTTGTGGTATGTAGTATATTTCATTTCATATTATGATAAAATGTTCTTTGTTAAATTAGAATGAGCATCAGTATGAACCAGTAGAATTGTTTATACAACCTACTTATTATTAAAATTCTATAAAAATATGGAAATATTGAATGTTACCAATATTTAATATTTTATCAAACTTATAAATGTGCAGTTGAAAGAACAACCTGTGAATCTGGAGGGAAGTTCTTTTGTAATGATGGTCTGTGTATACCTTGGTCTTTAAAGTGTGATGGAGAATATGATTGCAAGGATGGAGAAGATGAAGGGAATTGCAGTAAGTAAATTTTATACATTTTCCCTTTGCATTTGTATCATATACCTTCATATCATCAACAAACACAATGCTCTAAATTCATACTAGTTTCGAATATCATTAACAAAAGTTTATGAAAACTTACTTTTCACATGAAACTCTTATGGATTTGTAGGTAGCTCTAAAATTTCTGTTTACTCTGAAATCATAGGATATTTTCTATATCCCTCTCACCCATTATCGGCATTAGTATCAATCACCTGTCATCTGGGAAGAATTTTTATCAAGACTTGTTATATTACATGATGAAAAAGGTGACATAAACACAATACTATAAACAATTATATTTAAATTGACTAGTGGTCATAACTTCTGAATCTAATTAACTAATTAACTCTCATAATTGGCCATGCTTTTCTTCTCATAATTCTTTCATCAATTTCTTCAATCTGCAAATGAGGACCTTTTTATCAGCAAGCAAGTGATGGGTATAAAATATATTATGGCTATAAGAACATTAATGAAGCAAAATAAATTTTTCTATTTTGTATCAGTAAAAAGTTGTCCTTTTTTTGAAGCTTTTGTTTAGAATTCCCTTCTCATATTCGTTGATTTGTTATGGCAAGAAGAGTTAATCATTTGAAATTTGCATTTTTAAATTTTGTGGAATTTAGAATCTATTTTTGTACCTCCGCACTGAAATATAAAACATTCTCTTTTAAGCACATCAAACAGATAAGTAATATTTTAAATTTTTCACTTGGAGTTGGTTAGTTGTTTGTTTAAAAGATTAAGGCAAAGCATAAAATAGCTATTTAAAGGAAGAGATGCTTTCGTGAGGAGTACCTAAGGGTAGCTGATTATTGGAGTGATGTCAGATCAAATTACATATGTTTAGTGGTCTTATCTACTTTGTTAGTTGTGATCCTATAGCTATGGGAGTGATTGAGTTACTAGACCAAACATGCAACTTTTTATAAGTTATCAATTTATAAATTACCAATATTATGTCACATTACGTTATTACTATACACTTCATGAAAAGAACTCATATAAAATATTTCTTTCATTTGATATAATCTCTTACATTAAATTAATTATGATTAAAAAGAGTGTAATTTTCCCCTTCATTTTTAGCTTGTCTTAGCAATGAATTCCAGTGTAATGACGGGACATGTCTTCAAAGTTCTCTTCGTTGTGATGGCCGTCAAGATTGCCGTGACGCTGATGATGAAATGGGATGTGTAAATGTGGACACTCAGAATGTTGTGATAACATTTGAACCGTATCATAACAAGTGGGCCATGCTTTGTGGTGAAGATTGGACTCTTGATGATGGTCATTATCTTTGTCAGGAGCTGGGTTTCGGGTATGCAATAATTTTAGCCAATCTGTAGAAAGCATTTCTGGTATTATATAAAAATGTATTTTGCATTATTCTCAGGAAATAAAGAAACTGATATGTTTATTTTTCCAGTAAGCTAGAAATATTTTGCAAGTGAATAACCTCCTAGAGCACAGATTTTCATATCCTTCATTAGCTTGCAGTACATTATATTTATCACACGTTCTGTTTGGTGTAAACTTTTTATATTTGTTCTAATTTTCTGATTGTAATAATTTCGGTTTTACTTAAAGCTCAGTAATACAGTCTCATAGTACTTTAACATGTGACATGACAGCATGCCTTTTGAGAAACAATATTTTTGATAATGTTTTACAACAGTTGCACAGTATTCTAATGACATTAAACTTTTATGCACAATTCTTTTGCTTCAGTTTTGCCAAAATTCAGTCATATTAATTTTATTAGTCAGACTGAGTGAAGGAAAGCACTTGTCTTTGAGGAAAAAAAATAAGAGATGACACAAAATAAAACTATAATAAGTAAAATATAGAAATTATTTTAAATGTGTAATTTTCAGATCTGCTTCATATGTTTAAACAGCTTTGGGTTTTATAAAAGCAGTCTATGGGTTTTGAAGAGGTCAGAATATTTTTGTTCTTTGAAGAAGAGGATTCTTATGCTTATCTTAGTGAAAATACCTAGTACTTTTCTGTAAAGCTAATGTAGACTAAAGCTGAATTTTATCTTAATATAAATTTTATATCCACATTCTACTTTTCTGTGATTTAAGCTTGTGTTTCCTATCCAGTCATTATTTCTGGCTAAGTTATTAGCAGCATATTTAATTCATCATAAATATTTTAGTGTTAGCAGATGATGTCACAAGTAGCCATGCGTAAAAGTTTAATATTATATCACAGAACATACAATATTTAATATCAATTACTCACAAACTATAAGAAAATGTTCAGACTCTGGGTCAATTATTTAGTTCTTGGGAATAATCAGCATCCTAATCAAACAGTAAAATCAAAAATACAAAACTAAAAGAAAAGGTCACCAAAAACTTTCAATCTGTGAGTTATCTACAGCTACAGTTGAAAATGTTCTAACAGATCTACAGTATATTAAAATCAGGAAAAACGTTTAAATGATCTAAACAAATGAAAATGCCAAACTAATTAATTCAAATAAAAGTAATAAATTAATTCAAAATAATAAACTCTCAACAGACTAAACTGTAAATGAATGCTCATTAAAGTTTAGTTGATTCAGTTGCTGATCATTGCTGCAATCTGAGTTCTTAGACATGGGGTTTGTGTGTTGGGATGATATGTTTGTTCTAAAGCAGCAGACAGTAATTTTTGCTCTCAAACCAAAGTGCTACCATTTGGCAAAATTCATTTTAAAAATACAAATCTTTCAGCTTTCATGTTTATGTACATTTTCTTGCTAGAATAAAAAGTATTCTACTAGTTACTGCTTAAGCTAGGAAGTTTTTTTTTTTTTTTTTTTTTTTTTTTTTTTTTTTTTTTTTTTTTTTTTAATGGCTGGGCGCTTTATTTAATAGCCTTGCATCACTACAAGTAGCCAGAAGTGGCAGCCATTTATTTATGGAAAAACCTACTCGTGGCCACTGTTGCCTCCTATGAGCGGATGGACAGTCACAACCACGCCTTCTTTAGGATTCAAACCCAGGCCCATCGCTACGGCAGTCAGAATCACAATCCACTACACTGACTGGGTGGCAAACTAAGAAATTCAAAAATGCATTACAAATTTCAATACTTTTAAATTTTCATCAAATATGACATTATGCTTTCTAAGTTATTTTTAACTTCTGTGCCATTTAATCATGTATTTGCAAGTGTATTATAAGAAATAAAAATAATTTTATGGTATGTATGAGATGTGTAAGAGATAAATTAGTATAAATTACTATATGAAGATGAAAATATTATTGTTTGCTAATTAATGTATGATTTTTTACATAAAGCTGCTCATTCTGAGATATATTAATTGAGATTCTGAAATATATGTAATCTATTAAAATGTTTGAAATATACATTTTGCATCACAAGTTTTAATTAAATAAAAGAGAGGCATTTAGAATGCAAATGTTAATAATTTTTTTAGGATGTTAGATAATGCATTTATAACAATTATATGATTTTTGAAATATCTTACAAATACTTCTTTCTTTTTATTAGCGTAATAAGTGAATTCATCTGTCTGTTTGAATCAATATATATATATATATTATTTTTTTACCTGTATGCTTTTCAGTCATGCCTTAAAAGCAGAAAAAGTTCATGTTTCTTTCAATGGTACATGGATGGGAATGAGAAGAGAAAATTTAACAGAATCTTCAATGTGGACAGAGCGAGTGTCTTCTATTGAAATTTGTGCTAGTAGTTTAGCAGCAACAGTGGAATGCCAGAAATTTTGTGAGTGTTTGTTTATTTTTTTTACAGGAAATGGCTAGCACTTTTTTCTTTTGAAATTACGAGAGGTTATTTAAAGAAAATATTTTAATTCATGAATTTGTGCAGTGAAAACTATGGTCACTGAAATATAAATTTTTGTGATAGATAAAATTTGTATTCACCATAAAGATAACTGAAAACTGTTATCATTTTGTCTATATGTTAAGATTTAAAATCCTGCTTTAATTGCTTTACTAATGCAATATTTTTTATAAATCAACAGAAGTGTTCAAAACCATACGATGGGGCAAGTTGTATTATGTTACAACTTGATCTAAGATTTTGATTCATGTAGTTATAATTTCTTCTTTAAATATTAATATGCAAATTACTTTTTTATGTAGCTTCCTTATAAAAATCTTTTTTTTAACCTCAAAGATTAGACCTGTCTTTAGGGCTTCACCTCGGAAACAGTCTAACAGAGGTCAATGTAAAACTAAATATGCTATCCTAACTGATACACTTGTGCGAGAAGATACAATCTATCATTTGCTTATGTTGACTGAAATTTGAATAAAGACTGATTTATGTTGATTGGTTTAATAGTTTTATTTTGGTTTTACTATAAACCATTTGTTATCATTCAGTGTCACCATATCAAGTAATAAATCCCTGAATGTTTTATTAAATATGGTCATTTCTTTTGATACTATTTGCCTCAGGTCTGTTGCAATTTGCTGCAAGTCTGGGGCAAATTGTAACAAGTGAATGGTTTTGAATTTTTTTTTTTTTTTTTTTTTTCTAAAATGAACAAAATTGGCAACTGTTTGTTGTAAGAATATGATGAAGTGATAGCTGTTGTATAATTAACAGCAGTTATAATCAAGAAAACATAAATATATTAAAAAATATAAGCATGGTTTTCAAAAATTGTTTCAACTAGCCCTTAGCTCCCCTAGTTTATTTTTTCTGCAAAATTTATATCTAAATAAATATTTAGTATATTTTAGACATATGGAACATAAAACTGTCAACCAGTTATTTTATTAGAAATTTTGATTCTCCCCCTTAAAGAGAAGCCTGCTGATCTTTTTGCTTTCTATATTTAAAATATTCAAAAAAGCAAGTTTTGTTTTGAAAGTCCTAGAATGCAAAACTTTTTTATTCTTTAGAGATCAACTGAGGCTATGAGACTTCTGTATTATGAAGCACTTAAGCTGCATTGCATTTAGTTTATGCATATTCATAGCTTATGATAGATGTAAATTAGAATATTTTTATGAGTAATTGAAGAGATATTTGTAGAGTATTATAAAGAAAATCAATGATGATATATGGCAATTATAAAAAAATTTAAGTGAAATTGTAAATAAGTTTGCAATTGCTAACTCTTTTATGCTTTAGAAGGACTGACTATTTATGTTAATCATTTTTAAATATTAGCTGATGTCAGTCTTTTACTGTCTAGAAAGATATTACTGCTTCTTAGGGAAAAAAAAAAAAAAAAAGCAATATATTATTTGATCAGTATTTTTTCATTTGGAAAAAGCTTGTTGCCTCTCTGTACATTCAAAAATCATAGAATTGTGTATTATAAATTATTCTTTTGTTTTCAGTATATGGAATTTATGTATTTTCTTGCAGCATGTGGTGAATATCCTGGGCTTCTACATCGCAGGAAGAGAGAGGTTCTTGGTTCATCATCAACACAATGGCCATTTATTGGGTATACTTCAACATTCCAATCCAACAAAGGATGCCTTTCTGAAATTTTGACACCTATATGGCTTATAACTTCTGCAGAATGTTTAAATTCTATAAGGTATTAATGCAAACTACATTAACCAGTGATGAATATTTTATCTGCAGTTATAAACTTGATAAATATGATGGCATTTATTTAAATAGTATGTATTAATGCTTCAAACGTTGCACTATACAAGGTGTGTCTAAAAAATAACCAGACTGATTGTTTTCAATACCCCTTTTTTACAAAATTATATAATGGAAATATTATTCTATTCAATATATTCCTGCCTTATCTCTACAAAATTTCATAACAATCTCCACTACTGGAAGCAGTTTTGAAGATCATTTTCCAGAAATTTTTTTATGATATCCAAGTCACATGTAGTTAGTACAGTGAAGAAAGGTGAATATTCTAAGACTATGATCTCTGGTGTTTTGCTAAAACAACTTATTGGACAGGGCATTTATGGGCAAGTGCATTTCATTGTGAATAATCCATAAGCTCTTCTACATTTTAAGTCATTTTCCTTTCCATTCATCTGAAGAACTGTGAAAACTTTTTTTAAAAACTAACTTAACTAGTTTTCCTCACTTATTTCAAGTAATATTAAATAATACTGTAGTTCGTATTAGTTTATAGCTTTTTTATAAAATGTTTAGATCATTTCCAGTATTTGGAAGAGGGTCTATGTTAGTGTTCATTCAACATCCCTTCCTTTTTCAGACATTTGGATTTTCAGCATCATTTCCAAACACACTTTTCTCATATCAAAATTTATCAAACAATAGCTTTGTCAATGCTTGCTAGTTAAATGAATGTTAGAACGTTGTCTGATTTTTTTCCACAATTTTATTGATTTTCTTATATTAATGTCCATCTTAGATGTAAAGGAACATATTATTATTATGTATTTATTGTTTGCCATCATTTTCTTCTCTTTCATCTTTAATCACCTGAACCAATTGGAAATAAGAATATTCCATAAACAATAATTATTATAAGCTTTCTGTGAATGGTTTATCAATTTTCATGTAAAATTTCATATTCTTATGCTGTTTCAAATGAATGCTTCTCATTATTCCAGAAAACTAAAACATGTGCATCTTTAAATAAAGCTTACTGCTGAATTGAGTGTTATGCAGTTTCGAAATATTAACCTTGAAGAACGATTCAAATACCAGTTTTATTTTTCATTGCAAGTTAATGGCAATACAGAAAAACATTTAATCAAGTTATTTTTTAATCACTCCTCTAACATTTTTGCTCACTAACTCATCTATGCTCACTAACTCATCATCACTCTAACATCTATGCTCACTAACTCATCTATGCTCGCTAACTCATCATCACTCTAACATCATCTAACTCACTAACATCTATGCTCATAAAATGTGGCATAGATGGTTATTAATTTTTATAGTGATATTACTGTATTTACTCATTTAATTTTCCTGTCAGTGTATTTTTCCCCTAGTTTTTTCAGAATATGATTTAGAAACTTTTGATTTATGGTAAGAATGTAATACATATGTACAAATCAGAAAGTATTTTGTATAAATAAAAAGAAATTGAAATTGAATTATTGAAATTAATACTATTGAAATTGACAAGTCCTTTAAAATACGTAGCATAATAAAATTAGTGTATCTTTATATAAATGTGTTTAATTGTGGTATGCTTATCATTTAAGTAATTTTTTCAGAAATCGTGTGCACTGTGTATTTTTCCTGTCTCAGTTTTCAAGCGATACAGTTAGTAGAAAAAAGGAAGAAATGCATGAGTAAATGTGATATTACAATGAGAAAAGTGTGTGAATAGGATTTCAATTAGCAAGAAGGGGGAAATATAAATGGAAGAAAACTATGCAATTGTTAAACTATATTTTTTTTTAATTTGATTCATTGAATTGTTGCATGAAATGAACTTGTTCATTTGTTGAGCTATATAAGATTTAAAAATCTTTTTCAGTGGAGAAAAATTTCTGCATTTGGTTATTAATCTGCATAATTTTTCATAGAATATAAGTAGCATTAAAAATTTGTATTTATTATTATTTTGTTTTTCTTATTATATTTTGTCTTCTTATAATTTTATCCATATCAAAATGAATAATTTCATAGAAATAATGCATTTTTGTTCTTTTTCAGTTTTAAGTAAAATGTAGAAAATATCTCAATATAAATGTTTCAATTAAAACTATTAAAGCGCTTTTATAGTCAAATTTAATGCTAATAAGTTTGTATGTCTTCTTTTCTATTATATACATTAAAACTTACAGGTATAATATAATTCTAAATTGCTTATGATCCACTTAGTGACAAAAATATAATCAAGCATATTTTTTTAAAGTGCTTTCTGTTATAATGCTAATCAGTTTCATCTCACTGTAATATGAACTAAATTATTATTTTTCTGGACGATTTCATATCGTACAAGCACCTAAAGTATGAGATGAATTTTAATGTATAGAATTTTAAGCAATGGAAAATTATAGTTTTTAAATGTACATTGACTGAAAAGTGCTAAATGAATATTATTTAGGCATGGTTTTGAAAATCTAATACATTTTTTAATTATTTGTTTAAATGTTACGTATGCGTTTTTGTAGTTTTTTTATTTATTATTATTAATTAACGGATCAGTATATGATATTCAAAATTGAAACAATAAAAACTCTTAATTTTATTCACGGAATTTCTAATAATAATAAATTAAAAGAATGTGCATGTCTGAATACATTAGTCATCTCAAAGTAAAATCCTAACTATGTCTTTGATCGGTAATATTTTTTGGGTTAAAGGTCCAATTGCTTTACTGTTTAATACTAAATAAAATTTTGCATTACATTGAGACAAAAATGAAGGAAAAGATAAATTTGATTTAAAACATTTGCTTTTATTTTAGAAAAGAGCCTTATAATGGATCAGACTGGTATGTCAGGACAAACATTGGTAAAAATGTTGATGCTGATTCAGCTGCTGAAAAACATGAAGTTCTTAGGATAATTTCTCACCCCCACTCTTCTAAATTCCGTTCTCTTACTATAAGAGATTATGATGTGGCTCTAATTAGATTGAAACATGCACTTGTCTTTGTTGGTGACAAAATTGGAGCTATATGTCTGCCAGAAGAACAGGTCCCTCCTGGAATAACATGTTTCTCTGGTGTTCTTGGAACTCAAAGGCCCAGAGGTAAATAAATTCAAAGTTTAAATTATTTATTTAGTTACAAGTAGGTGAATTTTATTAATGTAAGGTTTATAGCTTACAAATTTTCTAAAATATTTAAATCATAATACAACTGTAATTGATTACAAATATTTATTTTATGTTTATATAGTCATCAAGTAAGCTTACTGATTTCGCATTTTTTATGCATAAGAAAAGCTATTCTAGCTATTCTATTTGTAGGAATTGTCGGAATAAAAAAAGCAGAGCTTTCAGCCCTCCTAATGAAACCGGAAGACTTCCTGATTTTTCATCAAATATTCCAATCTCCCCAAAAAGTCTCCAAATCTTCTGTTTTTTTATTTATTTGAATTTAGATCATGTAGTTTAAGAATATAGTTCTAGAATAATTGCTCATTAATTACACTAGAAATAATCATCTTAGCATTTCTTTTTCAGCAGAAAAAAAAATATACTCTGAAGAAAGTTTTGATGATAAATTCCTAAAATAGCTAGTGCAACAGTTTTGTCGTCTCTTAATGAAACTTTACAGCAAACTTTATTCTTAACTCTGAATGAAATCCCCCCTATCAATTTTTCAGCTTAATTTTTCTGATTAATTTTGATCTGTTTTAATTTATTACATTGGACTGTAAAGAATTTTATAAGAACTTATCAGAAGTTTTGTAAGTAAACATTCATATTTTCTTTTGCTTTAAACTTGTAAGTAATACATTGCTAAATATATCCACATGATTACATACATATTAATTTTAAATTTTTTTCCCATCACATTTAAAAGCACTGCGATATGTAAAAGGTTTATTTCCCTGTGTCAATTTTCATCAAAATTGACATATGGAATAAAAACGTTTTCATCAAAATTGACGTAAGGAAATTATGCCACAGGAAAATTAACAGTTTTCATCACAAGGAATAGCTACATATATTCGAATTGGTAAAATATTACTTCTTAGAATTTTCTAGATTGTGTACATGATAATGCTACAGTAGCAAACATAGTAATAATGTGAAAAATGGAAAAACTAATAAACATCTCACTTCAGATGTGTCTCAGTATTGCTATCCATCATACCTAATATATCTGATTCCTTACTAAAACAAAAGCTGTTGTGCTAGTCATATGTAATGAATATTACTTTGAACTTTTTTAAAGGATATTCTGTAACTCTATACCTGACAATAAAAGTTCAAATATACAAAAAGATATGTAATATTAAGTTGAACTAAATATTACATAAAAAATCTGCAAATGCAAATGCATGATGTTTTAAAAAGCAAAAAAAGGATGAGGAGGTTAAAAATTTTAAAACATCTGTATGCTTACATGCTATTTTAATGTTTTAAAATTTCATAGCTCTATTAGTATCATAGTTGTGTTTAATAATGATGTTATTGCTTAATTTTAAAGTTTAAAAAATTTTTTTAAAGTTTTTAAATTTGAAAATCTTACAATTACTTAAGCATTCCAGTTAGTTGAATGCAGGATAGCCGAGCTTTTACTGCATTTATTCTCTGTTTTTTATTCAGATTATAATTCACACCCTGGTTAAAAATAACTTCAGAGAATGAATTACAATACATTTGGATGTCTTTCTTAAGCTGATCGCAATGGTTATATTTGTATCTTCTTTGAATATATTACATTAGCACAGAATTAATTTTTTTATTAGAATTCCTCTACATAGGTTGATTTCTGAAAGAAATTGCATTTCTTAATCAATTGCCTATTAACCTCAAATTTAAAAGTTGTTATTTGTTCTGTCATTATAAATTTGACATGGATCTAAATTAAATTTTTCATTTGAAAAATATTTAAGCCTAAAGAAAACATTAAATTTTCATGTATGCAAACTGCAAAATACTTATTTCTTCTTTTTAGCATTACCCCCACCAGAACTAACAATCAACAGCTTGGCTTTACAAATCATCGACAGAAATCTCTGCAATGGTATTGATCATTACAACAATCAGATCAATCAGAGAGGGCTTTGCACACAAAGCAGTGAAGGACATACAATCTGTGATGTAAGCAATGCTTTTTTGAAAAGCAAATATTTATTTATATGTCACTTTAAATAATATAATATATATATAAATTATGCATAATAATTTAAATATTATCTCTAAATTATGCATAATAAGCTTAGTGAGAAGTTTATTATTGGTTTCTAAATGAAATATCTATTTCTCAATATATAAATAAGTTGTAATAAATTATTAGCCATTGTAACCATACCATTAGCATATTAATTATATTTACCTTTCTGTTCTCTACTGGTTCTATTATTATTATTATTTCTGAACTGAATGAAGCTAAAATTTTATTGGCAAATTAGTATTTAATTATTCAGTTTTCCTTGAAAAATATTGTTAATTTTGAATGTTTTTTCAAAATGCTTCCTTCCCAACCTTATTTGCAATATTCATTTCCCTGCTTTAGAATTTTAGATAGTATATTAACAGAGCCAATACAAATGGTGCAGCTGCACTAGATATTGGAATGTAGGGCAGAAAAATTTTTAGAATTTAGAGAAGCACTGAGAAACAATTTATTTATATATATATATAGAGAGAGAGAGAGAGAGAGAAAATTTAAGGGAGGCACTAGACAGCCGAATTTAGAGGTGGTCAAATTTTTAGAATTGAGGGGAATTGACTTAACTGTATTTCTGTAATCATATTATAAATTATTCTGCTACTTAATTAATATTTTGCTATTTCTTTCACATTTCAGAATGATGAAGGCACACCCTTGATGTGTCTGACTGGTATAAATAAGTGGTTTTTGGCTGGCACACTAACGTATCAGAGATTCTGTGATGTTTACAGTAAGCATCCAGCAGTATTTAGCAACCTGTTTTCTATGAGGAAATTTGTTGACCAGGTTATTGGTCAAAAACAGTATGAAACTCCATATAATAGCAGCATGTATGTAATTATTCCACCTACAACACCAAGTCCTATAGTTCCTGAAATAACAACACCATTAACTTCAACGACTGAGATGCTAGAAACTACAACATTGGAAACAACTTCGACAACATTAGAAATGACTGGCACAACTATTGAAACAACTACTTCTATCTCTGATAGCACTGTTATTACAGAAAAGTTATCTGAAAATCTACAGGATGCAACAACTGAATTCACTGAAGAATTTAGGAGTGAAGAAAATATCACAGCAGCTTTTGAAATTACAGCAAATTACAGTACTAGTGCTGATGATGTAACATATGATACAACAACTGCTGTAAATACTGATATATTAGAATTTGGTGTGGAAAATTCTACAACTAGACCAATGTTTTCTGAAGATGAAATATTAAGCAATAATTCTGTAACTGATAAAACACATGATTCTTTAATGATGTCTTTCCTGAATGAAACTTTTGCAGATTCTGAAGCAAATGCAACTGAAATATCTATATTTGAAAATGGAACTAGTTTGTATGATAATGATACAAGCAGTGTCCTTGAAGAAATCACAAGTACACCTAATCCATTAACTACTCATGATGGATTATCTGTTTTCACCACTGAATCTTCAAATCTTACTTCTGTTGATAGTAATGAGAAAACTTCCCCAGGTGCTATTATTACTTCTGATACTGATGAGGTAAAAACTAACACAATGACAACAGAAACATTTACTCTGCCAAAGGAAGGTACAATTTTAACCACAAGTATGGTTACTGCTACTTTTAATGAAAATTTAAAAATAGAATCTACCACAAGTTCATATAAAGAAGACTTTGTTAATCCTGATTTAAAAGCCACAACTTTAGAAATGAAAACAGAACCTAAACATAGAGAAAAGTTTGAATTTGAATTAACAGGAGAACCTGATACTGACATGACTTTTGCTCTTTTTAGTGATATAGATGGAATTAAACTGGAAGCTGAAAAAGCATCTAAAAATGTAAATTTATCTAATATTTCCAAAGAATATGTACCTAGAAGTAGAAACCTTGAAGAACAGCCATTTATTAATGCTTCTGATATTTTTTATGAGCCGATACCTACTGTTGGTGTTCCTTATGATTCAAACACAACAATTTTTTCAAGTGATGGAAGTTTTAAAGAACAGCCATTTATCAATGTTTCTGATATTTTTGAGCCTATAGCAGCTACTAATATTTCCTATAATTCAGATGCGACACTCTTACCTGAAAGCAGAAATCATGAAAAGTTGCATCTTACAGAGACGACGCATTTGACGGAAAGCTATAATCTTACAGAACGACCTAATACTGATGCTTATGATATTTTGTATGAATCTGTAACCACAACTGAGATTTCTCATAATTCAGAGACAACACATTTAACAAGTAGCAGTTATACTGAGGAAAACCCTCATACAAGTAACATGGATATCATGCATGATTCAACATTCACAACTGATGATCTTCTAAATTCAGAAATAACACATTCAACAACAAGACAAAATCTTGAACAACCTAATAGCAGTACATCTTATGTATTTTATGAGCCATTATCAACCACTGATATTCCTTATGATTCAGAGGCAACACATTTATCCAAGAATGAAAGTTTTGAGCTGCCACATGAAAATATTTCTAATACCTCCAATATGCCATTATTCACCACAAAAATACCTAGTGATTTAGAAACAACCCAAGTTATGACAGCAGTTCAAGATACATCTGTTAATATATCTGGTCAAGATACTATGGATGTGACAACAAGCAGTTTGATAACAACCAGTATAAAGATGGATACCAGTATAAAGATAGATTCGAAAGATGGGACAACAGCTGTATTTGATACAACACAAGATGTAAATACCACTGAACCATATTCTGAAGATCCAACTTTTATTACAACTGAAATTCCTGTTGTGACATCTGACATCACAAAGGATGATGAGACAGCATCTGGTAGTAATACACAAATATTTAATGATCATTTAATATCTGAGAAGTTGCAAATTCTAGAGGAAAAAAAATTTACAGCATATGACACAGGTAAGTATTAAATTTGCTAGACTTTTCCCCTCTATGTAATAAAAAGTTATGTTCAAGTAATTTATATTAAACAAGTGCTAAATATATTATTTTTGTAATATGCCATAATTAGAAAAAAAATTATGCAAATGCTTAATCTAACTGTAAATTTAAAAACATTCTTTTCATATATTTACAACAAAATGTATGTCTGTATAAATGTTTCAATGAAATCCTTAAATATATGCATCATAAATTAAATTTTTGTAATTTTTCTCTTTAAATTAACTTTAGAGTAAGTATGTATAGTGTTTAAAATTTGTGTGTTGTCTATCTTTAAAATTTATTCTGAGTTTTTATAATATTTATTTGAATTTAAAAAAAAAAGCTGAATATTTTACATGTGTGCTTGTTTATTTATTTATTATGATAATTTTATATTCAAAATTCGTTTTATTGCCTTTCTGCACATTATATGAAAATCCTGTGTTCTTTTTAATTTGGGTTTGTACTGTACTATGATATGTATTAATATAAAATTATAATTACAAATATGTAAATAAAACAAATTTTTATTAATACAAAACTATGGTTTTTAATAAATTTAAATGAAATTTTTTATTTAAGCTGCTCTAAAATAATATTTTGGGTTTTTTGTTTCTTTTATTTAACTATAAAATTAACCTAAATAAAATTCTAACCCAGGAAAAAAAAGGTAGATAAATGTTTATAAGATGTATTCCTCTTTATTCTTATGTGTTTAAATTTTTCAACTTTGAATGTATTGCAATGCTAATACAAAATAGCATATACAGTTGTAGGGTATTTCAGTAATATTTTATAAAATTATTTTAAATTTCACTTCTTACAGAAGAATGTGGTATGTGGGACCAGGATTCAAATGTAACAGTGACAAGCGAACAATTTTTTATGAAATGGCCTGCACTGGGCTTCTTGCAAATGGTATCCCATCCAAAGATGTGTGCCTCAAGTATTTTATCACCACATTTTGTGATAACATCCTTGAGCTGTCTTTCTTTCAGGTAATAAAATATATATGTGTTTTTCATACATATGACTTTATATTATTAAAACTGTTTATTTTCTAGTTCATTAAGCTTATTTTTAATACTTGAGCAAAATTAATTTCTAATGTTTAAGAGACTTTAGATATATATTTCTTAATTATTGTTGACAGTTCAGTTTTAATAAATGCATATCTATTTTAATAACTGCTAATTTACATATCTTATTTGTTGATGTAAAAAAAATGGACATTTGATAGAAGGCTAACCATCCTGTCTGCCCCTTGAACTAACATACTCTTATTTTTAAATTTTAATGTAAAATAATAAAACAAAAAAGAGGTCTGAACAAAATAAAAATCTGAAATGGAAAGCCGTAAAGTTGCTATTATATAAACAATCAAGTGCACTTGTTTAGTTTCTCAAGAGACCTAATGAACTGTATCCAGTTCAATTACACAACTTGGTCAGAAGGATTATAAGAAGGTGAGGTACCTCTGAGTCATGCTTATCAATGAAATTTACTGACATTATTACTGCTGATAAGACTCCTTCAGAATTAGTAATGTATTCAGATACTGAAGAGTCGTTAGATAATTAGGAGCCATTAATGATTTTAGATTTAGAAGATTAGGCAGAATGGAGATATACTGATTATGCATTTTGAATATTATTAAAAACACTAGAATAAGTTCAAAATAAAAATATATAATAATATATGAAGTTTTTCTCATTTCTTACCACATGCTTTCATGGTGTAAATGGAAAGCATGTCCAACTAGCAATCGGGAAGTCCTGAATTCAAATCTTAGCAAGGGCGTTGCTGATTTTTCAGTTTTCTGCTTTGACGAACCTAATGACTATTTAATGACTTGCAAATCTTTACAGAAGTATGAGATCAGTTTGATACACTTGGAAAATTCCTTAATATTCAATGAATTAAAACAAAATCTGAAAAATAAAGCTGTTAAATCATACATGTTAATTAAAATAGTGAAATTCCTTGTGGAGGAGGGGGTTCAGCATTCTATTTGTAGAGGATCAAACAAAGAAACTGTAACAAAGAACTGTAACAAAGAAATAATGGAAATTTCTTTAAATGCATATTTAAGCTTGCTGATCCAGTCATAAAAACACATGTAGAAAGAGCTATAGAAAAAAAAGTTTGTGTTTATTGTTTCAACAAAGACAACAAAAATGAAATACTTCATATCTTAAGCTGTGCAATAAGAAAAAAATTCATGACATCTGTTTGAAAAGCTAAATATTATTCTATAATCTTAGCCTGCACACCAGATGGAAGTAAGTTACAATAAATAACAATTATTATACACTTTATAGTTTACAGAGATTGTAGAACTGAAACTGGAGAACTTTTAGGGTTTTGGGAAGCAGATGAATTTTATAGGTCATTGTGTGGAACTGAAATGGTGGCTGAATGTTTAGGAAGATGTAACATTACCATTCAGAATATGAGGATTAGAGATGTAGTAGCAGAACAAACATGAAAGGGAAAAGAAATGGACTTCAAAATTTACCTTTAAAAGCAAATCCTAGGGTTTATGTGTGCTTCTTATATTCACAATAAGCTTATTAGTCATAAACAATAAAAGTCAATTTATTTTGCAGTTGTGCAAGAAATGTATAATTTCCACGATTCTTTATCAAACCATTGATGTTTTATGAAATGTAATCATAATCACTTTAAAGCAGCTATCATGTACCAAGTTTTGAAAGAAAATTGAAGCAGTTTGACCTCTCCAGTATCAGCTGAAATAAATTTACAATGGTCTCTAAAAAATTATAACATTGATAGTTTTTAATAAAGAAATACAATATGAAGCCCAAATTTTAAGTGCTAAAATATTTTTTATTTATTTTAAGTGCTAAAAGATTTTTTATTTAGGTTTGGCATGATAGTATTTATTTTCAATAGAATAAATACCATCAGCAAACACCTTCGAGATATAGCAGTGCATTATTAAACTTGCTTTAGAATCCTTGAAGTCATAAAAATGTTTGATTAAAATATAGATCAGACTTGAATTACAGCTATGTACTTGATGTTGCAAAAAACACAGTTAAAGTGCAGATAATTAGAATTTAAATCTGCAGTTAAAATTTGATGAAGAAAAAAGACATGTTAATTTCAGTGTGTATATCAATCAAGACATAAACACTGACATAGTTTCTACTGAATATGCACAACGATAATTTTAATTTCTTATAAAATTCGCTAGAAATTAATAAAGAAATGCAACATAAGAAATTATATAATTAATAAAAAATACAATACATCTGCAAGAAAACGATTTGGAAAATTTGTTGAAGGGTGGAGACAGGAAAGATATCAAAGATGTTGAAATTTATGATGAAATATATGCTTTGAAGATATTTATTTACAAAAATGAATTTAAAACTCAAAATGCTTTTGATTCTTTATTTAATTCCATCTACCACTTTATGGTTTGTAATTTGTGTTAAAAGTATTATTGGTTTTACCTTTTGGTTTTATTGGTTTAACCTTTTGTTTTACCTTTGTTTTTAAAAGTATTATTGGTTTTACCTTTTGGTGTTCTGCGCAATGAAAAATAAATTTTGAAACAAATTAGTTAAGAATTATATACTTAAGAACATATTAATAGAAAAACTTACAAATCTTAAATTATTGAAAATGATGTTTCAAATTAGACAGAAAAGAAATATTTCCTACTTCACTCAATATAAATGTAGAAAAATAAAAATTTCAATGGAAAAAAAATGTTTAATCTTCAACTAATTAATTTTTTATAAATTATCAATTAATTATTTTTATTAGAATGTACTGAGAGAAATTTACGAAATTTATGATTATGATGCTTAAATTATGCTATTTGTTATTCAAAGAAAACAGAAGAAAGAAGTTGATATTGAAGGTTGCACTAAGTTCATAGGTGGGTGCTGAGCACTGTAATGCTGGCCTTGTTAATAAAGAATATGGTTTTCGGATGTATCAGTATAAAATAATATTAAAGTAAATGTGTTTTGTAAAACAGAGTTATTTTGATTTTACAAACTAAAAAGATTTAACAAACTTTTCTGCTGACTTTTTCTAATTACATAAAGTTTTCTTCATGGCAAGTTAATAGAGTTATTTGTGTAATTTTAATTTTGGAAAGTTTGTGATCTTTATTATATTGCATTTTTTTTGCATAATGCAGGTATATATATGTATATATATATATATAACAATATGTATATATAACATACATATATATATTGGGCACATGAGTGAAGCTTGGCAATATGGTCACATCAAAATTCCAAACATTGTTCTGGTTGAGTGTAAGGCAGCATCTAAATACAAGACAGAAGGATTTAAATTTATAGCTCCAAATCTTTATTCAATTCAAATGGCAAATCATTATTCTTTTAGATTAAATTCTCCAAAATTACATATTCAATAGTGATTTACTAGATAAGATTAACAATAAATTTAAAGCGTTATATTATTCGAACAAAGGGAGACAGAAAGGGAGACAGATAGCAGCAAAAGTCTGTTAGCAGCAGGAGAAGAAAGCAGTATCTGACGCAAGATGGTGCGAATTCTTCATTTATAGGAGTGGTTACGTAATATTCTCGAATGTTCTCGAAAGTACTGGTCTAGGGGGAAGATCCTGAAATTGTGGAAAGTTAATTAGAGGTTGCCTGTTCGCATAGAGCAAGGCCATCGTATTTTTTATATTTTACATCTTTATGTGTGTGTGTATGTATGTGTAATCAGAATATCTTGATGATGGGTGATAGCTACAACCTACTGGAGATGGTGGCATAGAAATAACTTGGTGAATGCTTTTCTGCGCAGATTCAAAGATGACATTCACAGATAAATGTGGCTGAAGGCAAGACATTATTTATTGCTGGGCAGTTAATTCTTGTGATATGTATTATCATTCACACATGATTAAGAGTGGCATATGCACCTCACAATTTTATGTAGCTTAGGATATCTTTTGACAATGGATACCACAGAGAAACAGACATTGCATGTTACTGGCAGTGAAGCAAAGGGGGAGATAGGAAAGGAAAGAAATGAATATGCATTCAGAAATGGGGAGGGGGTGTCAGAAAGATATCTTGATCTGTGATTCGATACAAGCTATCTGCTTTGTAGGATTGCATAAGTTAGCAAGAAGCGGGTTAATTTTGAAAAACCTCAGTCCAGAAATATATCATAAATAATTGCTACTTTTAGAACAGAAAAGGGAGCTACACTAATTGAAATGAAAAATTATCTGACATGTATGTATATATATATATATATAATGTTGTATGAACTTAAATCCATTTAGTGCGAATACAAGTTATTATTACTTGCGCAATTGCTGCAAAGTTAGTTAATAATAATTTATTTCCTAAACAGTATTGATTAATTGATTATATTATCTCCTAAGTTTAATTAAAGTAGAATTATTTTAAAAGTGTGCATCCATACTGGTAAGTTATATTTTGAAAGATGTTTTGAAGTAATTTGAAAGCAAAACGTTAATAATGTTTTAACGGGGACTGGAGTTAAATCATCACGAAGAATAATATTTCAATTGTAAAAGGAAAATTAAAACATGTAATTATTGTCATTGATCGGAAATTAGTTGACTTTTCAAGGGGAACAAACCAACTGCCGTTCAATGAACAATAATTGATAAAAATGCTTAAATATGAAAGTGTTTCGTCTTTACTCGAGTTATAAGTTAAAGCCAAACCGGCAATTCTAGTCAGGCCAAATATTTCTGCGAATAGTTGCTACTCAAAGAACTTATTCTCATGAAGCATTTTAGTCAATTCAATTTGTAGTAAAAATCAATTACTGTAGAGAAATCCTGTAAAACTCGAGTAACCGTCCCCGACACTATCATCTTTATGCATTTGAGTACTATATTATTTGTAGAAATTAAACATTGGAAATTGTCATTATGAAATCGAATTCAAAGTAAAGTTGAAATAAACATAGAAGATTATAAAAAAAGATAAATAATGCAAACTTTGTAAAAACAAATCAAAGATAACATAAAAATAATATAAAAATAATATAGAAAATAATATAAATAAGATCAGTGAATGTACATGAAGATATAAAGGCCAGAAAGGTGTTAAGTAACTTACATTCTTTCTAGTGGGGGAGTTGGCAAAGTGTTCTCTTCGTGTCTGACTCAGAAGTGTAGGGTGTCCGAAAATTCTTAGCGGCAGTAGGGGCTTTGAATAATATCAGTCGGTAAGACTTGTGTGAAGTAATTTATGGTAGTGGGTGGAACTTGGAATTCTTGAGGGATGTATTTTGTGGAGTTCTTATCTGAGAGAGACCGTCTGTTAAGATTTTTTTGAAAATACTAGTGAATGGAAATTAATTAATTTCTGGCTAATTGTCGTGTCGCAATGATTAAGAATTTAAGAAAGGAAAAAGGCATTTTCGCTGTCCAAGAGCTAGTAGACAGTCTAAAGGCAGGAAATAGGCCCATTTTTTTTGTAAAAGTATAGTAACAGTATATGTCTGAAGACAATTAGCTTTTTACAATATATACAATTGAGTAATTACACTATATACAAATCTTTCAACTGACAGTCATCCAACTTATACCGCCTTCTCAGGTTTAGGAATAAATTATCATATCCCTATCAGTTAAATGATTTAGAGTGAGTATTTAACGCCTGCTCTTTTAAGGCAATGGTTGATAAATTGAAAGGGAATTAGATTATTTTTGAGAATTTTGATAAGGATCAAAATTTCGCGTTGTAAATCTATTGTATCTGTGCATATAGTTTTAATTTGTTGTATTTGATTAATTATAGTATTGTTAATTACTTTTTTGGATATGTTGGAGTTCCAATTTATTAATTTGTTAGTATTGAAATTGAAGTTTCTTGTTTTGTCAAAAAGTAAAATTTTTTTGTAGTTAATGATTTGAAGATCTAGAAAGTCTATGCTATTTTGTGAATTATTAGTTTTATTAAGTTTAAGACAATTCGGATAAATGTCGGAGTTTTCAATTTTACCAAAATTATTAATTGTAATAAGGTCATCAATATATCTGTAGGTGTGTTTGTAGTAATTTAACTCTTGTGGTTGTAGATTTTTTTGGAAGTTAAATTCTTTGACTAATAAAAAGATATTACAGATCGAGGTGCTGGAATGTAAGCCCATTGGCAATCCTCTGACTTGTTTAAAAAGTTGATTTTGAAACTTGATGTAGTTATGAAAAAGTGTGCATTTTAGGTAGGTTTTCCATTTGTCAAGAGTCATGATATTAAGTATATTAGGGAAAAGTTTTGGTAGATCAAGTAGACTGGTATAGATTTCTTCTAGAGGAAGGGAAGTGAGGTATATAAGTTTTCAAAATCATAGCAGTTAATGTTTTGGATGTTAATGGTATGAATGGTATTAATGACAGGAGTGTTATTATGATTGATCCAGCAATAGTTATGATTAGTGTTACAATCATTGAAAATCAATTTACAGATTTTATTAAGTTGAATTGAAAAATAATAGTCTATATTTTTCTTGTAATTATTAGTTCTATTAGCTATAAATCTAAATTTTAATGGTGTCTTATGGAATTTGGGGATCGCATAAAATGCTTCATGAGAATAAGTTCTTTGAGTAGCAACTATTCGCGGAAATATTTGGCCTGACTAGAATTGCCAGTTTGGCTTTAACTTATAACTCGAGTAAAGACGAAACACTTTCATATTTAAGCATTTTTATCAATTATTGTTCATTGAACGGGAGTTGGTTTGTTCCCCTTGAAAAGTCAACTAATTTCCGATAAATGACAATAATTACATGTTTTAATTTTCCTTTTACAATTGAAATATTATTCTTCGTGATGATTTAACTCCAGTCCCCGTTAAAACATTATTAACGTTTTGCTTTCAAATTACTTCAAAACATCTTTCAAAATATAAACTTACCAGTATGGATGCACACTTTTAAAATAATTCTACTTTAATTAAAACTTAGGAGATAATATAATCAATTAATCAATACTGTTTAGGAAATAAATTATTATATATATATATATATATAATAAGTATACACTCAAAGATAATGGAATTTTTCTTTCAAGCCATGCACAAAATTTTTTAGTAAAATGTAATATATGTAAAAATTAACTTTTGAACTATTTGAACAGGGATAATCAACTAAATCCGGATAAATGGGCATATATTGGAGGTCTGTATGACGAATCTTCTTCAATCAGTGGAACACAGAGTCATTTGGTCTCTAAAATAATTCCATATCCAAACAGAAATCCACCTCTGCTGTTTAATGAAAATGATTTAGCGTTAGTTCAAGTGAAAGATGAAATAAAGTCGGATCGATACTCAAAAAATGTTTGTTTACCATACGATAAACCACAGACTGGCCAAGAGTGTTTCATATCTGGATGGAAAAAAAGTTCTTCAGGTAAAAATTAGAACAATTGTATGCAATAATGTAAAGAATGTTTTTATTTGGTTTCCTATTTTAAAAGTAGCGTTAAGTGATTTTAAAAAGTATTAACTTTTTTTTTTCAGTGCATATTTTTAACTAAATCTATAATTTTTAGTTGAATGCATTTAAGTATCATGTTGTAATTTAAAATATAAAACATAAATCATTTAAATAATTACTGTCATATGTATATATATTTGATTTTATATTACTTCCTTATGTAATTGTTTCCTGTAGTGCTTAAGTGTAGATCAAAATATCAGTTTTTTTTTTCCCTTTGTATCATCAGTTAAGACCTGCATTGTTTAAGTCATAATGTCATCAGTAACCTTTATTTAATTTGTTAATAAATAAGAAATTCTCAAAATTTCTTGCATTTTAACACTTTCAAATATAACATAACTTATAATTAATATTGAATGGAATTGTCTTATTGTATTATATAAATATTATATTTTTATCGACTGTATGTAAATACTGCATATGTTATATAATTGTGTAGTTGCATAAAAAATTGAAAGAAATAAGGTAAACCTTTTTTTCTTTGAAGGGGCTGAAGCAAACATTTAGAAACTAGCTATGTTATTAAAAAGGCTATTGTAAACTTATAACCGGAAGAGAGATATGTGTATCAAAGGAACAATATTTACCGACAAAACTAGCATAGCAGTGCATTTTCATAAAAGTGTTTTTAAATTTAATAAATTAACCTTTCAGCATGCGCATAGGTACAAAATTCATGACAAATTCAGTTTTTAATGCACATTTTTCGCTTATCGAAGCTGAGACTCCTGAAGGTCATTCTATTCCTCCTTTTACCCTTCCCCACAGCATGGAATGTGCCAACAGGAAGTCATTTGACTTTTTTTTTCCCTGGGCTTTTGTGCTGCATGGCAGCATTTTCATAAAATTTACGATACGTACATAGTCGTGTTTTAAAATTCGGAAAATAATTTTTTCTCAAATATTTTGTAATTTTCAGATTCTTCAAGAATTATCTGATGAAGAAAAGGAAACTGCTGGATGGGAGAACAATAGTGATTTCCGTTGCTTATTTTCTTTTATTTCTATTTTTTAGAAAGAGATAAAAACATTATAGTTTAAAGTGCGTTTTTGTAATCAGCAAGAATTAAATTTCCTTGCAGAAGTAATACTAAACTTACTTTTTTCCCTTACCAAGGTGTTTTCCTTTTTTATTGTCTATACTTGTCTTTGGTGAATATTAAGATTAGCTTTGATTTTAAAATATAATTATTAAATAATAAATTTAAAATTTTTCTATAATGAAATACATCACTGCATTTCCATCTCACTAACATCTCACTAAAACATATACTTATATTTGAATGTGATATCATTTGCTTTTTGCAATAATAAGATTAATATTTTATTTCTTAAAAAATGTATTATTGTTGCGTTTTTCTTTTCTGACACCAGTTGTTATGTTATTTTCTTCCTTCACGTTCATACGGGGTTAGTACACTTCATCGTACATATATAATTAAGTAATTTAAAAAGAAATGTAATATATGCCATGAAATCTCCGGTACGCGAAGTCAGCAGACTGATATAAATAAAGAATGTTGCTGGTTGATTGCATTAGCAAATACTGTTTTCATAGTGTTGCGTTTTTCTTTTCTGACACCAGTTGTTACGTTATTTTCTTCCTTCATGTTCGTACGGGGTTCGTGTGGATTTGGAGTGAATAACGACGACAGCACTTGATGGAATATTGAAACACACTTTATTTAGCCAGTACTAATCAGGACAGCTCCAAAATCATGTTACAGTCGTTTAAGAGCTACTATAAACACGCTGACACAATCAGCGACACAGCCTTCACACTGTCATACAATAACGGTGGAGACAGTTTCACTGCAAAGCACCAGAGTACAGCTTCCATCTCTGCTCGGTCGTTCTCAGAACTCCATGTACTCTTGAGACTCTCCACGCTACAACTCTCGATGCACTCGACGACACACAGAGCACAGCTCCTGACTCTTCGGTTCAGTTGTTCCCGGAGCTTAACACACTCTCTCGATATGATGCACTAACAGCGATACACTAACACTCTTTGATGCACTCGGCGACCAACTCGGTGCTAGACTTCGAGACACTCGCTCAATGACTGACTATCAGCTCACTAGACAAGGCACACACTCTCTGACTGCAGACCAGCAGGATTTCGAGAACATTCTGGGCTAAACTAGTAAGAATTTGTTCCAGAAGGTTCTCCATCCGTCCATGGCATATCGCCAATTTTGTTGCCAAAAGGGCGATTTCTCATCATATGTGGCAACCCTGCCTTCCCTTGCCATGTTATGCCAACCATAAAACTGCTTTGCAGGGAAGCTATCTTACTGTGCCTGGACATTTTGTAACATAGCTTGTGCTCTATAATGTGTATACCACTGGAAATTTTATGGTTAGTTATCTATGTTATAATGAGTGGCCTCTTGCTTAATATTTTTTAAAAGTGTCAGGCCTTAATTCATATGAAATTTCTGTTGTTGAAAAATGCTCATGAATAAACACTATGTTCATAAATTATCAATACAAATGCCTGATTTGCATCTACTATGTAATATTTTATACCTTTGTTGATGCATAAATGATGTATGCTTAACTTGAAATACAAAGATAATGTCATAACTTCTATGATTAACATATAATAACACACCGAACAAGTATTAATTTAGAAATCAAACAACAAGAATCAGCGTTATATTTTCAAATTATCACAGGACTAGTTTCAGTGGTTTTACCGAACCATCATCCTCAGCTGTTAAATGTAAATGAGCGAGATAAGATAATGGCTGGACAAGAGTTAAGCCACTGGTGCCATTTGTTGATGGAACGAGAACTTCCTTAAAGGCTGAAGGCAAAGATGGATTGGAATTAAGGTCATTAACTAAAACAAAGATTTTTTTTAATGTGAAATGCCTCTAGAAAATCTAATTCACCAATGGAAGATGTTTTTTGAATAATTTTGGCTGCAGAAAAGTTGAAAGTGTGATTTTCGGATCAACAATGCTGGGCAACAGAAGACTTCCGTGTTTCCTTCTTTCTAACATATGCCTCATCTTCCTTAACGCAAAATATTAAGGCTCTTTTAGTTTGACCAATGTAAATTAATCCACACTGGCAAGGAATCCTGTAAATACTCCAGGAATTCATATCTGGAGTGGGGTCCTTGAGCATGGTAATTAGAATTTTTTTGATAGGAGAATAAATGAAGGTTAAAATTCTGTAAAATACGTGCCTTTTTATCGCTTATTAATGGAAAGAAGGGAATGACAACATAATTCTTATAATCTCCTAAAATGAGTGTGCCTTTTAGTGTGCTGAGATGATAATTATGATCTATGATTAGTTAGTTAATATCTAGCATTTATCAATGTCTTGGAACATATTACCTCAGAACCACTGTAAAATAAAGATTAGAAACCATTTGAGAAAGACAGTCGAAACATTTCATCATATTAAACTCAAATACATATCATCATATTAAACAAACATACTTATATTCCCTTTTTTGATGTTGGCTCTACTTTCAAGCCAAGTTTCTTTTTAAATTTTTAAAGGTTTGAAAATTAAATGTTTTTGTGGCTGCAGGAAGAATAAAAAGAAAGTCTGTACGTATTTATAAGTCATTAGTATATTCAAGAATTTTTTTTTTTTTCTTCTTTTTGCAGATGATGACCAAGGAAGAGAATTTCTTTCGATTCCTGTGAGCATTATTTCTAATGAAGAATGTAATAACACCGCTAATTATAATGGAATGTTATTAGACTCTTTGATATGTAGTATGAACAATAATGAAAGCTTTCAAGCATGCCAGGTAAATGTAGATTTAATATTTTATTTTGCAAATTTATTCAAGTTGTATGTGCTTATTTTTTTATTTATTTGTTTTTTATTTTAATATGCAAAATAAGATTACATATGAAAAAGTCAACTAAACCCATAGATTTTTACTTCTTTGTATGAAACATTATAAATGCAAAATATTTCAGCTTTCAAATTTAAACGGCAATATCCATTTTGACCATTCCCGAATCCATTTTGACTACTTTTTTGCATGATATCTGTATGTATGTACGTATGTCACATGACTCAAAAATGGTTTACCATAATGACACAAAAAGGCCAAATGCAAAAATTTTGTATTTGGCCTTTTTGTCTAGTTTCAATGTGACATCTCTATGTACAATGTGTGTGGGGGGATGACAGTTCTATATCTCCCATTCTACTGAGCCGATTGACGAAAATCAGACTGCGTTTTTCACGTCTTCAGAGCGCGACTTAGGGTATATATTAGATTTATATACAGCGTTATTCTAACATGGGTATTTTGACACAAAGTCGAACTTTTTCTGAAATAACATGCCTTTTTTTTTTTTTTTTTTTTTTTTTTTTTTTTTTTGCATATTTTGATTTTACAACTCAAATTATGCCTAAATATTAAATTTTGTAAAATTTGGTACGAAATTTATGGAGAAATTCAAAAATTAATCGTGGGAATTTTTTATCAGTTTACGCCAAGAATAGTTCACTTGGTGAACTTCTTAATATATGGCAACATATTTTCCTCTCTTCAACAGTCTAAATGATGATTTTTAGTTTTAACTAATATTAAAACTAAAAATCATTGTTTAGACTTTGCTCTGTGAGTCATTTCTTAAGCTGCAGTTTGTTGACAGAGATATAGTGATGAAAGCAAAAAACAGTAAATTATCATTTGCCAGGTTGGTGTCAATGCCTTAATAAGATAATAATCATAAGAATCGGTTCTCTTATATGTTCTATTACAGAAAAATATCAAATGCGCAAATGTAAAGCATAAAAAAATCCGGAGGTCCAGATTTTAGATCATTCCAGATATTGGCTATAAAACATTTTATAATAATTCATCTACTCAACTAAGTTTGATGTAATCAAATATGAGATTCTAGAAAATCAAATAAAAAAAAAAGATTATTTGCTATGGTAACAAAATATAACTCTGATAACATCATAATTATACAGTTACAGTTATAATTGTAATTTTATTTTTTATTTTAACAGATGGACATAGGATCACCTCTGTTCTGCCTTGGTGAAAATGAAAGATGGGAAATACAAGGAATTTTAAACTTCCCAAGTCCTTGTGACATGACACAACCTGCTGTCTTCAATAGTGTTTATAGTATTCAAGAGTGGGCAATTGAAATTGTCAGAAATGAAACTACATACACATCATTTAGTGAAGACTGAAAAAAAAATCCCTTGGCTGTAGAGTGAAATAATTTTCAGAAACCAATGCTTTTGTGATAAGCCAACATTTTTATGAGAATGTTTCACAATTCTTCTTAGTTTTTGCTTTCTTTTACAAGGCTGCCAAGTATTACATGAATGTCACTGGTGATGAGATAGCTGTGATTTATTCAGTGAATACAAACATTTCTTTGCCTTTTTTTTTTTTTTTTTTTTTTGAAGACATTTGTTTTGCATGTGTATGTGTGTGTGTGAAACTAGTACATAAGACTAGTGAAAATGCGATTAAGCTAGTCCAGCAGTTGTAGTGATAAGTGCACATCCTAGTGAGCAACTGTTAGAAACTGTCCATTATGTTCGAATCATCTGTGATGTTGAACGTGCCTTAATGTGTGACTAAATGAAAACAAGAATGATAAAGACGTTTCATAAAAGAAGTGTATAGTCTTGTATATTTGCTCTGAACATGCAGTCAAATGTGAAAGAGTTGACAAATCGGCAATTAATATTATGCTGATTTCAGCTGCTTTTTCAAATGCACATAAACAGTATGTGTCCAAATTATATGTGTTGTTTTAGGGTTTTTTAAATTTCTGCTATTTAAAAACTGTTTCATATTTTATGAGTGCATGTGATTGAAGATTGTGCAGGGAACATGCCCAAAGTTCACTTGATAAACTGATAAGAAACTTTTTTAGGTCTTATATGATATTTTTCCAATAACTGTATATAATTTACTGACATAGAAGCACATAATACAATGCCATGGGGAATATCATAATGCAATTTAATAGCTGCTAACTTATTCATGAACTAGGATTTTTGATTTTGTGAGACAGTGCTTTGAAAGTAATTAAAACAAAATTTGCTATATTACTGAATAGTGTATTTGTTCATTATGCTCATTCTTCTGCAGCTGAAAAATGCACTTACTAATAGCAATTATTTGATTTTATTTTAATATCTAAGATGTGCTTTGTTTAACTAAAAAGGAAATGGAATATTTTTTGGCTTTAACAATACATTAATAATGGAAAAATCTTCTACAAAAATTATAAAACTTAATAAATGGTAACTATTCCTTTTAAAATTCAATACTTTGCAATATATAAATAGAATTATATGATTTATTTTAAGATATTAATTTGTGAATAAGAATTTAAGTATAATTAAAACTTGATTGGTGATATAGTTAAACAGAATAAGCTAGGAATCTTAATCAAATGCTCATTATATTTAACAATGTTATATGTTCTACGTGACCTTATATCCAAATAGATAACTTCATGATTTATCATTAAAAATTAATTTCAAATTAATAATAAATAATACATGAATGCAAAAATATTGTATAAAATTTTATATTGCTGCCACATAAATACAGTGATGTAACATTTTTGCCATCAAATATTTAAATAGTGAAATATCCAGGCAAAATTTTTTAGACATTTTCAATATACTCTTACACTTTACAAAATATTTAGAATTTTTCCTGCATTTCATTAATGCATCTAGTTTAAAGTTTTTGAGAGTTTTGTATGTATATTAATTAAGGCATTTTTGTATGTATATTAGTTAGGTGTACCAGTGTAAAAATACCATCACATATTTATTTGTAAATGTGAAATTTGAATGTGACTTTTTTTAAGAACTTAAAAAAGAAAAGAAAAATTTTATTTTTAACCTATAAACCACTTAAAATACCAATTTTGTTATATGCAAGTCTAATTTGCATACTCAATCTTCTTACTCACAGAAACAATGCAGTAAAAAATAGAATACAGTACTTTAATCTATGTGCCAATTTTTATTGCAACATCTGTTTCTGCAAACCTACTGAAGAATACTTTTTTTAAAACAAATTCTGTGCAAATTATAATGGATTACACTATTTATGTATATTATTGACATACTATTCTAAAACAGCTATGCATGAACTGTTACATGGATAAATTATATTAATGTGCTATGTAACATAAAAAATTTTAGATTTAAACGTGTTTGCTTATGGTTGAATTGTTAGTATAACTTTTTTTATGAATAGAATTGATTGATGTGACTTAGATATTGAAATTTCAGACATGGACAATGACAGGAAGGTAATTAATAGTAAAAACTATTAAAGTTTTAAATTAGATTATAACTCACCAATTGACATTGATTTTAATGGTTATTTATTCAAAAATTTTTTGAAAAGGTAAAGAAATTGGTTGAGTCTACATGTTAAGTTGCTGCAGATGAAAAAATGTAAATGAAATAATTGCTTAAAACTGAGTGTACATGTTAAATAACTTTCTAACATAATCATAATAAATCTACTTCAATATACTGTTATTAACAATATGCTACTGTTCTTTAAAATTTCATAAATCAATAGCCTGGAATTGGAAGTATTAATGTTTTTAATTTGAATTCTTGAGTAATAAGGGAAAAATTATAAATTTTCAAACTTCTCATTGTGCCAGTGTATGCAATGTAATGTGTTTTAATGTTTTGTCCTCAGCTTTTGTCAGTCATTAAATGTACAATTCATTATTTTCTTATTTAGTTTCATAAATTCTTGCTCATTTGAATCAATTTGCCTTATCCTGTTTGATTTGAAAATATTTTCTATTACAATTATAATTACTATATGTTTTATTTGCTTGTGGCTCGCTGCCTTTGTGTTTCAGCTTCAATACTTTACATTAGTACTTTTTGTACATAACTATATGTCATACTTCAAGAGCTAAAAATACTGAAATTTTAGAAACAAGGAAAAGATTGAAAATTCTAAGAAATAATTTAGATATTTATTACTAAAAACTTCGAAATAGTTATACATAAATTCTTAGTTTAATTTTTCACGTAAAAGTGAATTCAAAATATAATAGCTAAAGGCATCTTAGAAATATTATTAATGTTTTATGTGCCATTGCTAGACTTCGGAATTTAGAAAATTATACATTAGGTTCTTGTGAAATTTATTTTTCTGCTTTTATCACAAAGTCAATAAATATTACTTTTTCACCTAGTCAATAAAATGTCTGGATTATATTTTATGAATGCACTATGCTATATTGTTTAGAGTACATAGATTCATTCAAAACTATTCATTTCTCAAAGTTCGCTTTATTATCTTTATACGTATTCATATGTAATATGCATATATGCATCATCTGATTTTTAAAGTCTTATTTTATCTGATACACTTCTTTAATAATTTAAGGTGAGGAAGTTAGTAAAGAGAAGAGCAGAATTCATATTTTGCAGATTTTCAGCAAATAATAATAATGCATAAAGTAATTGCAGAAATTAATTCAAAATTATAATTAATGTTCTTTTTAATCTTTATTTTGTACTAAATATATTACCTATGTGACAATTTTGAGCTATAAACTTGACTTCTTATATTAAAAAATAAGTATTTACAATTGCATGCATTCTGTATTATAAAAATACCAAATGGATAATATGAATTGCAGCACATATATGGCACATTTTGTTGTGAGAGCATGAACTTTGCAGCCCAGCCCACAATAGCAGTTGAGTAGATTTGTTGCATTTACAAAAAAGAAATGATTTCAGGTGTAGCACTTCAAAACAATTTTATAAAAAAATTCAGTTCCAAAAAATAAATTTGATTTATACTTATAAGATGTTTGTGGGGGGGGGGACCAGACCATTTCTTGGAATGCCTCAACAGTTGAATGCTGTTTTAAATGTCTGACAGAAGATGTCATTTTAATAGTTTTAACTGAGCAGATCCGATAACAAAGGCAAAAACTTTGACTGAGACAAAGCGATTGACAAGGATTCCAAAGCCAATAAGCATAGAAGAAAAATGCAATGAAATTGTCATTAAAAATGAGTACATTTAGCAGTTAAAGCAACTTTGACTAAAATTTCAAGATAAAAACAATTTGGAGCTAAGTCAGTTATACCTCATCCACCACACTCATTAGATCTAGCACCAAAGGATTATCATTTTTTTCTCTCAGCACTTGCAAAACACACACTTCCAAACTAACAACCAGTTTTTACTGAATATTATTTATTTAAAATCTGTAGAATAAATAATATGCAAAGAGAATAGATTATTTAAAAGCTTGTTAAAAATAATAATAATAAAATCAAACACTCATTAATAATGTGATGAATATGTATTAAATTAAAGACCACTGCTGTATATTTTGTTGGCAGCTAAATTTTGTTTTAGAGAAACAACTAATTAAACAAAAGTTGTTGATTTATATTTTGACTTTTAGCCAAAACGTTAGTAGTTACTTTTCTTCAAGTAAATGAAGCTGTTTTTCTTTTTACTTTCATGTGTGCACTTCTGGATTAGTCTTGTTTCTGATAATGATTCCAAATCATATTAACATTCCACTAACTTTGGTATCTCTCATGAAAAAAGTCATATTAACTGCATATAGATTTTTGGGGAAAAAATCCTTGTTCGAGAAAGGAATTTTAGTATTCATTGAGCATTATTAAGTTTTATATAATGCATACATAAGCAGTAGCCTTATTCTTTTTACAATCTCCCCATAATTTAGCAATTTTTATTAAACAAATCTAAAGTCTCTTTTTTCTTTTATTTCATTTATTGGAGGCAAGATATTTTCATCTTACAGCAATCTTAAAACCCAGAATGATAAGAATGCCTTGTTTTAATTTTGCTTTTATTAAGATCATATTCAAAAGTACTTACAGCTTTTTGCACTTTTTAAAAATCCAAAACAAACTGCATTCAGTTATCAGAACAGGATGCAGAAGAATTTGTCAGGGAAGGAAGGCCACCCTGGGTCAGGGGAGCTTCTGAAGAAGTTCATAAGTATATGAACAACTATAAAAAATGATAAGCTGATAAAAGATCTGCATTAAAAATGTTAAAAGTTTATTGTGGAAATGGACTTCCAAAAATCAGTCTCTAACTTATATTTGACACCTTTTTGATTGTATGTGCTTCAGTGTCTTCTTGCAAGGGAAGTTTTTTTCATTGATTACAAGCTATCTTCGATCAACAGTTTCCCAGGTAAGACTTAACAGTTTTGCAATCCTTTCCATTGAAAGTGCAGTAGTTAAAAGCATTAATTTTGATGAAGCCATAAGCAAATTTTCAAAAGTCAAAGCTCTTGCTTTTTTTATTGACAGAAGAGTTAAATAAGTGTTTTAAGTCATAAAAAAATGGCAGATTAACAAGTTCCCTAAAATCCCAGTGAATGGGCAGAGTTCGGTGAGTTTCCGCAATAATTTTGAAATGATGATACAGATTTTTGCATTCCCTTCCTTGTTCATATGTAATGTAAATATGAGTTTTCTTAGGAAATTTTCCTAGGAAGCATTCTTTAATGAATTGGAAAACCTATAGCTATTGAAAATACATTATTTTTTCTTAAAGAAAGCATGCAAACGTTTCCCTCGTTGCCCCTAAATCAGGTGCAATACCTTAAAACAGTTTTGGATCCTACACTTTTCTACTCCATTCTACCCTTTTTATATAAACTAGAAAGCCGGTTTCTTTCTAATACTTGTTTATACTGAATATTTAATATTATGTAAAACATGAAATTTAAGCTATATTATTTTAGCATGCTATGAAATTAATTCTAAATTTGCTTTAACTGAATAAAAGTAACATTTTGTAAATAAAGATGTTACATAATTTTTTTTAATGAAATCTTTTTCCAAATAAATTATTAGTAGATCAAAGTTAACAAACAGACAAAAAGCTTAAAAAAAAAAAAAGTCAACATTTTGAAATTAATTTAATTTTGTGGAAGATAAGAAATAATCAGCCGTCAAAATTCACCAACTGTGAAATAAAAGGGAAAATGCTTGATATGACACTGAGATTTTTTTAAATTGTACTTTACTTTCTTATTTAGTTTTTATGTGCATTAAAGTTCAAAAGCCTGACTGGCTTGTCAATAACGGAAGCAAGGTATTAGTACCTCTTTCTCTCTAGTTTGGATCAGATCCTCATATCAAGGGACAATCAGTCAAGACTCTATTAATGAAATTTTCTTGATATTCATCCTGTTAGGAAAATGAAGCTTCATAGTCTGCCGAAATCTTCACAAAGTAGTTTTCAGTTATAGAAATTACATATGATATTTAGGTTTGGTACTATTGAAGATTTTAATTTTTTTCCTCTAAACAAGTAGTTCTATCAGGTGTTTAGAATATTAAATTAAGAAAAAAAGAAACTAAGCAACCCATTTTTATTAAATTTGATTATTATTATCTTTTAATATAGCTTATATTTAAATTTACATTAGTTCATAAATACAGTTCTGTTTATTACTGTAGCTGCTTAGCACATATTAATTAATTGCATTAAGGAAGTTTTTCTAAACAAAAGCTGTTATTTCCAGATGAAAGAAAAATCTCTTTTTCCCTTTTTTCAGTGTACTGTTTAGATGTTGTCATGAGTCAATCTGGGTTATTTTTATTACTATGCATTAATAATTAGAATACTAATTAAGCAATAATAATTATAAATTACTTTATTAAAACTATACAAATATAATAAGATTTCTGTATTCATCAACTAGCACAAAGTTTCCCTCGATTGTTTTAAGTGCATAAAAAAACAGGCTTCTTTCCAGTCTCATACATATTTGTATTGACTTGTGTTTCCCACCCAGAGTTCACATGGGCCCCCAGAACTCTACAGAAACTTTCAAGGGTCCACAAGAAAAAAATTATATTTGAGGTGTATGATATTATGAACTACGTTCATGAGAAAACATTATGAATATTATTAATAATATGAATATTATTGATAAAATAATTTAATAACAATAATCCCATAGAAAGTCCAAAGATATACGAATAGGAGATAGTCTTATTTTCTGGAACCTAAATGTAAGCTAAAATGTATATCATTGTTTTCCCATCATCTTTTATCTTGTAAACTGTGTTTCTAGTTCCATAACAGTTGTTAACAAAAAATTGTAATCAACTTTATATAGTTAAAAGAGATGATCTTCGTCCGATTCTCACAAAATTTGAGGCAGATATTGATATGCTAAATCATCAGTCATAAAGATCTCAAGTAGGGCTTTATTTAATAGCTTTAGGAATAGATTTGTATATGTTGTTTGAAATAGTACGTTTAATTTTTTTTATTTTACACTATAAGTGAAAATATGTTTCAGTTTTATCAATTAAAATTTTCAAAATCTGCAATTAAAATTTTTTTATATTACATTACTCACAAATAAATATTTCATTCAGGAATTGTTTATTTACTTAATTATTAGTTTCTCATATTTTAAAAATAACTATTTCATTTAGTATATTATATATGATTAAGGGGTTCATATACTTAAAGTTAAAACTTGGGAAGTCCACAAGTAAAAGGGGGAAAAAAAAAAAAAAAAAAAAAAAAAAAAAAACACAACTGGGAATCCCCCCCTTTTTTTAAAATCAGACCTTCTCATCTAAATTTTTTATTCTTGTATAGTACTGGTATTACAGATGAATGGATTATTGGATTTCATCTAGTATTTGCTAGACAAGGAAGAACTAGCAACAAACAACAACTTAATAGTTTTTGTATTGTGCAAAATTCTTTTAAGTGCTAGAATATTTTAACTGAAAAAACACTAAGTTTACATTGTATGCACAAAAGATAAAATGATGTGAATAGTGAGTATCCAGATTTTTCACCACATATTTTAATGAATAAATATTCAAAATATATGCAAATAACATTTTTATTAAAATATAGTACAAATGTATTATCACAGTAGTCATCTATGCAATAATAATATGCACTGTTATGCATAAACAGCAATTGTGAATGAAATCTGTTGAAACTTAAGAAACTTATTCCAGTATAACATATAAATGTGATAAAAATAAATTTATGATAAAAAGGTACTAATCACATAAGGAGTAGGCAAAAGTCCTGGAAATACAGAAATACATGTGTATAAACAGAATTTTTTCACGATGACTTTAAAAATGCTGCACTGTGCCAGACATGCACACTGACTTTTATTGAAAAAAATATGTTAACACATTGTCAGGTGAATTCATTTTGGTCTTAATAAACAAGAAGTATGCAGTAGATAGTTGCAACAATAGAATGAGAATGTTATGTTTATAGTTTTTTAAATGAATTCATTCAAGCCCTTAACAATACATGCTGAGTTTGTTAAAAGCATTTGAAGCTCACTGTAATGTGATGATATTTATTGTTTTAATTTACTAAGTATTTTTTAAAAATTATTTGACAAGTATTTTTAAAAATCTACTGCTTATTTTTTTTCTTTCGTCTGTAGCAGGAGTTCTCAAACTTTTTTGACCCATGCACACCTTTTACCACTGCTAGATAATCATTCCTCCTCTCCTCTCCATAACTCGAAATATAAATCTATTTATTTATCTAGATTTAGATGATTTTTCAATGTGTTTTATAAATTAAATAACAGAAAGTGGAGAAAATGTTGATAAATACCAAAACTTAAAGTAGTTTTTATATTCATACACTAAAATTAAATACTTAACAGATGAATAAAAGGCTTGAGCGTATCCCCACCCCGCAGCTATGAAATTGTGTTCGGTTGAGAACCCCTAGTCTATTATAATGTAATATAAAAGTTAAATAAGTATGTGTATAAAAATTAAATAACATCGCTAATTGGGGGAAGAGTAACAAGTTTTAATTTTTTTCATCTTAAAGAATATAAAAAGGTACTCATGCTTAACTTAAAATAAAATCTTAAATCAATTTTATCTCAAAATGTAACTTTTTTACACACTATGGAATAAAATAAACAAATATTTTTAAGCATTAAAAATACTTTCTTGTTTAGCATTCATAAAATATTAAGTTGAATAAATATAAAAATTTTTCACATGATGCTTCACTTAAAAATTCCCAAAATATGCCAGGTCCCTCCCCCCAAGAAAAATTATGGATTTTTTTAATCACAAAATAATTTTAAAATGAGCACTTATTTGAAAAAGAAATTCAACTATTATATAACGAGAGATTGAAAAACGGGTATCACTAACAGCACGTGAAGGTTTTATTTTTTCCAATATGATTAGCATTATTAGATAATAAAAGACTACAGTCCTCTTTGTTAAGTGGCCTTGGCTCAGACCCACCATTTGGGTAAAAAAATTGAAATACAAATTCAAACATTTCATCTACTTTATAGCCTGTTTTACTAGAAGTTTCAAAATATGGAATGATTTTAATATTGGGAGGTAACGAAGGATTGAGCTTCTTTGCTAACTCTATTCCTTCTTCTTCTGTAACCTAAAAAAAAAAAAAAAAAAAAAATTAAATAAGTTAATAATATACATTATGAACTAATATATTAACAGTTATTACATTTCATAACATATTTCATATTTTACATAGTCTAAGATAACATACATTCAATTATACAATATCATAGAAAGTACAGTTCATAGCTTAATTACAATACATACAATATAAAGTGAGCCATTAAAGTTTATTTTAAGGAATAAAAAGAACAGAGACAATGCACTTTCATAACATTCGTAAATGATTGCACTGTAACTGTGCAAAACTCATACCTAATTTCTTCTATGATGGATTACAAATATGAAAAGTGTGTTATGACTGGCTTGCAAGTATATTGGCTGCCAAATAATGTAAAATTGCATTATGTGTCATTTATGATTTCATGTGAAAACAAATTGTCTTCTGATATGATAGTATGAAAGACAACTGCCAAAAGAAAAATGGATGTTTATAAGTGTCTTTGCCACATGGAGGTTGTGAAAATATAGGGTAGCCAAAAGTCTTCTTGGTGGGAGATCCCTGAGGATTCTTCTTCAGAACTGGGACTTCAAAACCAAGCATATTCGTACACTCACTTAGAAGATGCCAAGTTCTAAAACAATAATAGCAACTTTTTGGTCATGGTAAAATCCATGAACTTCATCTGGCATTATAGTCAAACAACTGAAATAAGTCATAGAAATGCGGAAACAAAAGCATACATGTACAAAGGCTACAGCATGTTTACATGTACTGAGAAAGGGAACTCTTAGGAGTACAAACAGACCACACATATCAGACTAAAGCAATGGATTAGTTATCAAACATTCAGTCACATTGTTAAAATTGTGAAGAGTGAAATTAAATAATTAAGAATAGGAAAATATCTCAAAATCGTGGGTCACATGAGACCCTTGACAAACTTTTTTGCACCCCTCAGTTCACCATAAGATAATAATAAAAAAAAATTATGTATGTAATTATAATAGCATGTTAATAAAAGCTGGAGTTTCGTTGAAGATTTGACACAGTTCCCAACTTATACTAAGTGCAAAACAAGTTCAGGGAAACCTGTTTTGCACGAAACGTGTTGAAAAACTTCAGTGTGCGAAGATTAAATTTGGAAAAGAAAGGTTCCGCTTTGTGAGATCTATCAAAGATGAGCCTTCCCTGTTTTCTGCTCCCTTTTAAACCAATGCTGTTTCCAGCACTGGTTTAATGTAGCTCTGGGTTACAGATAGAGCTCCATTTAACCATTTTTTGTTCCTCTTTAACCAATGCTGTTTCCAAAGTTCATGTGGCATAGCTGCGGGTGGTGTATGCTGGGCCACTCATCTGTTAGTCATTCAATTGTTGAACATTGTATGCTATGTGCAGTTGCACATTACACGACTTGAAACTTGTCGCAGCAAGCCTTGAAGCAAAACAGGCCCCAGAATATTAGAGCAATAATGCTGGCTGTTGAATATGGGGCAATGGCTATTAGGGACTGTGACTTAGCTAGAAGGGCAGGAACGTCTGTCCCCGGGCGCAGTATGCGAGATGTGCTAAATATATCTTTGCTCCCGATTGCTAGCTGGACGTACTATCCAGTTACACTGTGAAGGCAGGTGAAAAGAAGGGAAAAAATACATTATACACTTCCCATTTTAAAGCATGACTAAGGAGGTGGAACCCTAGTTTCCAAATCCTGGAGGTAGCAAATAAGAGTTCATCACCTTTTAATTCGGGTGTCACTTTTAGAATCATTAGATTATACAGCAACGCAGGAAATATGAAAAATAAACAATTCCTTCGCCGGGATCCGTACATTGGAACATCTGCTGCTAGCCGGACATGCTATTTAGTTACATTACGAAGGCACACAAAAACAAAATACCTTATAATGTTTTTATTCATTACAAAAAGGGAGAAAATACCTTATGATGTTTCTGTTCATATTAAGGAGTGTAGGAATCTGTTTAATTCAGTCAAACAGATGAAGCAAACTTGAAGCTTAAGTTTCGATGGTAGCTGATTTGAACATGTGTTATAATACAGAATTAGGTATTAAACCTGTCCAAGATCTATTTAGTTATAATTACCCATACTATTTACATTGTCTGTAAACTCGCAGATTTTTCTCCCGAAACGAATGAAGATTGCATAGATCTTAACACAAAATTTTTTAATGAAAAAATCTCAATCTATTGTGATACTTCTTTGACGAAATGAAGCAATTCCAATGATGGAACACAGCAATAACTTTTATTTAACACTCAAAAAAATGGCGACATACAAACAAGAAAAGAAAACATATTCTAACATTTAAAAATAAATTACATATTCGTGCGAGAGTCGCACGTGGCACTCGAGTCTGGTTTCGATATTGCCATTCACAAATAACTAATGTTCATCTATTTAAATTATTTAAAACTACAAGATTTTATATATATTTAAAGCTGTTACAAACCTCCCTCTCCCCCAACGGAGAGAGACTTTTTCCGAAGGGGAAAAGTTCTGTAAAATTTGACAGTTTAATAAGCTCGGCTTGCTATTTTCTTAAAGAGCAAAGGTTATTCTCTTAATAAATTTCTAAATTTCAGGCCAAAAAAATTTTAAGTTTTAAAACAATACTTTTACACTACATTTAAAAAGAAAGAAATGGAGAACGTTCAAATACATTAGTTGAGCATACATTAAAACAATAAAAATTAATTCTAAACGTGGTTACATACACTAAGAGTTTACATTACTTAATTCTACTCAGAACTCTACGTTCTTGTGCAAAAGATCCTTTGCGATGAATGACCTTAAAATTATAAGGTTGTAATGAAAGTACCCAACGCATCAACCTAGAGTTACATTTGGCGTTGGATTGTAGCCAGACTAAAGGGTTATGATCAGTTTGAATCAATTCTTGCTGACCATCCAGATAAAAATGCAGTTCCTTGATAGCATAGATGATGGCAGTGCACTCCTTTTCAGTAAGTACAATAAATTCTTTTCCAAATTTAGTAATTTTTTTTGCTTATATACAAGATAGCATGCTCACGTTGTTCATCATCAAAAGAAACATATATCTAGATACCCATGCACTAAAACCTTCAGCAACAGCATCGGTTTGTATAATAACCTTTTATCAAAAGGGAGCATACAGAATTGGTTTCTTGCATAGCAACTCTTTAAATTTTTAAAAGCTCTGTCACATATTTCAGACATTGTATATTTCCTTTTTTGTTACCCCCTTCAAAGCGTCGTGAGGGGTAAAGCAATTTCAAAATCTCGGTATGTACTGGCGATAAATACCCTACCAGTCCTAAGAAAGCACGTACTTCTGTTTTGGTTTTAGGTGTAGGATACTCCTTTACATCCAGGATCTTTACTTCATCCGGGGTTCGTTGTCCTTGTCCCACAACATGGCCTAGGTATCTCACTTGATCTTGTGCAAATTTACATTTTGATGGTTTTTAGTCGTAAATTTGCTTTCTGTATTCTCTCTAGAACAGAAGTTAAGTTTTTAAGGTGCTCTTCCCAGTTTTTGAGTAAATGGCAATGTCATCCAGTATGGTACAGCGAAACCTTCGCATGCAGCCAGGACTTTCGTCATAACTTTGCTAAAAAAATATTGGGCATTTTTTAATCCAAAGGGTAAACGTAGAGGCCTGAAACTTCCAAAACTAGTTACAAATGTTTGCATATCTTTGGGGCTCTTTCTGTTAACGGAATTTGCCAGTAGCCTCTAGATAAATCTAATAGGGTATATATTTTGCTTTTGCTACAGTTTCGATACGTTTTCAATATTAGGCAAAGGATAGTATTCAGTTTTAGTAACAGCATTGAGTTTACGATAATCAATACATGTCCGAGGATCCTTTGATAAAGATTCTATCAAAATCATGGGAGATGTATAGTCCGATTCTCCCAGGCTCTATAATTTTGAGATCGAGCATTTTCTGAATTTCCTTTTTGAGAATTTCAGTCTGTCGGGTGTAACAGTCTGTATGGTTAAGTTTTCTGGTTTTCGGCATTTATATTGGTTTGTCATTATTTAATAGCTTCAATATCGTTGACAAACTAAGTTTGTTAGTCCAGGATTATTTGAAAAACAAACCAGAAATATTTCCATAAAACCATTTCGTAAATCTTCTATTTTGCTCAGGTTTCAACCTTTTCTCGAGTTCATTCTTCTCTATGATGTCCGAGAAAATTTAATATACTTGGATTAGAAAGTAAATAAGGTATGTCCATTTCTAAGTTTCCTTCCACTTCAGTTATCATATTAATCATTTCTGGTCTTTTTGTAATATGGTTTAAGCATGTTAATGTGATATACTTGATTTGGCTCATTTTGTTCCTCGAAACTTACAATATAATTGGTTTCTGAAATTTTTCTGCTCTATTTTTCCAGGTCCTTTCCACTGTACTTCTAGTTTATTTTGACGATTCGTTGATAAAACAAGAACTAAATCTCCTCTAGCAAATTCTCTTTTCACTGCGTTCGATCGTACCCGTTTTCCTCCGTTGTTGAGCTTCTTTCATGTTTTCCACGGCAAGTTCCTGGCATTTCTTCATTCGATTAATAAGTTTGAAAACGTAACTGACAACATTATTACTTTTCAATCGGTTCTAGCCACTGCTCATAAAGTAAAGTGACTGGCGTTCGTAGGTTTTTGCCAGAACTAATTCTGCTGGTGTAAAACCAGTGCTTTCGTGTGCGACTGTTCTGAGAGCAAAAAGAAATGATGGTAGATAATTCTCCCAATCCGAAGTCGCTCCTATACATACGACTCTAACACCCTTTTTAGCGTTCTATGGAACGCTCAACGGGATTACTCTGCGGATGATACACAGAGCTTCTTACATGTTTAATGCCGAAACGCTCCCAAAAATTCCTCTGTCAAAGCACTGACGAAAGAGGTCCCCTGATCTGTTTGGAACACTTTTGGGAAACCCATACGACTGAAAATCTGTAAGAAAGCATCAATCACAGATGGCGAAGAAAGAAATGTCTGTCACCGCTACGCATCTGGATATTTGGACGACATACACAGAGCTGTAATATATATTTTTTTCCAAGTCTTTGAAATAGGTAGGGACCAACGGCATCGACATTTATTTCAGTGAATATTTCGGAAATTACTGGTAAATGTCATTGGAGCCTTCTTTTGTCATTTCCTTTTCAGCGCGCTGACAAGCATCACAGGTTCTTACAATCTTCAGTTCTTTGTAACACCCGTCCAGTAAAAATATCTAGAAGTCTGTCTTTGGTCTTTTTGACACCAAATGACCAGAAGTTCCTTCGTGGCACATCTTATAATTGACGGCTTGAGTTTTTCAGGTATAACGACAGCTGTCTTTCAAAGCCCATTTTATCCGTCGTTTTTTTAACTAAAAGTTCTTTCGTCAGACTATAGTTCTCATTTTGTGTACCTTTTTAACTTCTTGGATGATTTAGACATTCCTTATCAGCAAGCTGAAGTTGTGCAATTTTCTGAGTCAATTTTTACCGTTTCATGAGAGCTTCATCTTCGTATAGTTCCGGTAAATTATCTTCTTCTTCAAAAACTTGCTTTATTTTCGGTTCCAAGAGCTTCCTTCAGCTATTTCTCTTTTCCTTGAGCTCTAGTAGAGACAGCATTACCTGGTAGGACAACTATCAGCTCTTTTTTGTTTATTCAACAGTGCAAAAGTTCGATTGCCTAAAAATACCTTCTTTGTCGAGTTCATTTCTAATAATGGCAGCTTAGTTATTACTCGCCCAAGATCGCATTTAGTTCGATCTCAGCCAATGGAAACAGGTTGGATTCAAGTCTAATGGCTGTGCACCCACACATTCACTGTAGCATTCGCGTGATGTATTTGCGACAAACTATATCAATACTACACCTGAATCCTTAATATAGGAATTTTAGACCATTACGTAACCCATACTAGTATAAGGTAATGAAATTTATCCTATGGTTTTGCACTAATTCTGTTAAGATTAGCAGGAGATTCAGTACTATTCTTAAGTTTTGGACATTGGGGCCTTAAATGTTGATAGGACCCACACTGATAGCATTGTGGCGTCTTTGTTTTCATTATATCATCTGGACGTGGACTTTAGGTCTGGAAACAAGCTTTGTGTATTAAATCCTGATGACATTTGTTTTCAGTTTTATTTTAATTATCTGAATCAATTTACCTTGAGTTAGTGCATTGTATCTTCTTCTGCCTATCCACTACAGGCTTTTTTTTTAAAGTTTCCGCAAACGTTTTCATAGGCATCAAGTTTTTCAGCTAATTTTTTAGATGAAATCATCTCTACCCACTCATCAAGAAAAGATCTCGAATTTCAGGAGGAACTCGACGCTTAAGTGGTCAATCACCATCAAATCTAGCAACTGATCAAAAGTCTTAACTCCTAGACCAGTCACTTCCTTGCAATAATTTCTATTTCATAATTGAATCCACCCATGTGGATTCGGTACTCTTTTGATGTTTCATAAGTTTCTGCCTCAATTTTCCGGGCTTAGTTTAAAACCGTCTTAACAATAAATTCTTTACGTGTCATAGTCTTTAGCTTTATCGGAGGGTTCTCTAGCTATTAACTGGGTTACTTCGTAAGGAAGTAGTCCTAGTAAATGAGATACAAATTCTTCTTTATCAATTTTAGCCCATTCTGCTTGCCTTTCAAACAATAGCAAATAGACTGATATCTCCTTCTTGTCATCGAATTTCTGCATAAGGTGACGCAGCTCCGTTTTCGGCAGGATCTGTCCGGTATTTGAGACTTTGTCTCTGCTTCAAGTCTTAATCTCTCTAATTCATACTGTTCTTCCTTCTCCGCTCTTCCGCTTCTTCCTGTCTTCCTAAGTTCTTCTCTTTTCCCTTTCCTCCTCTCTTTCCGTTCTTCTCTTTCCCTTCTCCCTCTCTTTCCGTTCTTCTCTTTCCCTTTCCTCCCTCCCTTTTGTTCTTCTATTATTGTGTCTAAGATTCCTTTGACGAATACTTTATCATAATCTCTACTTTCAACAATTTTCTGTTCTAAATCGACTATTTTCAAATCTGCAGTCACATGAAATCCCAGTTCAGCCGCGAAGATTTTGCAAATCTTCCTTACGAGCTCTTCCTAAGTTAAGACATTGTTTCTATGTTTAAAATTAACGAACACTGTGTTCTTTCTACTTCCTCAAAATAGCTCAATTCAATTACTTTAAATAATTAATGGAGTCAGGAATCACGAAATTAAATGCACTCTGTTAAATACGTATACCTCAAAAAAGAAATATTTAAATTATATGAAGTTCATTCTCTCTACCACATTAATTGTGACTAAAATAAGAATAACAACATAGAGCAATATATATATATGTCTACCGTCTGCACACTAAAATGAATATTAAATATAATATCAAATACGGTAATAAAATAAGACAATTTAATATTAACAGGAAATAATAATCTGGTATCGCTAATATTGCGTTCAGTGATGAACTAATAAAATAAAGCAATTCTATATGAACAGGAAGTAAGTATAATTGGTATCACTAATATTATGTTCAGTGATGAAATAAAAAATAAAAATACGCACATTATTCGATCTTGGTCGGTGTGTGCCTCCAAAATAATTATGAATGTGATACTTCTTTGACGAAATGAAGCAATTCCAATGATGGACACAGCAATAACTTTTATTTAACACTCAAAAAAATGGCGACATACAAACAAGAAAGAAAACATATTCTAACATTTAAAAATAAATTACATTCTTCGTGCGAGAGTCGCACGTGGCACTCGAGTCTGGTTTCGAATATTGCCATTCACAAATAACTTAATGTTCATCTATTTAAATTATTTAAACTACAAGATTTTAATACTATTTAAAGCTGTTACACTATGTTCTTCAGTCTTTAAAATATTTTCTTCTGAAACACTGCGCACCTCTCTTAAATAGTTTATAGCAGTGCTTCTCAACTGCCGGTCCGCAAGAAATATTTGCCGGTCCATGAAGTTACCCGTTATTTTTGGTTTCATGATTTATTTACGTGAAAAAACTGTGCCAATGGGTCGAATTACAGTACAAAGTCCGTATTCTGGACTCGTCGGAACTTCTGCGATTCCAGATTAGGGGTTTTTCCAGATTATAGATCATCAATTTAAATCTGGTAAGATGGCATGCAGAAATTATACTATTAAAAATATGAAACCATAATTTATGAAATAAAAAGCAATTATGATCTAAAGGGTATCAAATTTTACAAAAAAAAAAAAAAAGCTTAATATCTATTTGTTTACTTCATTAAACAATTCTTTCAACGCGCGCATGTATAAAGCATACGCACGTAATGTATGCGCATTCTCTACGCGCATGCGTAAAGTTTGTGGCATTGAGGTCGGGATTATAGATTATTCCGAATAATGGACGTCCGGATTACGGACTTTGTACTGTATTAAACTTACTGGTCCGGAGAACGTACCGAAATATTTTATCGATCTTTGGAGTAAATCCGGTTGAAAAACACTGGTTTATAGTATAAAAAATTAGCCAAAAATCTTATATATTACCTGACGTGGAAGTGTTCGGGTAAGGTCTCTCTTAGTTCCAACAATCACTTTCAATTTAGTAGAGCTCACATTATTTATTATAGGAATGTAACGTGTGCTAAAAAATAAAAGATGTATTTATTATTTTAACATATAATGAGTGTAAAAGGCTTGAAAATATTAAAATACAATGAGTTATCAGAATTTAATTTAAAACTTGCTTTATATATCAATAGGTTTAAAAAGACACTAATTTTCATAATACAATAAATGAGATTTATCCTCACTGAAATGGATGAAGACATTTAGGATAACTCATCGATATTATTTGGAACAATCAAATGAGTATCGCCTCTGAAAAGAAATACTGTAAAACGCAAAAGTATATGATATTACTTAAAATAATGAATCGTCTTTTGGGTAGCTTATATCTGAATCCCCCTGCTGGTAAATTATTACCAGTATTTTCCTTTCTTTCCTCAGCTTATATTCGGGATTCATGTTGTAATGCATCTTTAGATGTATTACAACAGAGAAATTATTTACAACAGGTTAAGAGAAAAGAGATCTGTGTTGTCTCTAGTGGATCTCGGAGCACTGTGGTGTGAATGCTAATGAAAAAGCTGATTTATTGTCTAAAAAGGGATCTGTGATTCCTTAGCTGGTTAAAAGAGAGATTCCTTTTTCAACTGCTAAACGTATTATTAAATACACTTCTGTCATTTAGCACACTTTAACTGTCATCAAAACTTAGTGTGTAGAAATTCTACACGGAAATAGTTGAAAAATATCCAAGACAATATTCCTGAGTAGACTCGTTCTACAACTGCGGCGACCTTATGACTTATTGCTGCATATGATTGCTTGGCCGGGGCACCTATTTCACATTGATATCCTGCAATGCCCATTCTGCCCACTGTGCAGTAATGGTATTATGAACAAAGACGATCTAATGCGGTGCACTGCAATTTGCGGAAAATCTGACACCGAGCGTTATTGATTTGCGAGACTGCTAATCTGAAAATCTTCCTAAAATAAAAATATGTCCACTAATGATAGCCTAGCGAACGTAGCAAAACAATGCTTGTTAGAAGGCAATATCAGTAAAAGTCCGAAGTATGCTTCAATATGATTTCATTTCGGCTTGTTATCAAACCTTTGCGGTAAAGCCTACAAGATACCAATGTCTTCCGGTAAAAGCCCGAAATGAGGGATTTTACACTTGTTTTTTCATTTCCCTCATTATTTGCGACATTTGCAGTCTAGCTTTCAGCGAATTCAAGCAAGTGTAAGCTGATTGCTTCTATTTTAACATATACAGTCAAAAGTCGTTAATTCGGACACCCATAATCCGGACCTCAAAGCTAAAAACTTTCTGCGCATGCGCCGCGTTGACACATGCGCATAGGCGTTTATGCGTGCGCGTAAGACCTTATACGACTGCGCATGTGCATGTGCGCAAGCACAGAATACGTTTTCGCGTGCGCGTTTTATGTATAACGGACGGTACAAGCTAAAATTATCTAATTATCTATTTCAGTTAATGTTGATGATTGCATTGTTCCTTAATCTTCGAATTGGATCCGGCTTATTATTTTTTGCAGACTGCAAGAGCAATTTTATAAAAGTAAACTTGAACTTTCGATTATGTCAAATAGAATTTCCGATTCTAGAGCTCCCAAAGGATCGTACAAAACGAAAGTATGCTTCGATGTCCATCAAACAAAAAGTGGAATTGCAGCAAAAAATGGATAAAGACATGAAAGAAGGTGACAGAGAGGTTAGTGAAAACGAAAAAAAAAAATTTCGAATGACAAGTTAGTCGGTATTCTCGGCACAACAATTAACGGGACTTGAACAGCGGAACTTTGTAACTGAACAAGAAATTATGTTGTTTATAGAATTAAAGAGAAAGTATTATCACACAAAAACGAAGCAACTTAAACAACTTACATGATTGAAGAAATTTAATAAGTAACAAACAAAAATATTAGCTTTTTTTTTTTTTTTTTTTTTTGTAAATTTTGATACCCTTTAGATTATAACTGTTCTTATTTCATAAATTACGGTTTCGTATTTTTAATTTTAGAATTTCTGCATGCCATCTTACGAGATTTAAACGATGATCTATAATCCGGAAAAATCGATAATCCAGATCACCGAAGTCTCGACGAGTCCGATTAAGACTTTGACGTATATAATTATTGTAA